ACCTCTAAGACTTATCACTAAGGATGACCAGTCGACCTGTAAGACTTATCACTAAGGATGACCAGTCGACCTGTAAGACTTATCACTAAGGATGACCAGTCGACCTGTAAGACTTATCACTAAGGATGACCCTTAGGTCTCAAGGGTTAACAACTGGCAAGTTATAGTAAAGTACAAAATGTATGCATAAAAAGCAGTAAAAAGGCACTAACTTTCACTGATCACAGGGCCCACAAAACAACACCAAACTTGTACAGGAGTAAACAGCATAGATTAATGATTAATTTCAATGTAATATCAACTTGGATTATAGCAGTAGACTAATTATAGGTACTAGTAGTTCTATTTTACAATAATGTTTGATTCAAATCATATTTACCAATGAAAGGCATCGTCGCAACCTCTGAGCATAAGTTTTTTTTTAAATCATATTTAATTTGTGCTTAACTACATTTGTATTTCTATTAAATAAATGTGATTATTATATTATTTTATATATTGGTCAAAAAAATGTGCATGCATACATGTACATAAAATGTATAATAAATATAATGTAAGAATTATTTCAAGTCCTATTAATGTACAATTTTTTTGGTGGACAGTGGTCACTAGTACTTGTTTTAGTGGCAGGGTTAGTTACATGTTGTAAAGTAACGCTACAATATCTTGTTATTAATAAGCAGTGAGGAACAGCACAAAACTTCAAAATAATCAAAAATTAAAACCAAAAAGCATGTATATATGACAAAACCCTGCTAACCCACAATCTCACGTTTAGAAAACCCATTTTTTTTCAAAACACAAAAATGTGGTTAAACCTGTAAAAAAGCCATTTTGGTCATTTTCATTTGAACACGAGAAGCCAGAAAATCTGTATATGGATGATATACAGGCATAAAAGAAATAAAAATAACACAAAACAAGGGGAGATCACTGAAATCTGTTATAATTAACAGATATCAAAAAGACTAGAATTGTTACCAGACAAAGAACATTTCAGGAAGAAATCAACAGGACACCGCAGGAATGTTTTGAAACTACAATCAGAAAATGTATACATAACTATCTCTTTAGTGAGACTTCTATTATCTGAACTACTTCTGAAAGGTGACCTCTACAAACAGAACTACTTGTGAAAGGTGACCTCTACATTCTGAATTATTTCAGAAAGGTGACCTTTACAATCAAAACTATTTCAGAAAGGTGACCTCTACAAACAGAACTACTTGTGAATGGTGACCTCTACATTCTGAATTATTTCAGAAAGGTGACCTCTACTATCAGAACTATTTCAGAAGGGTGACCTCTACAAACAGAACCACTTCAGAAAGGTGACCTATACAATCAGAACTACTTCTGAAAGGTGACCTCTGCAAACAGAACTACTTCAAAAAGGTGACCTCTACAACCTGAACTACTTCTGAAAGGTGTCCTCTACAATCAGAACTATTTCTGAAAGGTGACCTCTGCAAACAGAACTACTTGAGAAAGGTGACCTCTCCATTCTGAATTATTTCTGAAAGGTGACCTCTCCAATCAGAACTACTTGAGAAAGATGACCTCTACAATCAAAACTATTACAGAAAGGTGACCTCCACAATCAGAACTACGTCAGAACGATGAACTCTACAATCAGAACTAATTCAGAAAGGTGACCTCTACAAACAACTACTTGTGAAAGCTGACCTCTACAAACAGAACTACTTCAGAAAGGTGACCTCTACAATCAGAACTACTTGTGAAAGGTGACCTCTACAAACAGAACTACTTCAGAAAGGTGACCTCTACAAAATTACTTCAATGACTCCACTGTTGATGTGTTTCTACCTATTGAATGCGATGGAAAAGGTCCTGCATTTCCTCAGAGCCTCAAATTGCAACACCTGATGTAGACTAAGACAAAAGGACAAACAGATGTCTGTTGTGAGAATATTACGATGAAACTTGAGCTAACATCACAGGTGAATAACATATTTCTACCATTGCCCAATGATAAAATTTTGTAAAGACTTGGAAATTTACACATTTCATTAACATACAATGTGTATTTCAGGTTCAAACAGGGCTAATAGCAGACCCATGGGAGTGTATGGAGGTTTTGGACTCCAAAAAATGACGATTGATTCTAAAGTTTGAAAGGAAATGTCTATTTTACATGTTCATGTATTTACCTTTTAAAATTAAGAGAAAGAAGAATTTTTAAATTTCAAATCAACTGAGGTCTGCATGGCTCAGCATGTAAATGTTCCTCTTCAAATTCTTCAGGAATAGAATTAATACAATAAATTTTCATCTATGTGGAATCACAATTTTATGACAACAAAAACATTTCTAACATAAAATCATGTTACAAACCTGTTGAAACGTTAACCATGCCCTAATTTTCTGTAGTAACCAATTCAAAGGCACATCTTTCTTCCTGTCCTAACTTTCTAAATGACATGTTCCTGTCATCAAGTTAATAAGACCTATTACATATTTATAACAATAGAATCTAAATGCTAAAACAAGATCAAAAACTTCAACCTTTATTTCATCACAACAGTGAAAAATCCGAGCAAAAATCTGCTGATCTCGCCATAATGACAAATCTGGGATTTTTACGCATAATACTCATCCTTACTTATATTAAAACTATACAAGTATCCTACATTCAACAACCTATCATCAGGTTATATTAAAACCATTCATTTTTTACTGGAACAGGTTAGCTATATAAATAAACCAAGACAAGACAAATATTGGGTCCAATATCGATGGCCAAGGGGTCAAAAGATTTAGCTTTACTGGAAAGTGAAAAGTTTGTGTCTATTTGCATCACAAACCAATTAAAATGTTCTCGTTTGAAAGTGACTGTATTCATAGCATACTGTTTTAGAGAACTATCAAATTAACAGGCAATAGACATGTAGCTTTCTTTTGAAAGTTTTGGTAATGTCTTGAAAACACAAACCAACAAAAGAACCAAAATCTTAACATTCCACAAACACTGCAGAGCTAGATAAAAAGATTTTAAAAAACAATTGCACATGCATAGATACAATTTATGGCAAACATCTAAACAATTAAATGATATCTGTTCAAAAAAAACACTTGTGTATGTATTAATTGTTTATGGAGTTCCTGTATATCTTCCTGTAGGAAAAAAAAACCACAAAGCAAAACAAAGGCATTGTAAACTTGTAATATGTAAAATACATACCTGACTTAAAAATGCTTTCGCAAAGTTTCATTATAGCACTAGAAGTTATCTGACGATAAACCTTGAAATAAATGTCACTACATGTATTTCGGATACAGTGTTTGGAGTCAAATCATAAATTTCAATATTCTGAACATGAGCCTTGAATATTGTTATATGATTTGTAGAATGATTATTTTAGCAAATATTGTACCTATCAAAAGTGCAAGATAAGTTGAAATTTTCACAACATTGTTTTTTTGGGAGGTAATTTCACATAGGTATACAGGTAGTAAATTGATATATGTTTTAGTTTAATTTTAGATACTGCAGATATATATGTATATATAATTATTACACCTGATATACATACAATGGATTATATCCAGTACACTTATACAATAGCATTTAGTTCACTACAGTATACAGTACATGTATAACCCTATACCCTGTCCTGTATTACGCTAAATTACCTCGTTACAAACAAGTTGTTGGGAAAATAAACAAACTTAGACTTTAACAGTGTCTTCAAGATTTCAAATTGATTAAAAATAAGCATTGTAGAATTCTACAGAATCATAAAAAATAACAATGAATTTAGGATCTTACTGGAATCACTATCAGTATGAAATTTTACTTAATTATACTGCGACAGTATGATGGTCTTTTCAGCTGGTACATTAAGATTTTATTATTTTAATTTAACTTTTTGTAGAGATTTTGATTATAATGTATATTTTTTTTACAGAATTTAAGGGTTGAATTTAAATCATATTTTCTAAATTTTTACATAAATTTATAAATTTGTATGCTTGTATATAACAACTTTTGATTAGAACGGAAAAATATCAAATTAATTCAACAAGTATTTTTTTATCAACTGAAATCCTAAAGTAAAGCCCTCCCCCCATCCAATTAACTTGGAATTTTAGAATCAGTACCTCTAATTAGAGTTTTTGTTTCTACCACAGAATTATTTCAGCTGTCCCTGTTTGTTAGGCTTATATGAAAGCACTGAAGACAGAATATGGCTCCATATTATCCCCAATTATATATACTAGATACAATTATATATACTAGATACTATATATCAACCCGAGACTGCAATATCAGCCCATTATATAATTTTGCAATATGACAAGTATACATAGAGAATAATACATGCCTTTTTCCATATCACACCCAGTATCAACCCGAGACTGCAATATCAGCCCAAGGGCCGAAGACCCGAGGGCTGATATTGGTCGAGGGTTGATACTGGGTGTGATATGGAAAAAGGAGTGTTTTATTCTGTTTATTACATACTTACTAATAAAAACTATTAGCTTATGATTTATTTTCATTTTTGAAATATTGAAAAACGATTTTTTTTCCAAATGGGGTGTGATATGGGTTTTGCGGGCTGATATGGGTTTTGGGGTGTGATACGGCGGGGGCTGATACGGGTTTTGGGGTGTGATACGGCGAGGGCTGATATGGGTTCGAGCAATTGTGTCGTATCGCATATACAAAAAACGTGTATTTATTAGTAAGTATGTAATAAAAATATGTATTTGTAATTAATAAATAAGTAATTATGATAATGACTGAAACTTATACAGGATACATTACATAGAGATGAACTATAAATGTAAGTTGACATATTTTTGGCACACATTTCTGTCTGTGACGAAGAACAGAGATTTAAATACAAAATAAACTCAACCTGCTTTAGATTGTTTATAAGTTCTACAAAAGTAGTGTGAGCTAACATTACCACAAATAAAAAAAGATGCATACATTTATACTAAAAGCTAATATGAACGCCATGAATGATGCACAGCTGTGTGATTGCCCTTTGCAATATTCCAATGAGCAAACATTGGTCCACCTTTGAAATATTCTTCTTATATAATTTCATTAAAAAAGTTCTGTTTGGTAAGATATTTAATGTCATTAAGACATTTAATGTTAATATAAAAATGTGAACAAAACATATGAATTATAATTGTGTACTGGAAAATTAAAGCCAGTGGACCATTATTAAACGTGTTACAACGGGAGATAACATAGTTGCCTCACTTCGGTAAAAATTGTCTCCCTTTGATAAAATAAAGCAAAAATAAAAATCAATATGATTTTGTCATCATTTGGAAATATATATGAAAAGTTGGATATGAGAAATATTTCAGTCGTCATACTTTGAAGAGTTTTGTTTGTCTTCAAAGAAGTCAAATTTGGACCCATTGTATTCAATTTTACAATATTACCTAAAGAGTCCGACAGTTTTTATTTTGATTAAAAGTATAAGGTTTTGTAATTCAATACTGAACGTTTTCCTTGTACATGTACATATGATATCAAACAAAAAATTGAGCAAACAAAATCATTGTTTTCCTCATCAGATGACAAGGGGAATGAATAAAAGTGTTAATGGAAACATAATAAAATCTTCTAATACTTCAACAAAATATTCTCTAAGTTTGCTAAAAATATTCAAATTTCTTACAGATTTTTTCTGTCAACAATTCACTTAATTATTGTTAATGAACACAACTAATAACACTGATTATCAAGTACATTAATTACATGCGTACACTAAAAAAATATACACATATACTGGAAATAATCAGAACTTTTGAAATAGAGTTGAATCAAGACTTTCATTTTCTCTGCACTCTGTTAGCTTTTATCATTGTGCCTCATGTAATGATAATATGTGCAGCTCAGAATGTTGATTCAACATCTCATTACTACAACATAAAATAAGGCACAATAGCAAAAACTATTTTAGAAGAGTTGCTGCCTTCTTACTGAAATTAAAAACTGGATTTTTTTTTTCTTTTTCTGAAGATCAGTGTTAAAAGCCTTTAACCCTTTCACCACTGTAGACCATAATGGACTTATCCATATCAATACATGGTAGATTCTACTAAAGTTACATAGGGGTGAAAGGGTTAATTTAAAGCATAGACTCTCTGCTGGTTTCCTGGGGGTGTCAACATCAAAATAGGAGGTGTATATTCAAGCTAGGTGTACATCAAAATATGAGGAACTCATATCAATCACAATAAATGATAAAACGCTCATAGCAAAACACTAGTGTTTCAAGTGTACCAATTAATGCTGATGTAAAGTCTACGCAATGTGACCACCAAAACTACTGCGAAACTATAAACATTTTAAGAATTATGCAAAAACTTCTCAGTTTAAAAAGGATAGTAAAAATCCACAGTAGTTAAATATTTTAAATATAATCTCACCACTTCCAATACGAAAGCAGCAAAAACACTTTCAAACAGGAAATTTTGGACAACTATATATATTTGATATATATTCAAAAAGTGAACAACAGGTGGGATTCAAGAAGATCGTTTTTCAAAAACAACAAAAAATTAAAGTACAAGAAAAATAGCATGGGGAGAAATGCAATATCAGTGTACATGTATATGTATATAAAGCTAGGAAATTGCACTTTTAATTATCAGACATTTTATCAAAATGTCACACACAACACATACACAACTTATAACATCTGACACCAATGCACCAGGTTTTAACTGAACATCAAAAATCTTTGAAGCATGTTGTTGACGAACATAAGCTGTTTTCGTATAAGAAATAACTGTCCATAAACACTGCACATTCTTGAAGACATCTGACTTAAAGACTTCAACTACGCTCTGAACAATAAGCTATTGAAGCATGCATGTTGCTTGATAAATAGCAAGTTCTTGAAGGATATTTTTTGTTGAACTTCAAATTATTGAGGCATGTTATTTGATGAACAGCTAAATTTTGAAGCAGATCATTTGATGAACTCATTCTTGAATCTTGAAGTAAGTCGTTTGATGAGCAGGAATTTCTTGAAGTCTGTAGTTTGTTGAAAAACTTCCCGAAATCTGTTGGGGTTTTTTGGCTGTACAAGCAATGTTGAATGTACACAACACAACAAATGCTTGTTTTTAGCTTCTGATGAATACTTGAAGCATTTTTGAAGCACAGACAACTGAGCTGCAGCCATGAATGGACAGTTAATGTAACGTATGCAATGCCAATCAAAATATTGGATAACACAATCCCAAACTTACTGTGTCACATTTTTTTTTCAAAATGGAAGTCGTTTTCTCTTTTGATTGCACTCGTAACCACTTACTAGAACAATTGCATACAGCATTTCTCACAAGTTCAGCAAAACGTCATGGTCGTCTTGGAGTATTTTTCTAAAATAAAATAAAATTGATTACAGAATAGATAGGTCAACTGCCTGGACCTGAATGACACACATTTTAGAAATTATTTGTCGAGAAAAACTTCATTGATAAAGAAACAAAATACAAACAAAATTTCATCGGTTTCACAACACTATATGGGAGGGATATTTATTACAAATGCAGACAAATTCTGAAAGGTGGTTCTTAACTATTCCTAAGGCAGAAGAAATATGAATGTTGGTTCTTAACTATAAAAATATAGACCAAAGATGATTGGTGGTTCTCAACAAGTTAACTTTAATAATACAAGTGGTACTAAGAAGGTTATTTCAAAGCAGGATATTGACACTAGACCAGATACGTCTGATTTATAAACGGAATCTTACAAGAATACTATTTATATGAATTATGACCCTTGTTAAATCTATATATCTAAATAAGTCAGATATAATAAATTGCATGTCTATTTCTTAAAACTCTGAAGATCATTAAAATTCAATTCATTAAAATTGGGCTGAACCAAACTCTCAAAAGAAAAGTAACAAATGGTACTCTTCGCTAGTTCATTTGACTTCAGTCTAGTATATTTTAACAGCTAAAGTAATTATGACAACAGTGCTCATATGACGAAGGCACTCGGGATCATTTGTACTGCCATCACTGTAACATCACAACAGGGACACACACGAGTATGATACACCATGCACTCGAGTCCTTCTGAAGACAGGGTAACAGATCTAGATTTACCTAGGGGTGACATGGGAATTAGAAAAGTTGAGACTGAAAAATAAAATAAAATCGTCAAACGAAAGAAAAACATACCAATTTCCAGTTGATGAGTTTAATCCAGTCATTGCACTCTTGCTCTGTCGTCGAGTACATGAAAAATGTTCTCCACTTGAAAACGACCCTGTAAGATAAATCATATGTAGTTTTTCCAACTGATTTTGTTGCTCGACAAATAATTTTTCCTTGAAAAATACTTTCTACGAAGCTATATCTTTACCTCTGGACCACATGCTGTGGCAACTTAACCTCAAATACGAGGAAAGTAGATCTTTTCAAATTGTACGATTTAAGCAAATCTGAGATAATCAAGTACTATAAAATTTCTTTAACGTTTATACCGAGTTCCCAGCACTGTACAAACAGGATGAAAGATTTTCAGTATTTGTAAACTGGTTCATCCTATTTTATTGCATTACCTGAAAACATTAAATTTGCCTTTGTTCGTGTAATCCCGTTTACATTCCTCGCATTCCCGGAGGTCCATGGCTCGGATAGCACGAGAGTCTTCCTTCTTTTTGTAGTAACGAAGCTCGTATTTCTGTAGCACAAACCATCTCGTATGCCAAGTCTGCAATATTCATAAATCGTGTTGTACAGTCTTGAAATTACTTCGTACAATCAAAATTTACAAAACAAAGAAAATAGATTATAAATGTACAGAAGTTTTTGAAATATATTTATGTTTTTAGGAAAATTAACAAACAATTATGATACAATAAATATAATTACTACTACCGTGACACATCTAGTCTCGCAAGATCAATTGTTGATGTTTTATCAAAATCAGTTCAGCAGTTCAAGAGAAGTCTTCTCTCAGTGAAGCACTAGAATAACTTAAGCTACACTCCACAATTAGGGAACTATTTACCTTAAACCTTGCTCCAAGTTTTGTGAGAAATCCCTCTTTAGAATTAATCTGGAAATGTATGAAAACATTTGTCAACAACACACCTACCATCTGGGAATCATCAATTCATAACAAATATACACAAAACATGGTTTTACTTTAAAGGCAAAATTTTCAAAATACCTAAATAATGTTCTCGCTCAGGACATAAACTTGATTAATGTAAATGATATTACAGTATATAGAGCTGATTATCTGAGCCAAAAGGAAGACATATACATGGTTTGGACATGCAGTCGTTCACATAACCATTCTCACAGTACATGTATTAAGCAGGCTATATATTTGGGACACAAGCAAGATTCAAATAACTGAAAGTTCAGATAATTGGCATTTTTCTGTAGTGAAACCACTAAATTTTCAACAATGAAGATTTAACCCAAATAAAATGAATAAATATGAATATTGAGGATGAACATTTTCTATTATTAGCATATATCAGTACGTCATTAGGATGTTGCCTACCGCAAACTCTGGACCTCTAGAAAAGTCGTCTGCCGTACTAAACTCAGCATGGACTCGTATTGTGTCATACATGTTGGGTTCCTCAATGTTACGTGGGTAAGGGTAATTCAGTAGGGTTAACTGTCCTGTAATATAGAAACAGACATATGTTCATTGTGTATTGTGTCATACATGTTGGGTTCCTCAATGTTACGTGGGTAAGGGCAATTCAGCAAGGTCAACTGTCCTGTAATATAGAAACAGACATATGTTCATTGTGTATTGTGAATATTCAAAACGCATATATACCTCTACCTAACTTATGCTTCTATTCCACATATCTCAAGACTCACTCGTGTCATGGCCTAGCTAGCGTTCAGGTGATGACTGAATGAATATTCAATAACATTTCACAAACTTGGCCTAATTTTATCAATCTAAAAGTCTTTAATTTGATGAATATCCATAGTAACATTTAATAGAAATCACAAACCATAAAGAGTCTATTTAGCCACTGGTCCAGACAAGTGCTTTTTTCTGTGGCATTGGGCTAATTCATTTTATTACCAACCAGCCTGTCGGTGCCAGTGATATTTCCTCCATGATGAGCATCCAAATGTTACAATGTACTCGGAAAACAAAAAGACAAAAGTGTTGAACAATTTTTGATAAGGGGCTGGTTGGGCCAGTTGGCATCAGATTCAACAGGCCAAAAGTGGCCATGCATTTACCTATAAGCTGACCCCCTGCAAATGATGGTAGGAATACAAGACTCAACTTTGATGTCATTTTATAGGTAAGGTTGAAGGGTTAACATATCTGTCCTGCCAAAGTAAGCTGGAAAGGTTGAAGGGTTAACATATCTGTCCTGCCAAAGTAAGCTGGAAAGGTTGAAGGGTTAACATATCTGTCCTGTAAGCTGGTAAGGTTGAAGGGTTAACATATTTGTCCTGTCTAAGTAAGCTGGTAAGGTTGAAGGGTTTACATATGTCTTGTCTAAGTAAGCTGGTAAGGTTGAAGGGTTAACATATTTGTCCTGTCTAAGAAAGCTATCTTCAGATTTATTTTAATGAATATGGAAAATCAACAGTCTAATTGATAATCTGGGTGAGCAACTGGCCAAGAACAAGTACAGATTCATTAAAACATATTTTAATGAGTGTTTTTACCTGAATCAGCCCCTATTAAAGGTTTGTTGGCGAAGTGATTGATAAGTTCACCCATGCTGTGGAATTCACCATGTCCAAACTTGAAGTCAGTTCCATCGACAGATAGGTTGAAGTGTTTGACAGACTTATCACACCTGTAAAACAAATGATTTGAAAGTTCTTAAAGACACATGCTACCTCACTGTGATATGCATTGCTCAACCTCCTTTACAAAAGAGCTCCAAACTAATAAACGTATAAAGTCCCTTTTATCATAAATTATGACTGGTCATTTAGGCTAACTTGATCACACATTTGAACAATAAACAATCAAGAAATATAGCACTCAATGGATATTAAATTATTAATTCTAATTAATAAGTAAAAGAACATGACTCTAAAGACAATTCGTAGGTATATCACATTAGGTAGCATACAGCCTTAACTTTTGTTTGGTCTCAATGATATGGAAATCTCGTAACCCCTAGTACTTGATAATTGCAGATCGTATTCTCGTAATGAATGTAATGTACAATGTTTTGCCATTCAAAATTAAAATACAATTTGAACTCAACATTCACTCAAAGGTGTAAAAGGATTTGTCTGCTGCAAAGCAAATTTCGGAAAATTTGAATGATTCAACCTTTTATTTCATAGTAAATACCTCCCCAGTACTCAGCTGTCAAGCTGGTGGAATTTTACTGTCCTATAATTATATATTGCTATTTTAGTTTTTTTCTGTTTTATAATATAACATCATTAATTTATGACAATCCAATGGAGAAAGTATTTTAATACTTAACTTTTGTATAATTAACTACCTGTATATTTTATTTTTTAAAGAAAACATAAATTGTTAACATTTTATTAAACAAATTTGATTTGATATTTACTTAAATATACATTACAATGTTGTTAATTTATCATGCATGATCTTAATTAATCCAAAAAACCCATCTTGCTTGTTTATTGACTCATTAAAATGTCATTCACCTGTCTGGCCTTCTCATATGTCTGATAATATATAATTTAATCCGCCACAAAAACCTGAACTACAGAAAGACAAAAAGAAGAGACATCATAAATGCCTTTTTGGTAGTGATCTGCAATCGGTTTAAAGTCATAATCGATAATATAATCGGTTTGTAATCACAAGTAGTGAACCGATCAATGATCGATTGCATAATCGGGGTAATAATTTTAATGGACTGAATATCCAAATAAAGTGAGACACTACTATTACATCAATAGACAGAGTTGTTCCCTGTACATTAGGTTTTGTTCTTTTAAAATGTATGCATATCAAGCAACTTTTATGTATTTTTATCAATCGTATCGTTTAATTTAAAAGAAAATATGACAATCAAAGCATACTTAACATGGAAGACATTTAAATACTGATGAACAGATTATGTCGGTTATGGAATTTGTAATCGATAATCGGAATTGGAAAAGGCAAACTGATCGATTTTCGATTATAATTGATCATCAGCCCATCACTACGTTTTGGTCCTGTCAAAGCGGGATCAATTTCTCAAGGGCTGCATTTAATCAATGATGCATTATATATCTGAATTAATACCTACCTAACGGACAATGCATACTCGCTGATTTTGGAACTCGGTCGAAGCATGTATGTTCCATCCACTCCATTCTGTAGTAATAAACTCTCTGCTGTGTGTCTATCAACACCGGGGTGGAACCAACTACAAACACAAGTTAATATTTACGTGACATCAAACATATCAGGTCGCAGGGATCAAGTGATAATTCACCAATAGTGTGTTATTACAGGGTTTTCTGTACGTAGACCCACGAGAGTGTACATTTTTGACTCCTCAAAATGAACTATGACTGTTGGTTTTTTTAAACGACAGACCTACTTGACATGTTTAATTTGACTATCCAAAATTCTGGGGGAAAATCTATCAGATTTCTGTAATTGCCAAATGTCAAGGCCTGTTATATCTGACTCTTCAATATCAAGATAGATGAAATATTAAAAAAAAGGGGGTCAATTGAGCCATTCTCAGAACTATAGAGATTTCAAATCTGAAAGGTTTAAAAAGGGAAATTTAGCATAAATTTCACAAGTTTCATGTATAAGAATTTGGTAGTCTGAAAATTTTATTTTCTAAAAAGAAATTTCATGATGGAATGGTAAAGTGAGTTTGAAATTCTTTTCATCACATGCAACATTGCCCAATCCAATGTACAGTATATATATGCAAAAATAAATAAATGCATACATTTTTTCAGCATTAAGGCTGGAGAAACTTATTGAAACATTGCATGTATATTTGTCTTTTGGCAAGAGATTTATATGATGGTGTTGTTTTTATTTTACCTGGTACATATATATTGCATAGTCAAGGTTAATCAGTATACGCTTAGATTATATTGACAACAAGAATATATACAAAACGCTGACACCTACTCCAGTGACTCGAGCTGTTTCACCATCTCCAGGGTTATTTGATCCACTGTTCCCGCCATAACGATCAGAGAGACGTCACAACTTCTGTGTTCACTGGAACCAAAAAACACATTTCGTAAATTCACAGGAACTGTTCATACTATAAAAACAGTGTTGTATACATGTTTGTTAGCGAGTCAAAACGATGTAATTCTCTGTGTCATTCATCTTATAACATTTTCATCTCAACCAAATAAAATACATCTACATGTCTGTTATATATATCTAATAACTGCTGATTAACCCATCTCACCTGAAGTCTCATCCTCGATACTCCAGGGGTTAGACTCACTTACGATCTCTGCTCCCCTGGAATAACGATAAAATTGAAGGCCTAGCTAGTGTACAATGTGCGACACCTTGTGGATGAGACAAGAAAACTAGTTTGAACCATGGATGTACATCAAAATAATCTTGTGGTTGCGTAACAGTAAAATTGCCTGGCTTTAAAGTCTGTTGTTACTCTTCTGTAATTATAATCATCAAAGGATGTTATCAGGACAGCCTAACGATTGGTCAGGTGCTCTTTTACCTGGGACCCATCAAAATGCTAGCCACATGCATGTCTTCAACTTTGCCAAGACATATTCCAGCTGGAGTGCAGAGAACGTAAGTGAGCAGAATCCCTGGAGTATCAAGGATGCTGAAGTCTAAATCAAGCATGTACTGTATATGTACATAGGATTACGGTCGCCTTCTAGCTTTGAGCTAGAGGGAATTTCCCTTTAGCTCAGTGCTAGAGCGTTCGACTAGGAACCTGAAGATCGAGGGTTAGATCCCCAGTGGAAGCACACTATTCTTTTTCCTGGTAAATTAGTAGAAAATAAAACTTGGGTGACATCACTTTCATTTTTCGGCAATGATGAATACTGAAAGGCTATGTAACTGTTATTCATTTATATATTTATCATGTGAAGACTGCAACAAAATTATATTCTTATTGATAACATTATTTTATGATTACTACAAAAAAATAATCATCAACAAGCAAATTTATTATTCAGTAAAAGTTGAATTATATTAGAACCAGAAACCACCATCTAAACATTTTGCCTCGATTTTTTTCAAAGTCCTTCATAATGTTGTTAAGGTACATTTTTCTGGTTTTCTGATGTGCCTAATTTTATGTCTCAGTGTGTCCTAAAAAATTACAAATCTTTTTGGTAGAAATACTATTTAAAGGAAAATATACTTATTTAATTTCAAAGTACTAAAGTACTGATGGTATTTAAGCATTGAACAGTTTCCAGTTGGCATTCATAGACAGTATATACGAATGCCAACTGAAAGCAGCTCAATCATTGTTCAATACTTTTTTATGGAATATCTGTTCATCTCATAGAAAGTTCAATTTCACTTATTATTATTCAGCATTTAGTTCAAATAATGTATGCATTGTGGATGCTTGTTCAATTAATAGAACAGCCATTGTCCGGAGAGGGTCAGTGGTATAATCCAATGTAACAATTATGACGTCATGATGATGATGATGTCAACAAATGGACCATGGCATTTATAGCCTGTTTGAATGCCAACTCTAATTTGATCGAGTGGCAATGCAGTACGATGGTAAAAGTAGTGTAACTAGGACCACCACCATCAGCCACAAAAGTCTACATCCAATAATTATTCAATTGAATGAGCATCGTTTGAAATTGACCATCTAGAAACACCAGTTTTGATGATTTTATTTATTAATCTTATTCCGTTCAACAAACAACAAACCAACAATGTAAACAACCCATCTTTATAATCAGTTATTCTTGATACCCAAATGAAAAAGAAAATCCCATTTTCAAATGGAGTGTCATTTATCCTCGTGTTACCGGTTTCAGCGCACTTAAGAAGCAGCCGCGATTTCGTACTCATATCGGCAGAAAACTGTTGAAATTACGGATGACTGTCATAAACATGTACACAATCTACTAATAGAAACCAAAAAAATAGCAAAATAAAACAGTATTAAAAAAAACACCAGAACAAACATTTTTTAACAAATTTCTCCCGTCAGAAGTATAGCCGTCATATGTTTCCGTGTGTCTATTTTGATTTAGTGTTCAAAGAAAGATAACTTGAATACATTAAAAACAAATTCCCTACAGTGACCTTTAAGAACAAAAGCTCTGTTTGGAATAAAAAAGAATATCTTTGATTGTCATATTAATTATCAAAACAAATATTTAGTTATAATATATTCTGTTATTATTTATTTTCTGCAGACTTATATTGGTTTTGGTTGATGGCAAGTTATTTCTCATTTTGTTCTGTTTAAAATTGGCGAAAATTGGAAGTTCATTGCATTACAAGGTTTACATTTCATTGCAAACATTGTTTATCGATATAAGAATGTCTTCTTCGCTCTTCAGAAGTGGAAAAGAATCTGCGAGGAGATGTGACCTCATTTGCATACAACATTTTCGAACTTTTGTCAGACTACAAAAAAGACCGGTTCATGAATGAAATATATCATTGTTTTTTCAGGTATGGACTCATTTTGAGCAAGATAAAAAGTGCATTAAGCAAAACTGCATATTAAAGCGTGTTTTTTTAATCAGTGATTATTTCTAATGCTTTCTGGACGAACTTCCGGTAATTTTTGTGTCAGTTTACAGACGATGGCCAAACGTCTAAAATATCCTTGTGTTGTGTCCAGCATGTCACGTAGTTACGAGATATAGCTTGATAAAATGGCTGCGCGGAAATACATAACGCGCGGAAACATATGACTAGACGATATATTGTATTTCCCCCCAAAACATCACCAGACAAATAGAAACTACTGAACAGTAATTTTGTCTGAAATCTACATAAAGGGAACTGACATTCGTCTGTTTTTGGACTGCTCTAGCCTAAATGGACAATGATGCTGTTTGCTTTGAAACGGCAGCTTTCAGATTGACATCAACATCATAGGCCTACTGTAATGATAATGTGAATGAATCAGACACGATACATTTCTGTTACCGTTTGGTGTCTGCACGAGCAAATAAACACATAATGCAAACGAAAAATATTGTGTTAATTTGAAATGATATACAATACTTGGACAGACATACTTATCGCCTGCTAGCCCTCGCTTTCATCGCCTTGGGCCCTACAACAAAAGGAACACCATCTACTTGTTTTGATGAAAGTCGGAAGTGCTTCAGTGTGTCATTCCCCCAACGTTACTTGAACCTTTTGAGATTTTCAAAGCATCTGATTGGTCTAAATTAGAAACAATGATTTATTTCTTATTTTATATAATATCGACGCTATTTAAATCGATTTATTTACTGGTAATATTTGCCTTCTTTTCAATTTAAAGATGTTTGTTATATTTTTAATTATTTATCTTGGAAATATTTCCAGAATAAATTTACTGCTATTAGACTTGCCGAAGTTCGGATCGATAGCAAAAATGATTGACACACATTATCAAGGTATCGATGCGAGATATAAATGCTTCGTCACACCACAGATTTAATCTAATTACGTGGTCACACATACATCAGTAAATTGATGAACTGGTATCAAATAAGCATATAATAGTGATTGATATTTAGTGAATAAACAAAAGACCTTAACCAGAAATAAACGTAACTTGAATTAAAGGAGTAATTTTTACTTGTCGTACATCAATATGTAAATTAATCGATCGTTACGTAATCATAAATGCAGTTTTATTTTAAAGATTCATCCGTGCATCAAATCGGAAACCTTGCCATTCTGAATTGATCTCCCACTTGAGACACAAATATTTATTGATTGTTAGCGTGTGCCAATATAACAGAAGTTTCTTTCGACATTTATCTTAACATGAAAAATACCAACCCCACCCCCTCTACAAATGTAACGGATTCAATTGATAAGCTCAAGTGAAAAGGGGAAAACACTGGTATTTACAGTATATTTTTAATGACACCATTTACGGTCACTGCAGCTTCATTAGCCTTCAGGAGATATCAATATGAATTTTTTTCGTAATATTTTCAAAATTGTATTCTAATACAAATGCATTGCTGAGTAGCAAATTAAAGAGAAACACGTACATTTGTACTTGATTTTAATCCAAAATTAACATTTTTCTTTAATAAAAAAAAATGTAGCTGAATAATAATGGACTTTTTATCAATTTATGCGGACCGGATGAACATTATCAGTAAGTCATTGAAATAGAATCAAGACATCGTACGGTTTGGATTTCAGCGAAAGATACAGCGAAAGAAATCGGAAAGACTGTAACGTGGCACAACATTCAAGTACGCAAAACTAATATGACCTTGTCTGTCGTAAGTCCCCATCTGAGTACACTGTGTTAATATGACCTTGTCTGTCATGCCTCCCCATCTGAGGACATTTATTTTCTCTATCGGAGAGACTTTGACAGACTCTTTACCAAAGACACATTGATAAATTTAGTTAGCCACGGTTTTCTACACGAGACGCTTTGACATTCATGGTGACGAATTTCATACTTATTAAAATGTTCCTTTCTGTCTACAGAATACATATATATATATTTAATGCTATTATGCAATATCAAATATTATTAAGTTCTCAGACTAATGAATATAAACAATTATTTTTTTAAGTTTATGCAAATTATCAAAATTTTGTATAATAAAAGTCACATGGTTGTCCTCCATACATATTACATTTGATGTTGTATACTGTTGTAAATATGTTTTCTCTGTACATTCATAATTTTGTGAAGAGAAATCAATTAAATTTTAAATGCTTTGCCATGTGATTGCACTTTTACAATTAGAAATTTGATAGATATAGTGTGCGGTTGCCTAAAATGAATTACACCGCATCCGCATAAAGCAGCCGTTTCGTCCTGTTGGTGTTCATCGGTGATACTAGGGACCAAAATGTCTGGAAATCCAAATAGGTCTAAATTACTTTTGAAATGGACGTAAAGGTGCATACAAACCGATAATCTAATGAATAAAAAAAGTTAGAAGTTACTGGTTCATTTCAAATTAATTTACTTATAGAATTTATAAAACTGCGCTAATGGCACATAGAAAATGGCTGTTCTCGTCAAGGTTTACCGTCCTGTATTACTTCCTCATCCTTGCCAAATGATTTTGATATTTGAATATTGTTGGCATCATGATTTTGGCTTGAATTACTTGAAATCGACATCTTCTACGGTGTGTATTTGTACAGTCTAATGTCAGCGCCAATTTCCAAGTCACACAACTGTTAAACCACGCCCCGAAATGAGTATTACTTGTCAATCAAAATGGCGCGATATTGTTTCATGTGCAATCAGCCAATCAATTGTAATATTATAATTTCATTGCTGTTGAGCATGCGTGAAATATTAAAGTTTCATTTCCAAATTAGTGTCGTCTGCACCAAAAGGCAGCCATATTTAAAAGTTTTGAATTGCAGAAGTTTGAACGAGACAATGGACAAACAAACGACTCTCCAAAGATTCCAAACAACGGGAAATGTGGTATATTATTTTTTTAACAAAATGAGTTGAAATGCTAACTTGTCCTGAAAAATAACCCTAGCAACTCTTCATGAGCAGTGAAGCATGATACGAGTTTGACTTTTATCCCACCAATGTCCAATTATCATTTGGGTTTAAATCCAATTAAGAATAGCGAATATCGTTTTACAGTGTGTACATCTTTTGACTAAATTTAATTTGGAATAGCCGTTCTTTCCTTCTTAAACGTGTGTGCATTTATCCAAACTCACCTTTCAGGGTCATAATGACTATCATTGATTTATTTCAGATTTCCAAATTTCAAACGATTATGAAAAGAGCAAAAAATACAAATTCACAAAAAGGAAAAGTGAAATAAACCTTCGTTCGTGTTACCACGGAATTAGAATCTAAGTCCGTGGTGTATCACTTTAGTTGGTTTGCGCTCCAAATTGATTGGCCGTTTATAGATACTTTGTGCAGACTTCATGATTTAAAAAAAAAATCTATTTCAGTGTTATTTGCTGTAACGTAATTTTGTTTTTGCGATGCGTAATTTATTTTTTCCCATTTACCGATTTGTCCGGAATCTGATTTCAATGCTACTTAGCGTGAACTTTGACCACGTGCTAGTATCTTTTTTTCATCATAAAAAAATAATGATGGCGAAAGCAGTCATATTGGAACGTGTTGAATTTTCCGAACTCTGAAAGAAGAAGATAAAAGCAGGAGTAGGCAGTAATAAAGAAAATAAACTATCATTTATAAGAAGTTTATTGACGTTTAAACAAAAGGTATACAAAATGGCGAAATGAAGATGTGGAACAATGTTACAACTGAAGAAAAACAGGCGACATACATCGTACCTACTACTATAATTTACTGAGGACCCTAGATATTTTATCACCTACTTGTACAGTTTATCCAAGATTAAATTATTAGCCAGGCAAAGTTCACAGCCACTCATCAAAGTGTACTTTCTTCCTGTTCTGAGAGTCTGACCTTATTCTTGACAAAATAATAGCCATTGTAATGTGTGGAAATGCATTGTAAAATTTGAAATACAGCAAAATATTAAGCCAATATTAATTCACAAAAATAAAAATAAAATAACATTAAAATAAAACTATTTGTCTACCGACCTACCCTATTTTTTTCAGACATGTTCACTGAAACAAACTTTTTTTTTGGCCTAATAGAAAAGAGGATAATACCTAACTATAGACACATTTAAACACAACTTGAATGAAAGAATAATACTTCCGAAAAAGTTTGTTTCACAAGACTTTATCCCGTCAATATCAAACACGTCGACACATTTGGGTTCGTATCCAATTACGATGTCATGTTACAATAGGGATGTGTGTCTTGTGGCTCAACTTCACTTGTTAGGAATCAATGTTCTTTCCTTCTTGAACTTTGTGCATTTTACCTCAAATAATTAACATTTGAGACCAACAAAATCCCCTTATATGAACGTGCATTTTTTCTTTACGTGTCGGGTAAGTTACACTTTGTGATCGATAATCCATTTCACTCGACTCTGATTGCAGTGCTGCCGGGCGGGTGTTTTAAACATCTTTTCCGTTTCATAAAAACAAACACTAATACGCAATAAAAATGAAATAAGCCATTGCAGAACTTTTAAGAATGGTTCAAAGTTTGAAAGAAGAACAATTCAACACTTATGTCATAATGTCTAACCACGGTGTCCCAATATGCGATCTTGTTCGATTTTACCAGAAATCAACAATATCTAATTCGAGGCAATCTAATGCCATATGTAATTTACTTCCTCTGTCTGGCTCAAAATATCTGTCGGGCATTCGGATGGCGCACTGGATAGCGCCATCACCTTTCAATATGACTGCTGGGGTTTAATTCCCCGATCGGACGTGTCAAGGTACGGGTCACCTGCCCGGGAGTAATCTGGTCACCTCTCATTTTCAAACCCCTAACATCCAGGCAAACAAGAGTGGCTAATATAAGCTAATGAAAGTTGTTGTAGAATTGTTGGGAATTCAATAAAGTTCATTTTGTTTCTAGAGTATCTACAGCTAACCATCGATATTATTGACTCGGACAGTCTTCTGGTTTTAATGATTTTGAAATTATTCAGATGATTTTGATATGAAATGAGACTCTTTCTTAGAATTTGTTTTGAATACTAACCACAAGGACATCACTGAATAAATATTATTATAATCATTTCTTTCCTTGTCATTTCCGTGGTTCATGGAAGCTAATGCAAATGAGAATATATCCCACCATAATGAATCATACATGTATATTTATCAGATTGGTTGCTTAGTTACATTAATCTGAGAAAATTAAACGTAACAAACAATCGGGGTTTTGACCATATTGATAAAGGGTCATGATCTACGGTAAGACCATTGCAGTGACACGAACCTGTCGACACTTCCTTTAAACTATATTCACGAAGGAAACTATGTTGCTGTTTATGGCTAAATCACAAATCTCATTATCTCGCTACCTCGACCTAAAGGCGAAAAACGCGAAAACATAAAGACAAAAACGTGAAAATACGACGACGGCGAGGGATTTCGCCGTTGTGTATTGGCGTTTTTGCCTTTAGGTCGAGGGAGCAAGATCACGAGATTTGCAATTTGGCCCTAACCGGCTACCATAGGGAACATATTCCGTCCTAGTCTGCTACAGAATTACATGTAAATTATAATTACGTGGAGTAGATTCCATCACTTCAGCATTTATTGAACACTGTGCAATTCTGCAGTTCCATGTAGTCGAGGAGTTTTTGAAGTCCGCGTTTCAGTGAAGCCGTTTTCGTGCTCAAATTCATTTTCTGTGTTTGATTCCAATTTCTTGTGTCGGTGATAAATTATTAAATTTTCACACTTTTCCAAATACAAGGAGGAACAAAGAATGTCGTTTTAGTCGTATAGACTTCACTTTTTGAATGTGTCGCATGCTTTCAGCACGTTACTAGAAAGTTGTTATGAGCACGAAATTCATGCTTGATACGGGATCACTGACAGCTGATAAAATATAAACGTACTTTCACTAGAATACGTTGTCCAGACCTGATATGACGTAGACATTTCTTTTTCTTCTTCTGTGAAAGAACGATGGTTTGGTTTGTTTGCGCTTTACGTCCTATTAACAGCTTTGTTCATTAAGGACGAGCCAGGTTTTGCTGGTGGAGGAAAACCGAAGTACCCGAAGGAAAAAAACAAAACAATGAAGGATAATGGGACTTTTGATAAGCAGATTAAGCCAAAAACGCTATTAAAACGGCGAGTTATATACTGTTAAAGTGGACATTTTCGCGGTGTGGAAATGATTGCGTTTTTCGCGTTAAAAAAATTAACGCGAAAGTATCCAAACGCGAATATTAAATAAAAAGATATTTAGATAAATAGATTTCAGAACCTTTGTCAACGCGAAAATTCTCATATTGATCAGTTCAAACAATCACAAACGCGAACATTTCCACACGCAAAAATGTCCACTTTTGCAGTCTTTCGATTTATAACTGGTATCGGTAATCACAGCTCCCGTCCATCTTGTGTTGTTTCCGAAATAGACCTAGTTGTCATATAAAGACGAACGTAACACACTTAACAAAAATAGTTATAGATACGCCAGAAGCATATATTCTGAATTGCCGTCAAACTGTCTGACAGTATTCGACTCCTATCACAGGAAACCAATTACTTCCATCACGCAGCAGTGCCAACCCCACGGGTTGGTTGGAGATTGAGAAAAGAATACACACTGTACCTGTTGTTACCTATTGTAATGCCTTGGTGGTGAGGGTTGGATTCTGTCTCTGACCGGACAAACCAAAGTCTCTAAAGTCGGCAATGCCGTTTGCTTGATATGTCAGTGTTAAAAGGGTGACAGTAAGGACTGGTTGATCTGTTGCCAGTATAATGCGACCGGTGGAGCGTCATGTTATCGTGTCCCGGTTATGTCATTTCAGTGAGAAAGCACTTTAAAGAGGCCCAGTCATCCATTGACACCATCTTGATATGACCTTGACTGATGGGAGAACGTAAAAACCCAGATAACAGACAAATCATGCAGCATTCCAGACAGTAATTTATCCACTGACTCCCGGAGTGTGAATTTTCTATGATTTATAGATTCCAAAAAATAATAAACTGTTTCTAGTTGGCATTCATTGGCATTCATAGACAGTTATGAATCACACACAGACAAATAAAGTGCTAGTGCTGTGTTGAATTTGCCTTTGTCCAGCTGGCATTCATATTGCCTCTGAATGCAACTGAAGGCAATTCCATGCTTACCTATCATTCAGTTTCTTGTTAATGATAACTTCTGTAAATTATTGTACACAAATGATAACAGTGAATGTTTGATTTCAGGTCATGTACATAATTCTGAAGTGTTTTTTAATATTCACCCCCCACAATAACAAGAGGCCCAATGGGCCTGCATCACTCACCTGGTATAAATCTCACACTTGTAACCTTAAAAGTGATTTAAAATAAAGCTACAGGCAAAATATCAGTATTTATGATTAAAATTCATTCAAAAGAGCCTGTTAATTTTTTTAAAACATTTCATCCCTGTGATTGAAAGTCGAACAAAGTCATAATGTTGAACAAATTTTATAGCCTTTCATCTCAGGATGCAACTTGCAAAGTATCAACATCCTGGGACCCATGGTTATTCAGAAGAGGTCGTTTAAAGATTTTAAACAAATTTGACCCCTGTGACCTTGAATATAAGTCAAAGTCATTCACTTTAACAAACATAGTAGTCCTTGATCCCAGCATGCTACTGACTAAATATCAACATCCTGAGCCTTTTGGTTATTCAGAANTTCATTTGAACAAACTTTGTAGCCCTTCATCTCAGCATGCTACTGGCCAAATATCATCACCCTGGGCATTTTGGTTATTCAGAAGAAGTTGTTTAAAGGTTTTTTAAGACAATTGACCCCTGTGACCTTGAATATAATTGAAGGTCATTCATTTGAACAAACTTGGTAGCCCTTTACCCACGCATGCTACTGGCCAAATATCATCTCCCTGGGCAGTTTGGTTATCGAGAAGAAGAAGTTTAAAGTTTTTAACATATTTGACCCCTGTGACCTTGAAATCGGGTGAAGGTCATTAATTTTAACAAACTTTGTAGCCCTTCATCCCAGTTTACATCTGGCCAAATATCATCACCCTAGGCCTTTCGGTTATTAAGAAGAAGTCGTTTAAAGTAAAATATTGACGCCGGACACCGGATGGACGGACGGACGGACGGACGGACGCCGCGCCATGGTATAAGCTCACTTGGCACTTCGTGCCAGGTGAGCTAAAAAACCATTTGCTCTGTATCCTCAAACTGCATTGCATAGAGAATGGAATGCATGCTCTGTCCGAGACTATAATATAAATTGGCCACCGGTGACCACTGTATGATGTCACCTGTCTGACAGTGTCAACACTGACTTTTGCTGTTCCAAGAACTTCAGTTTCTTGTGTTGAGTTTCTTCGAAAATGGTGTTGATACTAATGTGTCAATTTGATGACCAATTTTTCATAACCATTTTTGTTCACATTGATAAAAATATATCAGATTTGAAGATTGCATTTTCCAAAATAAAAAATAAAAAGTAAATTTCAATCACAAGTACTGTAAAATTGTCATAAAAGACGAAAATATCAACTTTTTATTTTCCCCCAAAACGTTATGGGAAAATCTACAATTGTAATTCAGTAACATTCAAGCTATTTTGTTGAAAAAAGTTAAACATATTATTGTTGGTGATTCAGGGTCCTACTTCTGATGAAAACAGAACAAGAACAAACGACTATGTGTAATGAAGCTTTTATTTCAAATATGCGGCTATACAAGGGTACAAACATGGACCTACAGAGGGTAGTCAGAGAGATGCACAAATATATAGGTATCTATTACACAATCATCAGGAGGGAGTGTACAAATTAATCATAAAAATCATCTCCCTTTAAATGTTTTATCATCTTTCATTTCTCCTCAATTTAAAAATGTCATGTTTCAAAAGAAAAGATGCAAAGTCTGGAATTATATCAATTTGGATTAAACAAGATAATCCCTTCACATTTTCTCATTAAAGTTTCCAAACCTATTATTTAAGTCATGTGTTCCTTTCACATGAAAAATACCAATGTTAAATATACAACTTGTAAGGAATAACAGACTTTGCATCTTATAAATACAATAATTAATATGTACCATACTAGAGCAGTTGTTTCTCTAGAAAAAAAATGTAATTTTTGTTTATATATTAATCAATCATTATAAGTAGTAAGTTAAGTTTGATGTAAGTACAAAGTGAGCATGCCACACAAAGAAAAAGTACACTAGAAAAGATCCAATCAAAACTGATTAACCAATTAATGATGCTACTTTTCATTCTGAAACTTCTGAATTGAAATAAATTCATGCACATTTTACCTCTGATCTTGTTTTCTTTTCACATATTTATCTCCCTTCATGATCAAGTTGTCTCCCCTGGCACACTTGCACACAACCATAAATTTTGAAGTTTAATTACTTAAAAATTCATATAATCACATCAATTTGAAAGTTCAATCATTCAAATTTTACAATGTTAACTACTTTGCAAGAATTGTGCAGTGGAACTGGAGGGCCAGTTCCAGTCCAGTGCACAAGACTGTTGACGGGTTGTTTAATAGTCTCGGAGACGAGTAACGTGATTAGGGAAAGCTCCCCAACCATCTATACACTTTCTTTTGGGTATGTCAGTGTTTGGTATCCATCCTTGTATACAATGAAATCCATGTGTCTTTGGAAGAAGGACAAGTAGATTTCCCTATGTTGTCTCTGAAAGCACATGGTTTGTTTGATTGGGGTCCTTTACTAAATGGTGGTAAATCAATGGTAAGTCTGTATAAGTTTCATGACAAAATAGTCTTGTTTCCATTTCTTGAATACACATAAAACATAAAACAAAAAAATAATGAATTTTCTTAATAAGGTAAACAGGAAATGGGAATGAAAAAACAAGAAACGAAGGAAGACCTGTACATAAATGTAGAGATAAGTTATCAATGAAGCTACGCATTCATTGTCAACAAAATATGTAAATCTTTGATAAACATTACAAAACAGAGGAGCTATTTATAGACAGCAAGGCTCCAATTACATTTCCAAAACTGTATATATATGATATAAGTACATAAGTACTGCAACAGCTCATGCAAACAGTAGTATTCTACAACATTATCAACAAGTTAATACCGATCTTGAAGCATGGTGAATTAATGAAATTAGAAAATATACAGATCTATGATAATTTTCTCCGTACTGCCATATCAGATCTCAGAGGGCCCATATACAATGGAACCTCATTTATTTAAACTAGGAGTGAAAATCCTTGACATTCAAGTTAGAAATTTATTCCTATTTTATAATTGGAACTTGGAGTTTATGCAGTTAAAACTGATACTATAAAGCAAAGATACATTGTCATATCTTATTATTTAACAAGCAAAATCGTATTCTATAGGGGCCAAGAAATCTTGACTAAAACTAACATTTGAATATTTTTTTCGTTTTAAGAAAAAAACAATTCGTTTAAGGAAAAACTCTTCAAAGTAACATGATGTACATGTTTCGTACATTATTAAAAAATTGTTTCAAAATCCAATCTGCACAATTTATCGTAAAAACTGATAACATAAGCTTTAATAACAAAAGTCATCTGTGTGCGAAAATGCAAACCAGGCATAAATGTAATTTGCGAAAAGTTAAGCCTTATGTATATGATTTAATGGAACTCCTATGACTGTTCAATGTTCTTTATGATGAGTTATTACACGTCGTGCTCCAGGGCTTTGGAGGTAGTCTCCTTTTCCCCTCCGTGTTCCATGAACTGGTCAATAATTTGTCTCATACTGTCACGGAGCTCCTCTGGGGGTTCATTGTCCTGTTGGATACGCGACTCCTCCGTGACAAACGTCTGTTCCTGTCCCTCCTTCAACACAGTCTTTGTGTGAATCTCTTTCTTCATGTATAGTCTACAACGGAAAACAACTCTTGTAATTTGTAAGAATTAATCAGGAATATGAATAAGACAGACACATTGATTTGTTGCTGTCCCCACTTTTGGTTCAAGCTGAATGCATTATAACAAACACAATATATCAAATTGATACCTTATGCACTATAGTAAAGGTAATGAATAATTTTCAGCTATTCTTTTCTGTTCTCTTTCACAATAAAATGTACCATGCACAATAATTTCTCATATTTCTTTGGAAACTTGGTATAAAAATAAAAATGGTTAGCTGTTTTCCAATGAACATACAGGTATCTTTAGTAACAAATCTTTTGTTTGATTGCTGTTTTGGGAAGAGTTAAAACTGACCCCAGTTTCATGAACATTCCTTAATTTCAGGAAATTCCTTAACTTAAGTTTTCCAAAAGGAAAACGTTCTTGTAGATGAAGATACATGTACATCTTATGTTTCAGAAAAGGTTTTCATTGCAGAGGAAGATCTTAAGAACTGCATCTTACTCCTTAGGAAAACAGTTTTGAGTGTCCCCAAAACAGCCACCAAACAACATTACAGTTTAAATTACTTGAGGGTGTGTGTTACCTACGTTGCTGATCCTTCCTCGTCTCCCTCAGCTCCCTGGGGTTGTCTGTCTTCTGCAGAGAAACAATATGGCTGACATGAGAACAAATTCACTGATCGTCATATTTTGGAGTTGTTTACATCAAACAAATTGTCAATTCAAAATTCTTCATAAACAAATTACTGAACTGAGCTCCATTCATTACATTAGAACATAATTTGTAAAATATCAATAAAATTGACTTGCCTCATGCGAGAGGTATATCATTGTTCAATGTTATTTAAAATAATAGCATATTACATGGACATTCCTGACCATGTTTACCTACCTGACATCATGTATCAAAGATTATATCATTTCCTTTTTGGGGGTCAATCTACCATATGAAGGACAGGTTGACAATTACCCCCTATAGGAATATTTTGTGATTCAATTATCAGAATAATGACTGTCTTTGAATGTTAATATATTTGTGAGAATTTACTTCAACAATGATTCCTGTTGTTTAGCCTTTTACCAAGAACGTTGTATTAAAAATGCCAATATTTTCAGGCAATATTCAAACATTTACACAACTTGCAAATAACTTGCTGGATTCTGGAGTAAATATTTTCCAACTCTCTAAATTTTTGCATCTACCTTCAGCCTCTGAAAGTCAGAGTTATATCAATATCATAAACCTTGGTTTTGGGTGCTACGAAAAGTTGCTCAACCTATAGTTGAATTAAATCCCAGATCCAAGGAATATGAACAGTTTTTCAATCTATGTTTAGAATCAAATCAAGATGTTAGTTTTTCTACCTATCGTAGGTACCACATCCAGATCTCAGGTGATATACACAGTAGTCTGGCTATGTTAGGTAACACACACAGATCTCAGGTGATATAAACAGTTGTATTACCTATGGTAGGTACCACATCCAGATCTCAGGTGATATAAACAGTTGTATTACCTATGGTAGGTACCACACCCAGATATCGGGTGAAATAAACAGTTGTCCTACCTATGGTAGGTACCACATCCAGATCTCAGGTGATATAAACAGTTGTACTACCTATGGTAGGTACTACACCCAGATATCAGGTGATATAAACAGTTGTACTACCTATTGTAGGTACCACACCCAGATATCAGGTGAAATAAACAGTTGTCCTACCTATGGTAGGTACTACACCCAGATCTCGGGTGATATTAACAGTTGTCCTACCTATGGTAGGTACTACACCCAGATATCAGGTGAAATAAACAGTTGTCCTACCTATGGTAGGTACCATACCCAGATATCAGGTGATATAAACAGTTGTTTACCTATGGTAGGTACCACACCCAGATATCAGGTGATATAAAGAGTTGTACTTCCTATGGTAGGTGCTACACCCAGATCTCAGGTGATATAAACAGTTGTCCTACCTATGTTAGGTACCACACCCAGATATCAGGTGACATAAACAGTTGTCCTACCTATGGTAGGTACCATACCCAGATATCAGGTGATATAAACAGTTGTTTACCTATGGTAGGTACCACACCCAGATATCAGGTGATATAAACAGTTGTACTACCTATGGTAGGTACTACACTCAGATATCAGGTGATATAAACAGTTGTACTACCTATGGTAGGTACTACACTCAGATCTCAGGTGATATAAACAGTTGTTTACCTATGGTAGGTACCACACCCAGATATCAGGCGATAAGAATAATTGTATAACCTGTTGTTCGATTTAAACCAAGATCTAGGGTGCTGAGAACAGTTGCTGTAGTTGTTCAGCTTGTAGCAATTTTCCAACCAAAATCTATGATGTTATGATCAGATGCTCAACCTTAGGAAAATATCGAAGAAATAATTGAAATTGATCTCTCTGAGGAAACTGTTTTTATATTTTGAAATAAATATATGTATATTTCTGTTTTAGTGAGTCAAAATAATTGCATTTCATCATAAAAATACTAAGGGGTTACATATATGAAGTAAAGGGAGATAAAAATCTATTTCATAAGAAATTTGAAGAGTGTTGGTACAAGCTCACTACAGCACTTGAAGTCACAGTACATGTACAACACAAAATGTACAGAAAAGAAATTAAACGAAAATTGAAATAATACTGGTGTAAAATGAAATAAAAATTACACGCCATACCAAAAATCAATGACCTTGACCTTTCATACATTACAAACACCCAACAGCCATCTTCAGAGATTCAATCTATTATCTTTCCAACTAATATTGATGAGATTCACACTCATTGGGCAGCTGGTATCTACCAGGAAAAACCAAGATGACAATACAAGGTCACAATTCCACAGAAGACGGAGTTAAGAACGTTGATGATTGTGAAAAACATCAATATCTTCAGGAAGAAGAGAGTTGGGGTCTTGCCTTGGTTTCACAAATTGTCCACATTAGCTCAGTGAAAGTTTTACCTTAATTTTACCTATGGAAAATTAAAGCCAGAGAAAAAAATCTTGGTTATGATATGTCATGAAACCGAAATCATTTTGGTGGTCTTTATTTGAGAATAATGAAAAATATCACCATAAGAGAACATTTGAGTTTGAAATAATATCTGTACTTTTTCTTGAAAAAGGATATTCAATTATTTCAGAGGCTATTCACTTATTTCAAACTATTTTTCATCTTCCAATAGTGATCTTACACATTGTTTTCAACATAGAAATAGGAAACTTAATTGGCCATATTAGCCATATTTTGAAGTTATTTGATGAGCTAGTATGTTCTAACACACAGCCAATTCATCTGTGAGGATGTCCTTAACAATCCAAGGGATGAGAGAACTCCCAATTTCCACCTGACCATACACTGTCATCTGTCATACAATGGCCATCACCATTATTTCTATTCAGACAGGTATTGTTGATAATCAGTAATGCAGGGATCAGTCATTAATCTTTCATTTAAAATACTATTCAACAAATATTTTTACTTATGCACTAATAAATATGAATTCAACAGAAACAGCAATTCAACCTCTTTCTCAGGTAAATCCTTCAAATATCAATCAGAGCTACAATTGTATTTCAAAGACAGTTTCTGATGAGTAAACCCCCTAGTCACCACTAAAATGATAATATATACAAAAATTAAAGTCAATTTCTAAAAGTGTTGTTTTATTTTTTTGTTTTGTTTTTTGTTTTGTAATGTATCGAAATCGAGTCTTTTCCTGAATGTTCTGTCAGACGTGCCATTATATTACTGATATGTCCTTTATTGTAACACTGAGCATGATGGGGCTGATGTTAATTAAGCCTGTATTGTATCTAACACAGATGCACAGTATTGTTGTGGAATTGATACAGAGTATGAAAATAACCTTGGCTTTTTACGCTAAATCAATAAAAACACTCTCAACGTTCTAATAATCTGCAATCAGTAAAAACCGTTCGAAGAATGGCAATGAATTAGGAACCGTGGGAGTTAACGCATCAACACAGAAGACAAACACCTACGCTCATGATCACTCCCCGCACCTATAACAGTGAGGGTTAATGAAATCTACTCATTCACTGACAACGAAAGCAGTGCATTAAAACAAAAGAGAAACAAAAACACAACTGACAACTACCGTAAATTAATCAAGGGTGGAAAGGTGGAGGAAAGCCGAAAATTTGAATCGGGGGGAAAAAAGCAGATACAATGAGATTCTCCTGTCATGCAAACATCCTTCTGACCTGGATGACCTAGATGTTTAGGTGTTGTGAAGTCGAGAACTTCATCTTCCTCAGAGTCTTGGTCTTCCTCTCCCGGTTCATAATAAATTGGACCACTTCTCTGAGCTACGGGTACTAAACACAATAAATACTCTCATCAATTTTCGTCATTAGAATTTCTCCGGCTTTGTCTTTTTGTCGATACCTTATATGAATCAGCTTATTTTCATAATTTACATTAATCTTCCAATTTAAAAAGACACTCTTCATGAATTCAAATAAGTAAAACATTTCCTGCTTGTAACAAATTCAAAATATTGATAAAAATTGAGATGGACATATTATCATTTATACATAACAGAATATAGGCTCCCTTTTTTTTCTCTCTGAAAAATTGATCCGACCCTTTAGCATTAACTCCTGGTTATTGTTATCGCTAGACCCGGAGTTAGGTCTCTAGTCTTGAGTACTGTAGTTTTGATTTGACATTATGTGATAATAGCTTGCTTTATACATGCCAATTACATTAGTGCCTTATAAATCACTTTTCACTCTGCAATTATTTTAACTGACCCAGATTTCTATAGTAACACTTATCTCCATAAATTGAGACCTCTGTTTTTTTTTCCAGAATGAAGAGTATCATAAATAAGATACTTGAGAAAGCTAAAAAACAGATGTCTTTCTTCAAACTCATATTCTATTTAGAATGCTTATGACAAAAATCCATGTTAAAATGTTTGAATAAAACTTGACTTAAAGTGAAAAAGTCAAAATTTTAAAGAAGAAACAAGAATTTTGTTATGCTTTGGGTTTTAAAAAAATATGTATTTTTGTTACAATTTGTTACAAATTGATTGAAGTGTTTTCAGACTTGTACCAGGTACAAGTAGAAAATGGGCAAATTTTGTGATGAAGGAATGTTTGAAGCGCCATTCAGTTTCCGAACCTGTGGTTATAGTGCTATGAGACTATGACAAACATGATAGGCAATACAATGTGAAGCACCCCCCACCCTTCCCCTCTCCATAGCATATACATATTTCCTTAGCAGTAACATCAAGTGCAAGAGACGCACTGGACACAGGTGCATCAATTGTGCAATGAACACATGTACGTTCAGACAAGGAATGACTTCCACACAACATCGTACTATCTAGGGTTACATCTAATCAGACAATATCTATTGTTGTCACTGGCAGTGTTAGAAATCTAGTAGCATCTAATGTTCACCAATATAACACAACATGAACCAAAGTGAGACAAGGCAAAAACTTTGTTGTGAAAGGGTCATTAAGTACAGATCACTGTCAAAAATATGTACTTTGAGTCACTGTCAAAATATGTACTTTGAGTCACTTTCAACATATGTACTGAGTCACTGTATTATGAGTCACTGTCAACAAATGTACTGAGTCACTGTCAACATATGTACCGAGTCACTGTCAATATATGAACTATGAGTCACTATCAACATATGTATTATGAGTCCCTGTCAACATGTACTATGCGGTACTGTCAACATATGTACTATGAGTCATTGTCAACAAATGCACTAAGTCACTGTCAACATATATACCGTGTCATTGTCAACATATGAACTATGAGTCACTATCAACATATGTACTATAAGTCAATGCCAACATGTACTATGCGGTACTGTCAACATATGTACTATGAGTCATTGTCAACAAATGCACTAAGTCACTGTCAACAAATGTACTCTGAGTCACTGTCAACATATGTATTATGAGTCCCTGTCAACATATGTGCTATGAGTCGGTCAACATATGTACTCTGAGTCACTGTCAGCATGTGTTCTATGAGTCAATTGTCATCATATGTACTATGAGTCACTGTCAACATATGTACTACATATATGTACTCTGAGTCGCAATCATCATATGTACTCTAAGTCATCTCAACATATGTACTATGAGTCATTGTCAACAAATGCACTAAGTCATTGTCAACAAATGCACTGAGTCACTGTCAACATATGTATTATGAGTCCCTGTCAACATGTGTTCTATGAGTCAATTGTCATATGTACTATGAGTCACTGTCAACATATGTATTACATATGTACTCTGAGTCACAATCATCATATGTACTCTAAGTCATCTCAACATATGTACTATGAGTCACTGTCATTATATGTACTATAAGTCACTGTCAACATATGTACTATGAGTCACTGTCATTATATGTACTATAAGTCACTGTCCACATATGTACTATGAGTCACTGTCATTATATGTACTATAAGTCACTGTCAACATATGTTCTATGAGTCACTGTCATTATATGTATTATGAGTCACTGTCAACAGGTGTACTATGAGTCACTGTCATTATATGTATTATGAGTCACTGTCAACAAATGCATCATGATTAACTGTCAATATTTATACAATGAGTCTGTCAAATATCCGTTCTATTGTTGATTAACTGTCAGTGTTTTCCTGATATAAGACTAACTATCAATATATACATGTACTGTGAATACCAATCCTTTGTGCAAATGACATTTAACTGTACAACATCTTGAAGAAGGTGAAAGGTGGATGAAAAGGTCAGATTCTTCAGTAGTTTCTTTTCTGACAAGTTGCTATCTCAAGAGAGAAGTTAGCGATGTCAGTAATTTACATCTGCTGGCAGGTGCCAAACCAATAAACCAAAGGGTGTTAAAGAACATGTGGGAAAGTTTGACTACAGAACCACCATAGGATCAACCAACTATTAATACATGAGGTCAGAAGACAAGGAGAGGCAGAGGTCAAAGGTCAAGGTTGGATAGAAGTCAAAGATAAGGGTTAAACCAATGAGATTCCTTGAACCACAGTAAATTAGAAATATTAATAAAATAGTCGAACAAAGAAACAAAGTTCTACTTTCTAACCATAAAATGTGAAGTTAAAAGCATGCATGACATGGATCACTACTCTAACCAATAAGACAAAACAACATTAGACCGGAATCCTACCGAACCGCTCGGGTATCCCTAGGGACAACTCCTTGTGTTCTGTGACATCATATTCTGCAAAGTCGTCGTCATCAATTGACGCTACACGTCGCGGATCAACTGTAGTGGAAATGAATGGCCTTATGTTGAGACTTAAAGGAGAGGTAGTATCGAATTCCCCCTTCAGCATGGAATGGCATTCATATATAGATGTGTCAGATATTTTATCAAAGACGTGATATAATTAGGAGCACGATACCTAATAGGAGTGTAGCGAGATTTCAATTCAATTCCCTTTCCTAGAATTAACACTATAGGTGAATAATTCTACAAACATCATTTTCACTATTGGCAATTAACCCCATACCAATTTATGCTTGAACAATTACCAAAGCTCTGGTTTTCCCCTACGGGCGTAACAGGAGAACTCCCTTGCGTCGTAACACAGTATAGAATTATACAATTCTAAAATTGATTAATGACATTGACAAATAGGCTAATAATGATTTATGAAGCAACAAGTACCAATAATCCATGATTTTGGAGCACACTGTACATTTCACAGTACACTGTATATTCTTTTTGTTTTCATGTTAACTAACTCTGTAAACAAGCAGTTGTTTGAATAATTCCGGAGTTCGTTGATGACTAGGATTGAGGTCAAGAGATAATAGGAAAGTGGGTGTCCAGTAGTCGTAACAATTTCTCTATATGTCCCCATTTACTTATTGCTCCAGCGATGAACTCTACTTACCGTCAATATTGCATTAATGTCATGGAGTAATAAGCCTGATCAAATAATGTCACCGACGATCAATATCCATTAAATGTAGACCTTTTATTGTAACCACTCCACAACAGCTAAGAGTCTACGTGACCCAGCTCCTTCGGGACCAATATTTAGTACTGTAGCTTCATATTCATTTTATAGAAGGTTATTTCCATTTGTGGAGAAAAAGGTTTAATAGAGATGAAAAAATATGAGGAATAAGGTTTAAGGTTTTACTGAAATTTCATTAAGAGATATTCAAATCTTACCAAACAACAGGCCCAATGGGCCTGTTACCTCACCAGGCATATATTGTTGAAATGGTTGAAGAAAATTTATACTGAAATAATGGATTATCTATAAATCATTTAAAGTTTGCAAAAAAATATTCTGAAAATATTTACCAGTGACCATTGTCTGGTGAACTAACATGATTTATAACATGTCCTCTTATGATAATGGATGTAACAATTTGCAATGTATATTCAATTCAAAAATAAATCACTGAAAGTAATGACACACAATAAATATGATACAATATAAAAGCAGATGATTGTAAAAGATCATTCAAAGAAGCCAAATTGAAAAGCAAGGGGAAAAAATAGAAAAAAAAAGTTCTGCATCTTGATATTGGAACCAAACTAATTAAGAATATCTGAAAACCACAACAGTCAGAAACTTAATTGCAATCATTCAGGTAAAGAAAAGAAAGAAAAAATTGGTGACAACAGTAAAACCTAGGTTTTGTATCCTTGACCTTCACTCCAGACAGAAGCTTCCGAAACATCAAACTAAAAACAGGGATTATTTGGGGGAAATGATCTAACTGACTGAAATCGATGAATTCAGACATTTTCGTGCCAATCAGAGGACACAAAGGATTTCATTACAACCCAACAAACCTTAAAACTGAACTAATTCAGAATCGGTCGACAAATAAAATAAAATTATACATAAATACCAAAGTCGATCAGGACATTATGAGGTAGATTTAACTGACTTTTAAGTTTGGGGACAGATTATTTCAACGTTATCAGATTTACAAAAAATGCTGAAACAATTTCGCACAGACTAATTTGTTAAGAGAATGATAAATCTTTTTAATACAAAAATTTATCATCAAGAATTCAATTATCTGTCACGCACTGGACAGAAAACGTGTTGTAAGAGCTTGGAGTATTTGGGCAAAATATGGATTTCAAATCCTTATCTATAAATCAAAATCTATTCATTCTTTTTTTCACAAATATGTATCTCTTCCAAATTTCCTCAACAACTTTCTCTCAACACTTTTTTAATGACAAATATTTACCAAACATTTTTGTAAACTCGAAATAACACCTTGTATGGAGAAATCAATGTAAGAAATAATCATTATCAAAATCGCCTCCTTTTTTCCCTTATATCTCATAAACATTACACTTGAATCTAAATTTAGAACATTCTAAAACTTTCTTTTTTGATTTCAGTGAGGCTTACAATAGTTCTTACAGTATTTTATTCTTTCAATTTTTTTACCATCAACAACATGGTTGATCAGTCTGTAATATTATGTGGATCTAGGGTGCACTACACAAGGGGGTTCACACCAGGGGGACGAGTACTGATGCCTTACCTCCAAAATCTAGTATAGGTCCATAAATTATCGGCCCATATACATCATCATCATCTCAAAATGGAAAAGGTCAACAATTATACACACATTACACCAGCCATATATAGATATAAAAAACACTTAATATCATAAGTCATGCCTCCACATTCAGTTATTTACATATCTACATATAAGTATAGTTTAAAAAAATAATAATTCTAAAATGTTGTAATCATTGCAGAATATTTCATTTGTTCCAAATTAAAACATTTTCTCAAAATTGCCTCACAATATTTGGACTCTATTGTTAAAATGAACTGAATTCCTCCTAATAGATCTTTTATGATGTATGAATTGGAAAAAAATGGAAAATTCTGACCTGTAACAAGAAGATATAAAATAATCTATATTATTATATAAATAATTATTTTCATAGAAATCCAAAATAATTTTCAAATACCTGTATGTGGAGACATAATAAAACACACAACAATATAAAACTGGAATTGAATGGAAATTATATGAAAACGAAAAATAAACAATAATTGATGACACAACACCTATAGTGATATAAATATCTTATAAAATTTAACCTCTTTCTGAAGCTGTAGTGGCTGATGCCATTTCTTCACGTCTCTCTATACCTGGAAACAGTGATAGAATGTCTCATCTTATAATTATCCTGAGTCATTGTGATTTTCACAAAATCATTTAAAATAATTTAGAAGACTTTTCTTGAATTTCTAACAAATACATAATGTTATCATTGAGGGGGCACATGCATTTATTTCAACAATGGCAAAAGAAAAACTTCAAGTCATGCCAGGAATTTGTGGTTGTAAAAATCGTCCAAGGTTTTTTCCCCCAAGCTTCCCTCATAAAATAATGTGTGTGTGCTGTATCTTAATGTTAACTCTGGCTAATGAGTGAAACTGATGTTCCCTAGCTAAATAAAACTAGTCTGAAAACATAATGATGAAAATCAATGAATAGATAGTACATATGTGTGTTTTTCATAGCCGTTGGACCGCGTATACAAACATCGCACATACATATACAACGGCGACCGAGTCGCCGGTTGATGACTCAACTAGAATCTGACATTTTTGAAATGTTCATTCGACTCGAATGGTGCAGCCATCTTATCTTAACAGAAATGTTTGTAAAATGCCTACAATGTGTTGTAAAATCCCACTCAAAATAAAAAAAAAAATCAATTTCTGATTCCAGACGGAATCTACAGACGTTTTCTTACAAGATACAGGGTACAGTTGAATGAAATCAAGTACAAACAGCCCTTAGGGACGTGTGGTATGACTCATAATGACTGTAACAATATTTCTCAATCAATACACTGCACTGTCGTATCCAATTACATGTAATTCTTTCAAATACCGTATTTACGTTGTATTATCAATAATATTTCTCCTTTCCGGTTGAATTCGATGAATCATACCATCCTGGAACTTAGTATTCTTTTCTGTTATCCCTACGTGTAAAATTTGTTATGAATTTAATACACAGCTAAAAAGTATATGCCAGAAGTCTTAAAATATAACATTTAAATTTTTGTTTACTATATGAGTAACGTTAGGGTTAAGTTTCTTTACCTCAACTTAAGTAATGTAGAATAGTTATCATTCTGTTTGGATGTATGAGGGGAACTTGCGACTATAGCGTAAATGTGATGACATTCAAAATCAATCTTTTATTTGCTAATTTGTTGAATTTCATTTCATTAGCAAATTTTCAGATTTCATGAATCTTCATAATTGATTTTTTTTAGAGCAATATAAATTAGCCAACATACTGGTCAAATTAACCTAATTCCTACAAGAAACCTACAAAAAATAAAACCTTCATTTAGGCTGCATAATAGACTTTGAGTGACAGTAGAAAAGCACTTCCACGATGTTGACACCCCAGAATTTTAGCCAAGGCTAAGCCTCTGGGACTATTTTGCTAGACCTAACACACCACTCATTGGCTTTTCCCACTAATATGAACATATTAAGAATCGTCCAGAGTATTCATTTTTTTAGGTATAAATAAGTTACCCGCACAGTTTGCCTAGGCTAGTATGTAAAAGTCCCAACGGACTCATCCTAGTTCATGGAGTTGAGAGCAATGACGTCATTATTGTGGCTACCTTCTACCCTTTATCACTCTTGATTATTACATTTTCCCTTCTGACGCTAATTTCAATTCTGAGAACTATATCTTTTATCAAAAAGGTCAATATTTTCTCTTATGAGAATTTTGGGCCCCGGTGGCTAAGTGGTTAAGGCGTCTGACGTTCTGCTACCACTAGCCTTCCACCTCTGGGTCGTGGGTTCACGTTTTGGTGGCACATTTGGTGGCTTTCCTCCACCAACAAAACCAGACACATCTCGAATTGACCATAGCTGTTAATAGGACGTAAAACACAAACAAACCAAACAAAAACTTTTGAGAATTTCAATTCCAGAACAATGCCTTGATCACAAAAAAATAATTTAAAAAAATGTATGCATGAATTTCAATTTCGTAACAACTATGTTCTACCGTTGCAATCAATCAATGTATTGTTTATACAATTTTAACAAACAACATTCTAAACTGAAAGCTCGAATTTTTATGTGTTATCTGTACAGCGATCCCAGGGGTCATACAAAACTTGCCGCACAATCAATTTTCCAGCCAACAGCAAAGATCTACCATTTAAAGAACACATATACATTTAAAACTTCACACACACAAACACACACACATATATTTAACCTCCAGATTCCAGTTCATTCACAGTATTTCTTCCTGAGATAGAACTCCCACTGTCCATATAGAGAAAGGCGTTAGGCTTAATTTACACATGGAATCCAGTTCACTTGTGGTGTACAGGACTAACACAAAATAAAATCTATGAAACACTTGTACAGGAATCTATTGGAAAAACCTCCCAAAATAACAGCATGCTCAAATGAAATATAGTCCCAAACACACGTGCTTGAACCCTGTTATGACGGGTTTCAAAACAATGTATTCCTACACATATCTCGCAGAAAGCTTTGAAAAAATGATGCACTTGCTGAAATATAGTTCCTGACACACACGTTTGATCCAAGTGTTCCAAAACAATTATTCCAGCATAACCTCATAAACGAGTCAGAAAAGGTCAACACACTATAGGTGATCAAATCTGCAGGAGCAATGCAATAAGCACTCTGCCACTGTTCAAATGTGAGTGCCACCACGTTAGCCACATCTGTGGCTGTGGCTCACCCTCTGACCAAACAATGGTGTCATTGAAACCACAGCTGGCTGACTAACCAGCCGTGGCCTAATCAAGTAACAAGACACATTATTGATTCTGGGCATTGATCTCTCCAGCAATGGACTCAGAAGGCCTCTCAAGGTAGGCCACTCTACTGACAGATCTAGGCAGTGTGTGGTGGGGGGCTGGGTTGAAGCATTTCCCAATGACACAAGGGGTAATTTGTGATAATCTGTGGAAAATGTACACAGTTGAAAGTCGTTAATCTAGATTCCGGAAGCCGGAAAACTGATTTTCTTGATAGTCGCTACTTGCTACCCTGAAGCTGGGCGTTTTCGTGTATTTCTAATAGCTATAATCTAAAATATCATTTACTAGAGGTTTCGTTTATCTGGAATGTAGTATTTGGTCTACAATAAAAAAAAAATCAGAAATAATTACCGGTAATGTTTGTTCTGCAAGATACAGGTAATACAATGAACATCATTTTCAACGCATTGAACTCACAGACAAGAATGTGTATCACACTAATGTCTCGTATGTAGTAGTGTTGATAAGATAAATAGTCAATCTCAGGGAATGCCTCTAAATGATTAGGAACCTAAAACAGATGTCCCTTCTATATTCATTTTTGTCAGAAAAGCGCGCAGTATCAATAATATAAAAAATATATAAAAATTTATTGATTTCATTTTTCAGGAAATTTCACAAATGTATCAATTTTATTTTATTTTACATATACTCAAAAGGCTGTTTAAAAAGTAACAAATATTCTACAATTATTTTATACCAGTGAATATTTCAGTTTTTCAAAATTTTGATATATGCTAGAACTTTCTAAAAAAAAATCTTGAGTTGTGAACACAACAAAAACATGATGGCATGTCATACCAACACTTTCAATTATCTTTTTGAAAAGATACATTGCATAACGAAGCAATTTACCAACAGCCAAGAAAAAAATAAAAGGTATGGCGTTGTAGCTGAGTTAGAGGTTTGAACTTTAGTTGCCCACCATGTCTGGAGTTAAAAACCGCATCAACCAGCAACATGAGGTTGAAACGTTATTAAACATTCTAGACGTCTTGACAGTCTTGACAAAGGCTGGTAGGTTTTAACAAGAGATTTCCAAAGCATTGACTGTGATTGTTTGCTTCAGAAATATATGAAACCCATTATCCTGGAGTTTTTCTTGGTGCACATGCATAACTCTGTCAACTAAATTCAGGTTTAAAATGTATCAATTTTCTAAAAGTTTGGTCTAATACATAATGATGACCACTTCAGAAAATAATGAAACTTAAAAGTATATGAATATGAAAATACTTACTTTTTTCCCTCATCTTGTAAACACACTTATGTACAATAGATCTACTTCCCTTACACAATCTTTTTCAAATGAATTGGTTCATGCTTGAGCAGACGGTCAGTGTATGGATACAAAACAAGAATGCCCTCACATTACATGTAGGTATAGCGCAGTATGATTAAGGTATGAAACCATTTCTAGCCCCGGAGAGTAAATTAGATTAACAAGTTCAGGACGTGTAGCCCCCGGATCCCGTGGGATTTTAAACGGCCGGATAGCAGATACTGCATTGCATCAGCCACCATAGTAACGCACACACAATGCGTTTTCACACCGAATTGATCAAGCTTTTACGTGAAAATGACTAACGTGAGTACTAAATCAATGAAGGCGAAGTGGCAAAAGCTCTTGCAATTCTGTTTTCATCCAGGGTCATGAGCTCGGATCAGACATGTAAACACTGGTAGAATTTTTAATCAATACCAGGCTAATTAGTCTGATATTGCCAGACTTTGCTGCTTACTCTAAATCCTTCCCAGAATAAACAACACAGAATTTGTAACAACTCCATAGCAACCCGTATGCTTGTGTAGGATTATTTCATAATCTGGATGTCATTAGAAGGGTCAAACAGTGAAATAGGATATTGAAGTATGTTCAGATTCATAATAAATATTAACTTCTGATACGTAAATAATAACACTCATAGGAAATATTACTGGTAAGAAATTTTCGAAATAATACAACAAAATACCTCAGAAATAAACTATTTCGCTTCACCTGATAGAGACACAGAAATTATTTATGATATTAAATTTTCATTAAAAAAACCTAGTACAGATTAATCCTAACCAAATTTTTGAAAAATATTAAATGAAATTATTTTAAACAGTTAAAAAATATTGAATGTTTTTCATTAACTACAAGCAATTTGCAAGAAATTTGAGAATGTACATTATGGATCATTTACAAACTTGGGATCATGATGTGATAACAATTTTATGAGAATAATTTTATAAAGAAGACAAAATGTAGCAGTATAAACAGATCATGCCATGCTCACAAGGACAGGTATTGTTGAGAAAAATCTGGAAAAAATAAATAAATCATTAAGACAAAAATGAGAAATTGAAGACTTACAGCCTTATCTCACTCAGATCATATGAAAAAATAATACAAAACTTTGTCCACAACAGAAGCTGGTTCCAGTTTCTGGAACTAAAGAAATTCCTGGGTGTAAGTTTTTCCATAGAAAAGCATTGCTATCCCAGGAAAATTTCGTAGTTAACAATTTCACCACTTTAGACCATAATGGACTCGTCCAGATCATGGCATTGTAGAGTCTACTCAAGTTACATAGAGGTGAACGGGTTAAAACTATTTTCCGACTGAACAAAAAAGTGTTTCATTAATCCAGAAAATCATGTTCCCACTGTACAGAATGTATAGTTCAGATATTGAATTTTGAATAATTTGAATACCATTAAATGTCTGTGAAATCCTTTAATTATCCAGAAAGTATTTTACACTATTTTACTGGTGTGTGGTAAAAAGCCTGCCCTTATAACCAAAATATTCATAGAGACACTGAATGTGATATGGCCATAATTCAACACCAAGACATGCACATGTAATAGAATTCTAACATCTGCAAATGAAGAATGGGATTTGAGAGGCCAATAATATGAATCTGAAAAAAAAAAATACACCACAACATGAAACAGTTATAGCTTGGCTTACAGACAAGGAATATATGTAACCATTTCCAATCTGTTTGTCTTCAGTAGATCTGGAGTGGAACCTTCTCATACAAGATTTCAACCACTGAACAGTTTCCCAGCACTACTGGTACATTTAAGTATTGATTTGGTTTATATAAATACTAATTTGGTATTTCAAGGTATTGATTTCCCAAAGCAGTAACACATTTTGCTGCCTCTTTTGGAACCATCTTTTATATCAACTACAGCCAAACCTATTTTTACTCTTTCACCACTGTAGACCATAATGGACTCATCCCAATAAATGCATGGTAGAGTCCACTAAAGTTACCTAGGGGTGAAAGGGTTAAACTAGTTAAAAGACCACCTTCAGGAAGTCTACAGTTCAGTTAACATAAAAATGTCTTAAATGGGGAGTTTTAGATGATGTCTCTAAACACAGGTGGTTTCTTAAAAGAACTTTTTTTTTGAGCCGGTGTGACAGTATTTGATAAACTCTGGTCTACTGTTCATATAAAAATAACTTTCAATGAACCGTTCAAGTCATTTTTTGTAGCTAAAGTTTGAAAATGGTTTCATAATTATTCCTGAATGCTGAAAAAATAAAAATCAATTACCACAAAACCAAAACATTTCAAAGACTTAAAAGTGCAACACCAGTGATACCAGAAATAAGTCATTAAACTAACTGCAAAGTCCAATGGATTTTGATGAATATCATATGTAAATATATATATTAGTGTTAGTATTTTTACGTACTGTTATCTAAAAATATTAAAATAAGCCTGGAATCTTTTTTTCTCGAAACTAAAGCACTTTATCTGATTTTGAAACCTTCACTACCCAACTACTACTGCACAAAGGAGAGTTAAAAGTTCATTTTTTCATTATTAATTTCAGTGCAGTGAAGAGCAGCAATTTGTTTTGGCGAATATGCTAAATTTATAACAGACTTTTTGCAGTTTTTCAGAAAAAAAGAACTAGGGGAATTTATCAAAACCTTCAATAACTGAAATGAATGTGTAAGCTGTAAAAAAGGTGTATAAAGCTGAAAAAGTTGAAAAAGTAAACAACCTCATTAGATACGACTTATGACAAAGCTGTAAGCAAACCAACATATCTTACTCAAATGAAAATAAACTGAAATACATTAGGCACCAGAAAAGGTGATTCAAGCAAACTAATATATACACATATATATAAAGGGTTTCACATACACACAGATGGATGACTTTGCTAGATAAAAAAATAAAACATCAAATTAAGCATAAAAAAATAAACACATTGAGACAGCAAAAATAAAAAAATAAAAAATAAGCTAAGACTGGATTGGTGAAGTCATGCTTTGGTGAAGAGGATTTGACCAATGACAAACACTGTTACATGAAGTTAACTTAGGAGTTATACCTCTGTTAGTAGTGGTTTCCATGCTTGAGGATGCAGACGACCTTGACCTTGTGGCTTGGTGGGAGGTGAAGGTCAGGCCAGATTGGGCAGGAGATTGGGACAGAAAGGACCGACTCATTATTGTTTCGACTGATGAGGGCGAAGAGAAATGGCTACTCTGTTCTGAAAACTGGTGGGTGGTTTTTGAGGACTGCTGAATTGGTACAGGCTGACTGTGTTCTATATTAGGGTTATCCTTGGTTTCCTGGCTTGGAGATTTCTCTTCATCTTCATCCTCCTCACTACTTGGGGATTTCTTTTTCTTTTTCAAAGCTTCCCATTCTGCCATGGTGAATATCTTTTTCTTTTCCTCGTACGGACCAGGTGTCAAGAAAGGCTTTTGTCTATCTTCCTGATCGAAATCCTCAATATTGGAACCAAACTGGTAATTGTCTTCAATGTGAAAGCTTGTCAATTCAGAATGTAAATTATTTTGATAGTCTATGAAGGGGCTAGCTCCAGCGCCCGTGGTTCGGTAGCTATGGTAGTTGTCCATGATATACTTTTTTCCTTTGTTCTCCCATGATTCATTTGAAACCTGCATGATGTCTATGCTTCCTGATTCGCTCCTTGATGAGCCGACAGACCTCATTGTCTCCGCTGACGAACGCGAGAAATTTGAACTGTTTACACTCCACATTGAGCATTCCAATCCACTATCCTTGCCACCGTAGTGCATATCCATTGACTCTAGGGAATCAGCTGATGTTTGCATGACATCCTCTCGCCCAGGTACAGAATCTGTGGATGTCTGCATGACATCGTCGAGTCCACCAAGAGAGTCAATGGAGGTCTGCATGATGTCTGGTACCCCGTGTAGTGAGTCAACAGATGTGATAGATGTCTGCATGGCGTCTTCGGGAAGATGGAGTGAGTCAGCTGAAGTTTGCATTATATCGTCTGGAATGAATAATGAGTCTGACCTGTTGTCTGAAGACTTGAGTTCAAGAGAGTCGCTAGAACGTTCCATGATTCCGTCCTGGTCTTGGAGTGAATCTGTGTCAAACTCTTTTGGTTTAACACCCAACTGTTCACCGAGAGAGTCTGAAGAAATTTTCATAACACCATCTGTCTCGTGGAGTGAGTCAGCATCACATGGCTCCTTGTGGGCAAATATCACACTGGATGTCATTGAGGTTAACTCTGACAAATCCCCATCCAAAGAGTCAACCTCCGCAGCCTCCATCTCATCCTCTTTAGATGTCCGTTTCCTTGTATCATCACTTAATGAGTCCTCAAGGTCATCTCGGCCATCAATTGAATCTTGGTCCATGTCTTTTTTAACTGCCGTAGTCGGAGATTGCTTATTTATGAAGGTTTCTGAGGCACTTTGTTGTGGTAATGTGCCTGATTCAAGGATTGACACAATCTTTTGTGCTTCTGCTTCTAATTCTTGTGCCATAGCCATCTCCTGCTCGAGTTTCTCAAAATCATTAAGTGAAGCCAACGATGAAGTCTCGCTTCGACGCGTAAAACTTTCCGTTGATCCTCGGCGATCATCCTGAAAATCTTTTTCCAGTCGGTCCAGCCCACCCAGTGATGACTTTGATCCAGATATGTCACTACTTTTACTATCGGGAGGGGTGATTTTATCCACTGATCCTGCAGAACCTGACTGACCGATATCATGCTCTAATCGCTCAAATTCAGCAAGAGATGATGTCACTGATATGTCATCTCGTTCCGTGCTTTTGTTGTACATAAATTGTTTATCATCCATAGAACTTGAAAGACTTTCCTTGCCCTCCAATGAACTTGCAGATCCGGAATGTCCAAATTGATGCTCAAGTTTTTCAAATTCCAGCAGTGAGGATGTGACAGATATGTCATCCCGGTCTGCACTCCGACTCAGTAATTTAAATCCTCCCAACCCTGGGCTAGGCATGGGCATGTCAGGCGAACTGTAATGTCTATCTGATGTATCGGATTCCAAATCAGTCTTTTCTAATATTTCAAATCGGTCTTCTTCTGACATCTCTGTGATTACGGACAGTGCATTTTTATCAATGAATTCATATCTTTCATTCTCTGACGAACTAAGATCCTCCTCCTGATTTCTCCAGTCAATAAGAGGTCCATCCAAATCCTCCTCCTCCTTTTCCCCCTTGTATCTCGAGTCTGAGTGTCTGTGATCCCAGTCATGTTTTGAACGTACTTTATCTGCCCATTCCACCATATCCGAGTCTTGGGACTTGACCTTCCTTCCAGTCTGTATCGAGATTGGACAGGAAGTGGCAGCCATTGGCGTGGTTGCTGGTGGTTTAAAATCTTTGTCGCCCGATGGTAGCATGCTTTCGGGAGACAGTTCAACAATAGGTGTGGTTTTCTCAGATTCCTGACCTTTACCCCCGTACACATCCTCTGGTCCCCAATCTATCAGAGGACCCTCTAGGTCCTTTGCAATATCATCATCAAGGTTCATACCCATAATGTCTGAATGAAATGAGGATGTCATTGATGCAAAATCATCCATCCTGTCCCCATCTTCGTGGCCCTCCTCATTTGCAGGAACAACTGTTGTGAAACTGTCGAGACTTGAGTTATCATCGTGACTAAGGGAGTCGCATTCACTTTCTGATCTTGTCCTTCCAGTATCCTCCTCCCTTTGATCATCATGGTGGAGAGGTTCAGGCTTGAAATGGTCAAATTTGATTTCCATCTGTTGATTTTCCTCATGATGTGTAACTTTCATAGTGGAAGTTGGAGCTCCAAAATGGTCAAATTTCATTTCGACGGGTTTATTTGTTTGAGTTCCAAAATTCTCAAAGGCTTCATATTTAATTTCTTGACGTTCTGTTTGTTTATCGGATCTCGACTCAGCACCAGCCTCTGTCTTTCCTGGGGAGGAAGACAAACTTTCTACCATGCGAGACAACGCTGAAATCGGCTTTGGAATTACAGCGGCTGTCACTGAGTCGGTCTCATCTAAAAAATGATGGGTGACTTTTGTTGTTAAATCTGTTGATTGTTCTAGTGTTGAGGACTCTTCTTCCTCGTGTGTTTCCTCATAACCGTCCAGAGAATCCTCGTCCTGGTCACTGTCATGGTGCTGACCTTTATCCTCCCGATTGATCTCGGTTTCTAGACTCATCATATCCGCCATAGCAGGAGAGTGTAGTTGGGGTACAGGTGGCTCATCTTCCTTGTCCAGTGAGTCATGGAACAGATCATCTGCTTCTGAAACAATGGTGTCTCTGCCCGAGTCAGTGAGATCAGTGTGTGCAGGAACGGTGAAGGTGAGAGGACGAGAGGAAGACTTGATCACCATTTCTTCCTCTCGACCATCCTCCTCCATGGAGTCTTCCTCCTCGGGGATACAGGTCTTGCCAGCATCTACTAAGTCGCCTCGTTCAGACGCAACTGCCATTGCTGTTCCTATGGCAACCTTTTCTAACCTTTCTTCCATTACCATGTCGTCATCTTCCTCTTCCTCTGGAATGCATTTGGTTGTGATAACTGGTTTCTGGTGTTCGGAGGGTATTGTCTCTGAAAAAGAGGATTGTGTAGGTACAAATTCTTCAGCTACTTCTTCCTTGTCTTTGGGAGTTTCCTGGTAGCAAGCAGGGTAATCCTTTTGTTCTCCTTCCTCCTCCTCTTCCTCATGGAGATGCTGGGTTATTGTGATAGAAGGGATGTCCTCAGAAATTTGTTTTGTCAGTTGTCGAGTTGACGAGGAAAAAGTTGAGGAAGAAACTTTTGATGAAGACGAGATAACAGTGAAGCTCTCCGTTGTTTCAAGACTAGACGTAAATTCCCTAGATGTAGAAACCGAGGTGGTTTCCTCTTGCTCAAACTCAACGCTAGATGATGAAACCTTGGTAAATTCTTCTTGTTTAAACGCAACATTTTCCGACATATCAAATTTCTTCTCTTCTTTGGTTTCAACATCATCTGTCATGAAAAATTTGTCTTCGTCCTCACTTTCCCTTAGCTTGTCACTTTCATCTTTATCTCCTTGAAGTTCAAAATCATCAGTCATGATAAATTTATCTTCATCATCCTTTTCCCTTTCCTCAGGTTCCTCTAGTTTATCATCGTCGTCTGTCGTAACTTTGGCCTGTGCTTCTGTTAAAACTGACTCTACAAACTCGGAGGCGGTAACAGCGATTTCTTCCCTTTCTTCACCTTCCTCTCCCGGAAGATCGTCATCAAACTGAAACATGTGTTGTTTCGTGTCCACAGGAGTTGGTGTTGTAGGTCGTTCTAAATCAACAAGGTCAACTTCAAATTCAAAATTGTCTGAAGGGTCGTCTTCCATATCCTTGCTTCCACAAATTAACTCGAGATCTTTTGACTGTCTGCCGGATGATTCCTGATCACTTGTGTCCTTATTGAAGTCAAGAAGCAGATTTTCATCGTCTTTATCATCCGGTTCTTCACCCTGTTGCATAAACGTTTCATCTGGTTTGTAAATATCTTCTTCCATGAATTCCTCTTGAAGATACTGTTCATGTTGATACTCCTCATTTAGGTATACCTCTCCAGTGAATTCTATAGTGTCCGGCATATTAAACCCGGCCATGGAACTGTTGGTTGCAAAACTAGCTGATGCATGCTCATCAGGCACTGAAGTGGTTTCTTTTTCCAAAAGCTCATCTTTGACAACCATTGTAACGTCTACCATCTCAAGAGCCCGTTTTCCATGGTAGATTTCCTCTTTCTTTAATTCAGGTGATTTTTCTTCCAATTTGTGTTCCTTTGGGGGCATTTGTGATTCTAGCCCGATAAGGTTACCCTCGGACGATGGTTCCCCGATGTCGTCACTGGCGTCGTAGTGGGTATGGGACAGTCCTGAATCGTGTTGTTCCTCTGTATTAAAGACGACATTCTTCGATTCACTTTGTTCAGATACATCATCATCTATTTGAGACGTAAGACCTACGAACGAATCAGATTCTGGTTCTGTGTCAAAACGTCCCGAACCTTCCATCTGTGATATTGAAAGCGAGAATGCACCTGTCTCTTCAGACGGCATGTCCAATCCGTATAGTGTTTGATCCGAAGACAAGAGTTGGTCTCCAGGAGGCAGAGCAATTTCTTCCATTATACTTTCAGTGACTTGTGATTGTGATCCATACATGGTATCCTTCGGTTCATCTTGCTTTGCCTCGTCAACTTCACTGCATAATGTTTCCTCTAACGGTTTTTCTGGTGTTTCCTCAACCTTGAATCCACTGTCCTGGTCTGTGTGCTCAAGAAAATCACTCTCAATAGCTGCAGCGGAACTTTGCGCAGACGACACCGAGGACATTGACTGGATTAGATCAGGTTGACTCTCCATTGACTGAACCATTTCTGGTTGTTGCTGTTCAGGCTCAGGAAGGGCGTGATCCACTGATTCTGTGAAGTCAAAGTCAATTTCTGGGTTGTATTCTACCTCAGTTGGTCCATTTGGAAGACAAACTGCCTGGTCCTTCTCCGTGACTTCGTGTAGGTCCCCAACTACTGTGGAGTCCTGAATTAAGTCTGGGAGAAATTCAGACGGTACATGATCAAATGGGGATCCCAGTCCCTTCTCACTAGGTTCACTACTGACAGGGGATGAATGCTCGAAGGAAGATTCACTCTTAACTTCGGGCAGGGGAGGAGCTGTAGGTTCAAGTGGGGACAAGTCATAGGTCATAGCCATATCTTGTTTCTGTTCAAACTCAGCATAAAAGTCAGCGGTTCTGAGCTCTGAGAAACTACTGGTACTAGTTGTCATTGATTCAAAAGACTTCATCATTTCCACTGTCTTCATATCGTCAATATACTGGTCGTATCCTTGCAGTTCACTGGGAGACATGACTTCAAATGGTGACCCGTTATCTGTGGAGTCGTCTGTGATAACATGTGTTACAACTGCTGCCTCAGCTCCAGCACTTTCTGATTGGTCTGACAGTGTCACTAGAGGTTCCTCGTGTGCTTCTTCCGATTGCTTGAGCAGTTTTTCATCTTTGTCTGCCTCATCTTGAAGCTTAATCGCTGCTCCTTCTAGGTCTGGACGTGTTTCATGAACAGTTGACATGTCCTTTGGTGTAGGGGCTGGGGGCGAGGGACAGGATTCAACAGAGCCGGAACTCTTGTCCAGTAATCTTCCCCGATGACCTGAGGCATCCGACACCATAAGTAAATTCTTGGAAGCTTCTTCATCAGCAGCAGCCTCAAACACATCATCTTCGGGACTTGAAAGTATTGCTTTAGTAGTACTCTGTACAGGCAGAAACTGTTTTTCTACACTATCAGGTGACATATCATATGAAGCGACGACGCGAGAAACACGTCCTGAGTCCAGATCATAAGATGCCGCTAATATTGTTGGCTCCATTTCCGAGGATGATGTGGAAGTTTTGACAAGATCATCACTGGATACTGAGGGGAGATTTTGAACCTCTGTTTGAAATGTAACTCGTTTTTCAACATTTTGTTTCACATCTGTATCAACTTGTTCCTCTGGGAAATCATCCTGAGGTGTTTCCTCGATAGGGGATAGCTTCTCCTCCGTAGTATCGCCACCAGTTTCGGAAGACTCATAAATTTCATTATCGGCCAGGGCCTTGCCCAAACACGGTAGAGCCATGGGGAACTTCAGTGAGGACTGGGAGTATGACTGGTTCTCTTCCTCATGCATTTCGGTCATTGGTACATATGTTGCTGCTATATCCCTAGATGGGGAATGTGAACGATCACCTTCTTCATACTCTTGTAGCATTTCCTGCTGGGCTAGGCGAGAGGCTCGACTCACAACTTCTGTGTCAATTCCCGTCGATTCCTTCACAGGAGTGAGCGACATTTCTGTGGTCACGTCGTCACGAGCAAACAGTTCTTCCCCTGTGAAAGTTTCTGTAAATTGAGAGGAGTCAATCATTGAACGATTGATGGAAGTGTCTAATGAAGTCTGTGCTGTCATATAGGATGAGGTCATAGTGTCGGAAGCTTCAGAAATTGCTGACAAACGTTTTCCCTCTTTTGTAGAATGATCTGCGAAAGTACTGGTTCCCTGCGAGAGATAAGTTCTTTCGTTAAGACTGTAGGCTTCATGTGATATCTCTGGATAGGCCATCGTTTCCATATCCTTGGCTTTCAAATTCTCTTGATCCTTCCGTCGGGTTTCCAAGATGCTGGCAATGACTAACTTTTGATGTGTATCTGTGATGTTGTCATGTGGTTCAAACTGTACCGGAGATTGATCATAGTCTATTTCAGTCAGTGTTACTTCATTATCGTCCATACTATTCTCCTGTGGATAGTAGTGCGTGTCCTCCTCCAGTGAAAGAGCAAATCGCACTCGCTGAGTTCGGGGCTGGTGAACCGGTGTTGACTCTTCAGACTGATCAACACATGTCACCCTATCATACTGAGTTTCCTCTTCACGGTCACGCAGGAAGAACGTTCCAAGGTCAATAGATTGAGCACTAGTAAAAGTAGTTTTCTTTTCTTGTTCTATCAATGAGTCAGAGAACTGGCGCTTATATTGATGGGCAACTTCCCACGGAAGACTAACATACTGGCCAGAAGTTTCATCAAATACTTCATTGTTTCCATCGGAACTTGTCTCCGATGAAGTGTCAACAGGTAAGTCCATTGGAGGAGGCACTAAGTGCTGATCCTGTGTTTGATTTACCATGGTTACTTCAACTGTTTCCTGCTCTTTCGATTTACCCTCTGAAGGTTCATGGCTTTCTTCATCTTTTGGCACTTCCTGCCATGTCTTTTGAACAGATTCCTCTCTGAAATGTTGAGTGACTTTTTCTACGGTCTGACTCTTAAATACATCTTGTGTAACATGTTTTATCTCTTTGTTTTCTTCTGAGTGAAAGACATGTTCCTCATTGCGTACGTCATAAGTAGATTGTTTGGTTTCTGTGTGGGAAATGCTGGAGCTTTGTCGCGCAAATTCCAACTCTTCTGCTTCCTGTTCTGTAAGGGAAAACGACCGGAGTTTTTCTTCCAGATCGGCTGGAGATATGGCTCCTTCAGACTTGTATGATTCTTCAGATGACACAGAGATCTTCTTTTCAGTTGAAGAAATTGTCTGTTTTTCATATGAACTAGATACAGTTTCTTGCTTTTGTTCTGTAATTTCTTGCCGTTGTATTGTCTCTTTTACCGTTGGATAAGTAAATGGTGAAGGGATATTTTTCATAAAATCTTTATCAAAGAAACTTGTATGATGTCCTCCTTCCTCATCTTCCTCTTCATATTCTTCCTCCTCTCGAAAGAAATCTGATGGAGATACACCTACGGTTATGGCTGTCATGTTGGCCACCTCGAGGGATTCTCTTTCGACTGGGGATACCTCATCATCATTCAGACTGGGTGACACATTCTCAGGAGGGGTATCGTTGAAAGAAAAAACCGTGTTTGGTAGACTAAACTCTAGGTCTAATTTGGGTTTGGGTGAATGTTTGGGAGATGGTCTTGGTGAATGTATTGGAGAGTGCTTAGGAAGGGGCGAGAACTGCTCTTCAACGTCGGTTTCCTCTGTTTTGCCTTCACTGCTATCACGAAGCTCTGCAGAAATTGAGTCACAAACAAACATGGATTACAGGGTTAGTTAGGATCCGAATCAAGTTGAGTTATTTTTTTGTATTTTCATACAAGGATTTGTTAGATATTAATTTAGAATTTTCTTTTTGTTATTCAAATGTAAGATAATTAATTAAACAATATCATTCTATTTTAGATAACAATTTCTGTATATAAACACTCTGATGTTTTTTCTGATTTTATTCCCCCCCCCCCCCCTCCGAAACCAAAACGGAATATGCACCGACAATACATTTGATCAAAACCTGATCATCAGATATAGTTTTCACAATATCTTTTTGAAATTTCATGTTTGCTGTTTAATATACAGAAATTCTTCTACATCGCTCTTTCTATTTTCCCCTATCTACGTATCAGTAGATATAATCCGTAAGTTTGGCAAAGATTTCAACTTATCATACGAAGCAGTTTAAAATCAACAGACATAATAAGATAACCAATCACAATAGTTCACAGAACACAGTAAAATCTGCAGGTACACACAGAAAATTTGTTTGGCATCAAAAGATTTATATATAAATATGAAAAGGAAGAGAATTTACCAAAATATCAAAAGATGTCCAAAATATCTAATTTTGTACTTTTTAATGAATACATTTTAAAATAATTATAATTTCTTCTAATATTCTTTTTTTGAATATTAATCGTTATAACAAATCTTTAAAAAATATGTTATCACTCCAGTTTTGTAAATCAAAAATGACAAAATGACAAAATTTGACAAATCTGAGTTGCATAACATAATCCATGCCTTATATAAGTTTTCACCATAGTACAAAATTAGATATATCTCTTTCACCGTCATAAACTTAAAATATACAAATTTTCACTGTGGACAGATTTGGCAAAGTTAATATTCAAATGTTTGGGATTGGCTTAATACAGATACATTCTAATAGAATATCTTTATAATAATTACTTGAATTTTATCAGTCAGACACTGGTAATTCCCAACCCCTTCTCCATTAAATTGCTTTACAGAATCTTTGTAAGAAATGTAGAGAATGAACCAAACATTTATCTTATTTCTATGATTGCAACATAAATCAGAATTATGAAATTTGCTGTCACAAAAATAGCTGTTAACAGAGATTAGAAAATCGAGATTGATAGAGTAATAGGTATCAGAATGATTATTTACCTATAAATGTTCATGTTGTGAAAATATGCATATCAGAAGTGTCATTTTATTTTTATTTCCATGCCAAAAAAAATAAAGGTGAATTGAAATAACTGTCACACAAGGAAAACAAATTTTAAGAAAGTAACTGAATTCAGTTTGGACTTTTAATTTGTTATAAGAGCTAAGAACTAATAATATCAAAATAAATTACCTGGTTTTTCTTATGAATATTCACAATTTGTTTTAATAAGTAATCGCATGATGTTTTATCCTGATGAAAATTCATTGATACTTGTTAATGAATAATTTAAAACTGAGTTTCATTTTTGTTTTGTCCAAAATAGAAACTATTTTTTTTTGCAAACAACTATGGTTGAATTTAGCTTGTGTGACAGCGAGACATAGATGTGGAAAGATCCGGAAATTAAATTCAGCATAAAACTGAAAAAAATATATGAAACCAATTTAGCATCAATAGTTTGACCACAATGCTATGAATGACAAAATGTGGAGTTAAATACCTTCTTCATTTTCATCAAAGTCATCCAGCTGAGCGTCCTCGGAACTCGAAGAGCTTTCGTCTAAATTATCGTCAACCTTATCAACCCTCTCCTGCTCCTTAGTATCGACTTAGCATTAATTTAGAGATAAACTTGTGGTCACTAGTATGTAAATATCAAACAAGAAATCTTCGTAAATAACATGCCAGGATAGTGATCAACATGCAGTCAATTTTTTTAACCCTTTCACCACTGTAGACCATAATGGACTCATCCATATCAATGCATGGAAGAGTCTACTTAAGTTGCATAGTTGTGACAGGGTTACGATTAATACAGATTCCTTAGGCCCTATTCTGCCTAAGATAGACAGAAAAAAAGTAAAATATCACTGAATTAATACAAGACTTTCTAGAGATTAAAACTAGAAATATCACTTAATCGATTGTCTTTATTATCAAATCTGAAATAAGACTAGAAATACAAATATATGATATGCTATGTAAAATATAAATTGATAATTATATTACATGGACCTTGACCTGGATTCTAACCAAACATTTGAAATATGTTTAATTTTCACTTCGAAATTTGAAGCAACTAGACAACATAACACTGGAAATGCAAAATTATATCAATATCATTTTGACCATAACCTTTGACCTCCTGATATGAAAAGTATACACATTTTAAACAGATTTGTAAGGCAATTTCAGACATAAATCTTAATTGTTCTATTGTTCGATGAAAAGACAGAAATATAAATATTTCACATGCAAAAAAGTACTTCTTAAGTTACAGTGAAAAATATTTTATGATAACAAAATTGAAAAATACATTGACCTCTATGCAACAAAAAATCTTCTTACCCCGTTCCACAAAACGTTCAGAGTTAAAGTGCTTTGACAGTCAAGTTGATTAAATATCTTGGTATCAATTTATTTTTTTGTATAGGGGAAAGTACTTTAACGTAATAGAGTTTTATGAATTTTGTTCTTTCTAATAGTTTACAATAGGGTTACATAAACAACTCAGGGAAATTGAATATCCTTCTGAATAACAGTTATAAAAGGCTTTGAGCAGAGAGGTCATTTTAGGAAGGGGAATCAAATATTTAAAATATAATACGGGTATTAATATTTTCACATTGTATCCGATTACAACAATTATATATATTCTACAATAGTGGAAGTTATTTGCATGCAATGATCATCGAAATGAATTATCAGAAATCATTTCTATAATGAGTAATCTCATTTGATACAATTCTCTAAATGAAAACGAGATAGAAAAAAATAATGAAATTTCTTCAAAAGTAATATACATCCATATTCCTGCAACAGAATAAAATTCATTAAAACAATTAACTAAAACAAAATAATGTTTAAACATGCAAACATATCATTCACAAGAAAAAGCCATGAAAAAAGCATGTGAAATGCAACAAAATCTGAAAATGGAAAAATATGTGAAGAAATTTCGAGAAAAGAGTGCCTAATCGGTGATTTAAACAATGGAAGCTGATGACGAGACAGATGGAAAAAAGGAGAAACAGTAAAAAAAAAAATTGTCGGCATCCTAGTACCTCTGTTGGTAGTGGTACCACAGACGTTTTGGAAGGCAGTCATATCCGGGGAGGAATTATGTCTCATCCGCCCATCAAGGGGGTTTGGCTCCAACGACAGCTCATAAGATAGGGAGCGCTCTTTGAAGTCCTTAGGACGCAGAAGAGGTGATGACGGGGAGTCTGTGTCAGAGACAAGCTTGTCGAGACCCTCCTCGACAGTGATATATATGGGGCAAGTATGAGTTTTAAATGAAGGCATACTGCCACTAACAAAACTAGACGCCTTGCTCGGAACTTTACTTTCTACGCGTTCTACAAAAGCCGACGAATCTACATCTGGGTTGGGGGGAGGTAACTCACCTATATCATCCTGTGTTTTTCCTCCATCTTTAGCATAAAGCTGTTCATAACTAGAGGTTAGTTCACATGACTGTAAATGGGACTGTGATTGTTTCGTGTCGAAACGATCGCCTATTTCTAACTCGCTTGCATCCATTGAAAGTCGATTTTTCTCCGGGTCCAGAGGTACAGCGTCATAAACATTTTCGTAGCTTGATGATATGTAGCGGTTTGGAGACGAAGCTAGATTCTGGACTTGCATTGGCATGGGAGCCATCTCGGATGTGGCTTTAGGATCAGAGGTTAGTTCTAAATCTCTCCTATCGCTAGATCCAGTGTCATCCGGCAAGTCTTCTGTAATCCTTAGTTCGTTTTCATCAATTTCCTCATCCTCGGCCATACCTATACAGATTACCAAGGGAGTAGTCTAAGTGAGCCTCAATTTACAACACTGTTTATTTTTATCTATTTCAGATTTTTTTGTAATAAAATTATCAAGTGAATATATGATGAATATCATTGCAATTTTTAACTTAAGTGTTTTAGGGATTTCTTAAATAGAGTTTTATAATTTGAAATGAAAAACACCCTAAAATTAATACTGGAATTTTAAATTTATAATTTCATATATATATGTATAGATTTAAACTAATACGGATGATGTCGCAGAAAGTTAATAAATGAATGCAAAAGTTTAATATTGGTTTAAACCGATTTTTAAAGCTTTTAAATTCATTCAATTTAATATTTAGATTTTTCATAATTGAAACAAAATTGGTAAATATTGTAGTTGTATATCAATTACATTAAACTTTTCTCGTAATGTTTTTAATTTTCTTCAGATATATGGGACATCGTATTAGGTACTACTGCAACTGACATTCCCTATGTAAACAGCACTCGACTAACATTGATCACAGAAGTGCATTGACGCCATGCAATATTTGTAGATTCCACGGTTAGATCTAGCTACCAATACTCATTGAGTTCAATTTTGAATCTTAAATCACTCCATTCCTTTTTTGGTGTTAAACGATATGTTTCTTTCTTTCAGAAACTAAATATGCAAAAAGAGTGATGAATGAAAAAAAAAATGATACAATGCAAAATAAAAAAAAATTGAACTTAAAAACAGATTTACATGTACATTGTGAGTTATCTACCTTGGTCATGCAGTTGATCCACATGCTTAGGTGCCACTTGAAGGTCATCCTGGTTATCCATCTCTACCATAAGAATCTCGTCCTGATCTGCCAGACCGAGAACTCTATTGAGCGTATCCTGATCCTGGGAAGTGATGAGCGTGAATTCTGAAGGAGATGGTGGACAGTCCAAGGGTTTGGATTCTAATGAATTCAAATCATCCATCTCTTCATCATCATATTCTCCCTCGCTGTGTGTGTCTATGTTGTCTTCCCGGTCGTTGATGGCCTCTGTCATTCCTTTTTCATCCGAGAAGAATTGCTGAGTGTCCACCTTTGCTTCATCCTGTTTAGCGACATATTCATTGACATTCTGTCCCTCCTGAAATGTTTCTTCGCGGCTATGTGACATTATTGTCTGCTCAATGAAGATCTGTTGAGAAATATCTGTAGACATTCGGCCCTCGGGCTCCTCCCGTTCCTCCATGTCCATATTGATTTCCTCAACGTGTGTATTGTCATCAACATCAGTGTCAGTTTCAAGGGTGTAAGAGCTAGGTGAAAGTGGGCGTTCGTCCGTACTCTGTGGTGTGTCGGTTCCATGCTCACTAGGAGTAAATGTTGATGCCATTACTTTTGATTCCATAAGGAATGACGAAGATTTCAAAGAAGACTCCTCCGTACGTTTTTCATACGTGGATTCTGATTGGACAACTTTCTCTGTGGAGTAAGCGGATTGAGTCACCTGTTCTACGGAGGATTCTGACCGAATGATTTCATCCAATTCCTCCTGTTCGCGTCTAATTTCGTGTTCAAATTCATCAACTTGTGCTGCGGAAAATTTGCGGGAGATCACAGGATCATCAGTGCTTTCTGATGATTCCTGTGTATGGTCGTCTGTATCATCCTCAGTCTGCCCAATCCCTGTTTCCTTCATGTCATCTTGCCCCACCCCCTCTCCACGTGGACCTTCGAGAAGGTCATCCTGTTGAGAAGATGGCTGTGTGTAACCTCCAGGCACATCAAAAATCTGATCTGGGAATTGAGTTTCATTTTGAAGAGAACGGTCTCCTGTTTTGTGTTCTTTCTCGAACAAATCTCCAGTACGGTCGATACAGATGAACTCCTCAGTCCTGTCAATGAATCCCTCCTCAATGCCAAGTCCAGGATCAGAATCAGATTCTGATGAAAACCTGTCCCTTTGAGAGGGTTTTTCTACCTCTATGTCCTGTTCTTTGTCTATATCTGCTGGTTCTGGCAAGTCATGATCAGTGAAAGGGACAGCCATGCTTCTATCACTTTCTATTGGCTGTATATACTCAATGGAGTCTGTCATTGTCTCTACTTTAGATTCTGATCTGTCAATTTCATGTTCTTCATATTGTAATAGGTCAATTTCCTGCTCCTTTTGAGTAACCTCCCTTGTTTCCTCCTGCTGTATTGTCTCCCTTGATTCCTCCTTCTGTTGGAATATTTCCTTTGTTTCCTCCTTCTGTTGGAATATTTCCTTGGTTTCCTCCTTCTGTTTGATTGTCTCCCTTATTTCCTCCTCGTGGAATTCCTTCCTATCTACCTCCATTTCCTCAATATCCTCATGGTTATCACATAAAACATCCTCATCCTTATCTTTCCTATCTACATCCTCTAAATCCTGGCTGTCTTTTGTAACCCTAACAAAGTCCTCAACAACCTGCAAGTCTGCTACAGGCTGGCCATCCTTGTCTATGATTTCTGTAACAGTGTATGTACGTTCTGTTCTTGTGTGTTCACGAATAATCTCAGTGTGTAGGTCTCCTTCCTGTTTTTCCTCAGTGTAAACAGTGGTCGTCGTGGTTTCCAGGATGCCATCATCCACCTCGTCGTCCTCTCCCTCAATGACCTCAATAACCTCAGCAGTGACCTCTGTGTACTGAGGTTCATCTGCCGGACCCTCGACCTCATCAACCTCAGGGTATTCCTCATCCGATGGAGGCTGTTGTCTGATCTCCACTCTTTGATGGACGAATGGCTTTTCCTCATGCTTTTCCTCTATTTCTTTATAAACATGTGTGTCCTCATCATCCTCCATATAAGGATGTTGCTCACAAGGCCGGTCTTCATGGTAGAGGTGCTGATCGTGCTGATCACCCTCAGAACTATATTCTTTGTCGATTAGTAGTTTCTTGTGGATGTACGATTCTTGCTGCTCATATTCCTGGTAAACAGGTGGATAATCTTGTTCCTGTTCTTTCAAAACTTGTTGTTCTTCCTGTTCATGAGGGAGTTCATGTTCGTCGTGTTCAGAAGAAATGTGTCCATCATAGGGGAGGAAAGTTTGTCTTTCCTGCTCAGGCAACTGTTCACTTTCTTTGAAAACATCTGCATCATTGTCATAACTCTCACGCCGATCTTTATCAAAAGAGTCTTGCGACACCGACATCCTAACAGGTTTTTCTACCAAGTCTTCGTCAGACAGAAAAGAGCAAAAATCAGGCATCACCTGGTGTATAGGTTTGTCTGACTGTTCCTCTTCTTGCTCTTGCTGTTGTTCTGTCTGTGGCGAAGCCCGGTCTGTAGCATAGGGTTCTTCTGAAGTGCACTCTTCTTCTTGATCAGGGATATCCTCATCAGACACAAACTCCTCTTCGGAGTCCATATCATCCTTAAGTTCCTCTCCCTCATCGTCCGAGTCCATGATGTCATCCTTGATCTCCTCCAAGGATTCAATAAGAGCAGCACTTTCCTCCTTGAGGACTTTTTCCTCCTTAGCGATTTCTATTTCAAGGCTTTCAAATTCCTTCTGTTCATTGTCGGATAAATCCAAGTCATCCTCATCCTGCTTTGTCTCTGCAATAAATTCATCTAAATCATCCTTTTCATCATCATGGACCATATCCCCGTCAATTTTTTCTGGTATATGCTCGTCTAAATCTTGAACTCCTGACTCCTGTAGCACATTTTTCTCTTGTGCCTCAGGCTTAAGATGAGAGGCAACTTCCCTGTCTTCTTCATCATCTGCTTCCTCAGCTTTGATAGTGTATGCACTGAAAACCTGTTCATCTCTACTCTCATCAACAAGTTTGAAACTGTCATGAACAAATTCCTCGTGTTGATCTTGTTTTATTTCTTCTTGCATCTCCATGGTGCGATGTTCATAACTTTCCTCATGTTGTTCATATTTGTCGTTGAGAACTTGTTCTGGTTGTTCATATTTGTCCTCATGAGTTTGTTCTGGTTGTTCAAATTTGTCCTCAAAATATTGTTCAGGTTGTTCATATTTGTCCTCCTGAACTTGTTCTGGTTGTTCATATTTGCCCTCATTAGTTTGTTCTGGTTGTTCATATTTGTCCTCATGAACTTGTTCTGGTTGTTCAAATTTGTCCTCCTGAACTTGTTCTGGTTGTTCATATTTGTCCTCATGAACTTGTTCTGGTTGTTCAAATTTGTCCTCAAAATATTGTTCAGGTTGTTCATATTTGTCCTCCTGAACTTGTTCTGGTTGTTCATATTTGCCCTCATTAGTTTGTTCTGGTTGTTCATATTTGTCCTCATGAACTTGTTCTGGTTGTTCAAATTTGTCCTCCTGAACTTGTTCTGGTTGTTCATATTTGTCCTCATGAACTTGTTCTGGTTGTTCAAATTTGTCCTCAAAATATTGTTCAGGTTGTTCATATTTGTCCTCCTGAACTTGTTCTGGTTGTTCATATTTGTCCTCATGAGTTTGTTCTGGTTGTTCATATTTGTCCTCATGAACTTGTTCTGGTTGTTCAAATTTGTCCTCCTGAACTTGTTCTGGTTGTTCATATTTGTCCTCATGAACTTGTTCTGGTTGTTCAAATTTGTCCTCAAAATATTGTTCAGGTTGTTCATATTTGTTCTCCTGAACTTGTTCTGGTTGTTCATATTTGTCCTCCTGAACTTGTTCTGGTTGTTCAAATCCATACTCCTGAACTTGTTCTGGTTTTTCAAATTTGTCCTCCTGAACTTGTTCTGGTTGTTCATATTTGTCCTCCTGAACTTGTTCTGGTTGTTCATATTTGTCCTCGTGAGTTTGTTCTGGTTGTTCATATTTGTCCTCATGAACTTGTTCTGGTTGTTCAAATTTGTCCTCCTGAACTTGTTCTGGTTGTTCATATTTGTCCTCATGAACTTGTTCTGGTTGTTCAAATTTGTCCTCCTGAACTTGTTCTGGTTGTTCAAATTTGTCCTCATGAACTTGTTCTGGTTGTTCAAATTTGTCCTCATGAACTTGTTCTGGTTGTTCAAATTTGTCCTCATGAACTTGTTCTGGTTGTTCAAATTTGTCCTCATGAACTTGTTCTGGTTGTTCAAATTTGTCCTCATGAACTTGTTCTGGTTGTTCAAATTTGTCCTCAAGAACTTGCTCTGGTTGTTCTAATTTGTCCTCATGAGTTTGTTCAGGTTGTTCATATTTGTCCTCAAAAAATTGTTCTGGTTGTTCAAATTTGTCCTTCTGAACTTGTTCTGGATGTGCATATTTGTCCTCAAAATCTTGTTCTGGTTGTTCATATTTGTCCTCCTGAACTTGTTCAAACTTGTCCTCCTGAACTTGTTCTGGTTTTTCAAATTTGTCCTCATGAGTTTGTACTGGTTGTTCAAATTTGTCCTCATGAGCTTGTTCTAGTTGTTCATATTTGTCCTCATGAACTTGTTCTGGTTGTTCATATTTGTCCTCATAAACCTGTTCTGGTTGTTCATATTTGTCCTCATGAGTTTGTTCTGGATGTTCATATTTGTCCTCATGAGTTTGTTCTTGTTGTTCATATTTGTCCTCATGAGTTTGTTCTGGTTGTTCATATTTGTCCTCATGAACTTGTTCTGGTTGTTCATATTTGTCCTCATGAACTTGTTCTGGTTGCTCAAATTTGTCCTCATGAGTTTGTTCAGGTTGTTCATATTTGTCCTCAAAAAATTGTTCTGGTTGTTCAAATTTGTCCTTCTGAACTTGTTCTGGATGTGCATATTTGTCCTCAAAATCTTGTTCTGGTTGTTCATATTTGTCCTCCTGAACTTGTTCTAGTTTTTCAAATTTGTCCTCATGAGTTTGTACTGGTTGTTCAAATTTGTCCTCATGAGCTTGTTCTAGTTGTTCATATTTGTCCTCATGAACTTGTTCTGGTTGTTCATATTTGTCCTCATAAACCTGTTCTGGTTGTTCATATTTGTCCTCATGAGTTTGTTCTGGATGTTCATATTTGTCCTCATGAGTTTGTTCTTGTTGTTCATATTTGTCCTCATGAGTTTGTTCTGGTTGTTCATATTTGTCCTCATGAACTTGTTCTGGTTGTTCATATTTGTCCTCATGAGTTTGTTCTGGTTGTTCATATTTGTCCTCATAAACTTGCTCTGGTTGTTCATATTTGTCTTCATGTGTTTGTTCTGTTTGTTCAAATTTGTCCTCATGAGCTTGTTCTGGTTGTTCATATTTGTCCTCATGAGCTTGTTCTGGTAGTTCATATTTGTCCTCATGAGTTTGTTCTGGTTGCTCAAATTTGTCCTCATGAACTTGTTCTGGTTGTTCAAATTTGTCCTCATAAACTTGTTCTGGTTGTTCAAATTTGTCCTCATGAGTTTGTTCTGGTTGTTCATATTTTTCCTCATAAACTTGTTCTATTTGTTCAAATTTGTCCTCATAAACTTGTTCTGGTTGTTCATATTTGTCTTCATAAACTTGTTCTACTTGTTCAAATTTGTCCTCATGGGCTTGTTCTGGTTGTTCAAATTTGTCTTCATGAGTTTGTTCTGGTTGTTCAAATTTGTCCTCATGAACTTGTTCTGCTTGTTCATATTTGTCCTCATGAACTTGTTCTGGTTGTTCAAATTTGTCCTCATGATCTTGTTCTGGTTGTTCAAATTTGTCCTTGTGAACTTGTTCTGGTTGTTCAAATTTGTCCTCATGAGCTTGTTGTTCTGGCTGCTCATATTGGTCATCTATCAGCTCTGTCTGCCTTGTAGAGACAATGACTTGTATTTCATCCTCGCTTTCCTCCTCCGAGTCTAGGACACCTTCACCCTCGGATTCAGAGGAGAATTCGTGGTCATCGTACAAAGGAGGAGGGGGAGGAGCAGTGAAGATGGTGGCAGGTACTGCCTCGTCATGCTTGATATCGGTGGATACAATCATCTCTTCTACTTCAACTGGCTCCGCCTCCTGTTGTTCACTTTGAAGCTTCTCAGTTTGAATTTGGGGTAAGTCATCAACATTTTCAGAGATATGTTCCAGTTTTGCATCTTGTTCAGCAGGGATGAACTCAGCCTCGTGAACAGTGTCTTTACTCTTTTCCAGAGGAGAGACAGACTCAATTTGATCATAAACAGCGGTTTCCTCTTTCGCTTCTAAAAATAAATGATGATCTGGTTTCTGGTTTTCTTTATCATCATCCTCAAAAGTTTCTTTGGTTTGAAGGCTATGAGCACCGGTCAGGTCCTGGACAGTTTCCAAGGGTTCAATGAAATCAACATTGGTGTATACCGTAGGTTCCTCACTCGTAGCCACGTGTATCTCCTTCACTGGTTCTATATTCTCCTTGTCTTCCAACAAATCCTTTTCCCCTGGAATATCTAGGGAAGCAGATTCCTTGGTTTCCATATGAATCGGTTTGATTTCAGTTGTTTCCTCGACGGAGTAAGCCTCCTGTTTGACTGTAGTAAATAATTCTGTGTGATCTACACTTTCTTGTTTGATTTCAACCTGTTCCTGTTGAATTTCTTTGAAATCTGCTGTTTCGTATTCCTCTTCCTGATCAGATGTTCTGTGATCAAAATTCTGTGACTGATATTCCTCCCAAGACATCACACATTCTGTCTCAATGAAATCTTCTTCTTCTTCATCTTCCTCCTCATCGGTCGCCTCAACCTTTGAAGGTACCTCGTCTATTTTTGGAGCCTCTACAACTATTTCGTGTTCTAGAAATGATGCAATTTCTCTAATACGCTCCTGGCTTTGTTCAGACAAAGATTCCTCTGTCTGTATGACTTCTACCTTTCCCCCTTCCATTTTAGATTCTACATTTTGCTCCGTTGCGAATGACACTTCTTTAGTTGAAGCTTGGACAACTATTTCCTGTTCAAAAAAGGAGGCATATTCCTGTGGAATATCTTGAATTGGTTTGTCCTGTCTTTGATTAAATTCTGTTGTGTCAATTTCCTCAGGTTTTTCATCGGGAATAACAGTAACAGACTCGGATCCTGTCACGAGATCCGACTCCCGCCCGAGAAAGAGATTCTCATCATTTTGTGTAGCACTTTGTTGTTGCTGATCAGACAGATATTCCTCCTCAACACCCGTAGACATTTGAGTGGCCATTTGCAGTGCCTGTTCCCTCTCCTCAGCCTTCAAACTTTGTTCAAGCCTGTCTTGCTTGAACTCAATTGGGCTTTCAATTTCACTACGGTCTGATCCGTTATCAGCAATTTCTATTGTGTCACCAGCAGATGAATGGCTTAGGTCAGAGAGTTCATCCTCCTCTTCCTCCATTCGATTATCAATTCTAATGTCCTCACGAAGAGGGGAAATGTCTCCCATTTCTTGGCTGTCATCTACGTCCATTGGTTTCTCATGTGTCCGATACAGATTATCTTCGTCTTTTATTTCCACATGTGTTATGTGTCTGTTTTGTTCCGTCTTTGAATAAACACTTTCAGCACTTTTTTCCTCCACGTTTTCAAATTTTGTCAATGAAAAGTCTTGATAAGATTTCTGTTCAAATTTGACATTCTTAGATTCAGTAGATTTTTCATGGCTTTCCTCATATTTCAGTTCATCACTTTTTTCTGTATGTGATCTGAAGTCCTCTCTGGTTGTTCTCTCGACGACGCGTTCCTCTGTTTTTGTTATTTTCTGGAAGTGGGGTTCTTCTGAAGTTTCCTCCGTCAAAGACACGTCTTGTTCATGAGGGGATGGAAGACGAAAGGGGACTGCTTCTTCGTCATATTCTTCTTCTATTTCATCTTTGTCAACCACCTCCCAATCATCGTCATCATCTTCCTCCTCCTCACCCTCAGCAGCAGCGGCAACATTTGGACCAGTTTCTTGGTGTGTGAATGATTCACTTACCCATTCTTTTTGTTCGTAAGAAAAATCCTCGTCTGACGGTTTGGTTTCTGTCCCTGAACCATTATCTGACAAACTATCCCTACGAACTTCTTGACGAATTTTCTCAATTTTTGTTTCCATTTTCTGAACTATATTTGCAACAGGTTTAATACTGCGCACAATTGGAGGTGGTACGTCCTCTTCCTCTGAAGAAGACGTCCCATCTGCAATTGGTTGTTTCTTTTCTAAAGCTTCATAAGGTTCGTAAGGTCTATGTAAAATTTCACCACTCTCTTGAACAGTTTTGAATTCTGGTTCCACAACTGTCTCCACGAAAGTTGATGCTGAAGATGTTCTCTCCTTGGAAGATTCAAAAGTCTTTGTCGAAACCCTCTCCTTGGCAACTGTTTCCATAGAAACGACTTCCTCCAAAGATTGTGTCATTACACTTTCCTCTTCAGCATACTTGGTCGAAACCTCCTCTTCAGCATACTTGGTCGAAACCTCCTCTTCAGTGAAAACGGACGAAATTTCCCCCCTGGAAGCCATATCTTCTTCTGTGAACTGTTCACCTTTTGACCCCTGAGAGACAGGTTCAAATTTCTGAATAATTTCGGCCACACTGCGCCGCTTCTCAGTTGACTCGACGTGTACTTCTACATCTACCTCTACACTACGAGCTGTTTAACCATCCACCAAAGTCCCACACAATGCAGCATTAAAAGATAAGGGAGGCAACACATGTTAGTGAATTAGTAAACCTATAAAAGTGACAGTTTACACAGTTATCTCCCCTAGTTGGAGAGAATAAAAAGAGAGTTGTCTTCTCTTTTCCATAAAAGCCAGTTACCTTACAGTTTGATCAGTGCAGGGCTGGCCTTTCCTGTAAGGAGCTTGTGAAAAATATTAGTTGGATTAATATTAATGAACTGAAAATACATTGGGCTAAAATGCAAACTACGTCATGATGGAACTCAATTCCAGGGACACAACTCTAGCTAAAAACAAACGATGTTAATGATTCAGCATAATTCACTCCTTGCAATCTACATAAACTCCTGAAACACAAGACAAGTTTGAAGTACATGCACAGCAATTTGTGAAAGACTGAAAATAATGATTTTATTAAATTGTGTATATATTGGTGTTACACTAAAAGTGCCACACAAACATACACTGTATATGCTGGTGTAACATTTTGTTTACATTGGTATTAAACTGGTGTTACACTAAAACACTGGTATTACACTATGTTACACTAAAGTACACTACATGTGTCACACAAACATAAACTGATATGGTGGCATCACACTTCTCTTAAATAGGAGTGTTACTCTAAAATCAAACATGATATTACGCTGATGTTACTCTAAAACACACTGGAAATATGCTGGCATCACACTGGTGTTACACTGTATACTGCTTCACACTGATTTCATACTGGAAGTATGCTTCGAATGCACTTCCAATATAAAACAACATGAATCAGTTCCTTCATACAAAAAGACACATTTCAAAACAATGTAAGGTTAGAAATAAGTCAAACTCATGAATATTCAAATCAACAGGATGCTTCATTCTTTCCCTTAAAATGCAAAATATATAATTTATATTAATTTTTGTAGTAATAAAACAATAATGCATTCTTATACAAAGTAAGAATGCTGTAAACAAGGTGTCATTTTTAACAGTGAAATCAACCATTTAAAACAATTTTCACATATCCACTTTTACAAAAAATAATTAAATAAGTCAAAATTATTTATGTTTTCTAAATTTCAATATGTATTTTACGTAAATGGACGCTTGATGAAGAGAAGCCCCAACAATCCAGCCATTTTGGTGAATTTCAAACAAAGGTGGTTGGCTTATAATTATAAGATATCAAGATTACTGGGATTGTTTTTTTCTAGGAAATGTCTCCAAAATATATATACATTTAATGTACAAACAGTGACACCTTGTTTCTCATCATCGTAATAAACGTTCATATCAACTTCCTGTCACATGATCGCCACCAACCAATCAGGTCCAATTCTTAATATTTTAAGCAGAATAAAACAATATTTAATTTTATAATATTTTAGATTTTTGTCTGTCAGAAATCTTGTTGTTCATCTCTACAAGTCAATAACTGTAGCATGAACTGATAAAGAATTCAGGTAATTATTTTTTAGTCATAGCTGTATTTGATTTCCAGCATATTTGTCCAAGCTTGTGAATTTCTCTGTGAAAAGCTTTATCTGTATATCATCAAAGAGGCTCAATTGGTGAAATCTAAAGCATTGTGCAGTCTCTCGGGACAATCTTGAGACTTTTTTTTTTTTTTTACAAAATTTTAACAGTCAATGTTTGGACCCAAGTGATCAGGCAATTAATACGGCAGTGTTGAGCGTGTACGTAGATTTACGTTACATGCCGGGAAACGTAAATACTGACTGGGGGCAAACACTACAACAGGCACTGAAACAGAGTGAGACGCTACAGGAACATTAACGTGTTTTGGCTATAGTGTTGAACCAGTGTTGCTGCTGCAGGCTTAGTAAACAAGATGGCTACCTGTGTCTTCGACTGGAAAGGCACTGTCTCGGTATTCGGAATCTTCTTCTATACGGAAAAAAATTGGGATGAATGTCATATGATGCAATGAGAAATATAGAAACATGAAATGAAATGTATTATATATGAAATCTGAAAATGCAAAAACAGTAAAATCATTTTAGTCTGGACGGCTGTGGATTTTCGGAAGAACACATTTTGAACAAAATATCATTGACCTGATTCAAAGGTTTGAATTGTGAAATTACAGAGGCCAGACTAATAAGATTTGCAGTGTATACACAAAATTTGAATTCATCACAATAAAAGTTAGACTATATGTAGACTTTCAAGATATACTTAATTTCTTGTTAAAGAAACATGTTTTTCTACTAAATTCCAATCCTAAATGAACAGATACAGGGTCAATAATGCCAATACCTCTAACAGAAAGTTTACAAGTTAACTAATACATGTACCGACATGCTGTGCAAACAAATTTGAAAGAAACTGAACTTACAAAATTGAAACATGCTGGCTAAGTACATTAAGATCCTAACACCTTATTTTAATATTAATTTCATGCATTAACTTGATTTCATCATCGATGTCATGCTCATGGCTATATGCTGCAAGTTTTCAACATTTGTTAACTTTTCAAAATTTTTATTCAACAGCTTACATATTTTTATAAGTATTTATATCATGCAATATAATTTAAATCCATATATCACTTCCTGTGCATGATTGCTAAATAATTGCCAACATAATGGCTATTTGGCCATAACTTATTCATAATGAAGAATGATCACGTTGAATTAACTTTGAGATTGCTAAATTCATTCCTCATTTCTGCGTTTAATTATTAATCAATTGTTATTGATTAATGAAAATACTTGAAATCAAATAAGTATAACATTTTTCTTTTCCTTTTTTTATCTTAGGATGTATGTTACCTTGGGCATTTATACCCGAGTTTGAGTTATCTTCCTTCAATAACTTTTATATAGAATTCAGAATAATGGTATGCCATTTGTAAAAGAAACCTGGCAATTTCTTGAGGAACTCTTATGTAATGAAGATACAATGAAAGCTAGCTTGTATCCTTAACATATAACTTATTCCTTCTTTCCGGTTGCTGATAAGGTTTTTTCACACAAGAAAAAAACCAGAATTCCATTTGCATAGCAACTACGAATGAAAGTGCTTCTGAGGTGTGTTACACCTAAAACACGAAACGATGATATTTTTGACGAATTGCCAAGGATTCTGACGATATTTGACAAATTGCCAAGTCTAGTAATCCTAAGGTCAGCACTCTACTTAGATAGTGGATAATGATGTCACTTCTTATATTTTGGAATTTCTCAGCAGAAACTGAACAAATATTACAAAAAAAATATTGCAATAAATAAATAAAATCTTCATAACTTTTTGTTCGCAAATACTACTTACAAAAGTAAAGAAACTCTATCATCTAGGATTTTTGAGATAAAGTATATCTGTTTTACTTAAATATCACAGCGGAAAGAACTATAACATGTATATAATTTCTTTTCTTTTCTGGATTTACCTGCCACTTACAATACAATGTTTAAACACTTTCAATACATGTTCACTAGTGTGAAGTGTATACCAGACTTTATATGAATTCATTACAAGGTCCAGCAATACAATATCACAGGGTGTAAATACAAACATACGGTGGAGTAGAATATAGAAGTTAATCTTGGGAATGAAGAGGTTTCCGTGGACAGGAGTGGAAACAGAAAAGTCAACCACAGACAATATCTAATATCTAGGACCGCTCTGGAAATCGTATCATCCTCGTACGAAAACAAGGCATCTTGGGAATGGAACAGAAAATGTTACCCTGCACCAAACAATATACAGGTACTGTTATCCTGTATCAAATTCCTACACAGAACCAAAAATAAACCAAAAACTGAATAATTTGTAATGATTGGAAAAGAAATAATTCTGATACAAGATGCACTTATATTAGCTTCGTGTTGTTTCATTGATAGATGATGAGATTGTATCTAAAAAAAAATGGACTCGCGAGACAGCAGCAAAATGTTATTCAATATTCTGTATCATTTGGATTATAGACAATAAAACAATATCCTGTCATGTTTAGACCATAGACAATAAATAACAGTCCTTAAGGATAGGAACATCGACAGAAACGCAATAGTCTATAATATACATGTATAAACCATAGGCAGATAGACAATATCCTGGATGGGACAATATATGTTGTAATGTTTAAACCATAGACAATGAACCTATACCAATACCCTGTAAGGATGGGACAATAAAATGTTTAGACTATTGACAATGAAACAATACCCCATAAGGACGGGACAATATACTGTTATGTTTAGGCCATTGACATTAAAACAATAACCCATAAGGTCGGGTCAATATACTGTAATGATTAGACCGTTGACAATAAAACAATACCCCATAAGAACGGGACAATATACTGAAATTTTTAGACCACTGACAATAAAACAATGCCCCATAAGGATGGGACAATAAAATGTTTAGACTATTGGCAATGAAACAATACCCCATAAGGACGGGACAATATACTGTAATGTTTAGACCACTGACATTAAAACAATAACCCATAAGGTCGGGACAATATACTGTAATGTTTAGACCAATGACAATAAAACAATAACCCATAAGGACGGGACAATATACTGTAATGTTTAGACCATTGACAATGAAACAATACCCTGTAAGGATGGGACAATATACTGCAATGTTTAGACCACTGACAATGAAACAATACCCCATAAGGACGGGACAATATACTGTAATGTTTAGACTGTGGGCAGAAGCACATTATTTTGTAAGGATGGGACTATAGACAACAGCACAACAGTCTGTACAATTTGGACTATAAATAATAAAACAACACCTTGTGCACTTCTGAACAGAAAATCTAGGACAGACAATATCAATAAATATTCACATCAGCACAACAAACCAGGGACACTGTGCTAAGAGAGAGGAACTACAGATGGTGCTGAGAGTTATCTAACCTGTTTTTATCCCAAAATAGGAAACATAATCGTCATCATCTGGGGGAACACTGTGATCCTCTGTGATAGTAATAGTTGGTGTATCAGAGGAGTTCTGCGCTGGGGTTACTGAAATATTCAAAATGGCAGACCCGTTGCATTTTGGGAGGATGTCTCAAAATAATTTCTACTTGTTTACTATCTTGCACTTGGAAATGCTAAGAAAACTGTAATATGGGTGACTAATGTAGTTCTAAATTAAACATAATTTCCAAGGTTTCCTGAAATGAAATTTATGGACAATTTTGTAGAATGTGTCAACATTTTTCCACTTAATTATTAGCACCTGACAATGTTCAAAAGGTGCAAGGTGGGTATTTTAAAGAGTTATTAGTCAAATATGACTTTTTCTGCTGTTTTCTATTAAGGCAGCCTACAGTACTTAAACACTAAACTTTTTTTCATTTTAAAGGTATTAAAAGGCACAAATAATCAAAATAAATGAAAAGAAAATAAAAGATTATTTTTCAAACAATCCATGTTAAATTATGCAAATAAAACATAACAAGCTAGCAATGATCTACATTGTTTATCAAAACAGTAGCATGCATATCGTGTCGTAACTAAGGGACATAACTCCTGGTGAATCTCCATCGTCACTGTGTCTCATTCCATCATATAATGTGAACATGCATTTTGCTTAAATTTTGTATGCAGTAAATCGGTATAAATGGTGGATTTTTCCTCGATTTATTCATTTGTAATAATTCACTGACATGTTATATACCATCTAAGAAACAGAACAGCTAGCTTTTACTGATTTTGACATTTATGATTTTTATGTCATCTGATGCTTATTTCTATTGAAGTTTTGTGGTGTCTTGTCTAAAGCTGATATGATTTATTTTCTTAGCTGACACTAACATTTTCTGTCTTCATTTGACAATAACTTATATTAATAGTCACTTTTCCAGTCTCTATTTGATAATCACTTGTATTTGACATTAACTAATATTTGACAGTAATTTTTCATGTCTCTATTTGACAGTAACTTATATTTGACAGTCACTTTTCTTGTCTCTATTTGACAGTAAATTTTCCTGCCTCTTTTCCAGTCTGTATTTGATAGTCACTTGTATTTGACAGTAATTTGTATTTGACAGTAATTTTTCATGTCTCTATTTGACAGTCACTTTTCTTGTCTCTAGTTGACAGTAACTTTTCCAGTCTCTATTTGACAGTAACTTTTCCAGTCTCTATTTGGTAATCACTTATATTTGACAGTAACTTATGTTTGACAGTAACTTTTCCTGTCTCTATTTGACATTTACTTATATTTGACAGTAATTTTTCCTGTCTATATTTGACAGTTACTTATATTTGACAGTAATTTTTCCTGTCAATAATTTACTCTCTATATCTGTTGCAATAAGATTCCTTTTTGTATAAATTAAGCAAGCATAAATAACCAGTCTGTGTAAGATAAATTCCTATAATGCAAGATTCTTTCTGAGATAAATGTATCATTACGCCAGGGAAAACAAGCATTTCCTGTTTATATTGTGTAGTATGCATGTTACATACATTCCTTTTGTGTGGTATGTATATTTTACCAAGCGTAAAGTGTGGGCGATCCGTTTCAGCCCCAGTATTCCAGATATATTCCAAAATGCATACGTTGTCAGAAAAGTTTTGTGTTTTTTTTAATTGATGATTAAGTTTACACAAATTATCAATTTCAGAAACGAATTATCCTCCTAGTTACCTTATCCTGACCAAAATAAAGTGTTAATTGATTATTTTACCATTATATTTATCTTATATCCACATCAAGTAATGTAGGCATGATACAGTCAAATCACTTCCATCAAGAGACCACTTAAATCTGATAAATATTTGTAAACTTGGTGAACATCACCTACTGTTAATTAATCAACATGCTTGTATGCATTTCCAACATTCTCTCAATTACGAGTTAAATATTACTGTGGACATTCGACTACATGCGCATTAGCCTCCGTACGATACATCCACGGCAGGCTCGTCACGATTCTACTCTCTATAGTTAATAGCAGTCAGTTAATGGGGGGAATCATCAAGGACTGATACGTTCACAAACGCCACTCCAGACTATTATGAGCTAGAGGCAATACAGAAATATTACTACCTCTGTAGCATTCAGATTCACCAATCACAGTTGGCTGATGAGGGTCGTAGGTGACCTTTTTGACCTTCCGTTTGGTAAATCCACTTTCTTCCAGCTCCTTCCATTCTGTTGTATACATATCAGACATTTCTTAAATGTTTCACTCCCAAAAAGTATTAAACCGACTGAGGCAAGTTTCACACATTAAGGCAATACTTGACAGTTGTCTTTTAGACAGTATACTTGATGTTTACTTTCACAAACAATCATGAATACCAGCGATTGATCAATCAAACTTCAGATGCATGGACAATATATTTAGAAAAATTACTCCATCAAGTAATCTGTATTTTTGTATTATATCTTTATCAGATATTTAGTTTTACATTTTTCCACTTCCCTGTTCCATTTTTTAACATTTTTTCTTTATATACCATATCAGATATTTAGTTTTACATTTTTCCACTTCCCTGTTCCATTTCTTAACATTTTTTCTTTATATACCATTTTTGCACATATTTATATTACATATTTTGATACATCAACATATTTTTTTCGAACAAAATGATATTATCGTAGTAGCATAAATTTGAACCAGAAATGACAACTGTTCTAGCAAATTAACATTTTATCCATTAACTACCAAACATCTGTGTGTGTAGGAGTTTAACCTCATGCTAATTCCATTGGTATATACCAAAAGTTGCCACTAAATGGAAGCAGACATTCCACATTAGTTTTTCTTTGTCAGTCATTTTGACATATATGTTGACAAGACTAGGGCAAATATACAGATGGACAGACTGATAAAAAGATAAAAGAGGACGAAAAGACAGATCGGGGATTATAAGCATGGGTCATGATCATTAGCTTATAACATGTCAAACTGAAAGGGTCTTGTACCCCATATTCAGATGTTTTTAGGCAGGGAATACACTTGTAAGTACTGTATTTAATAGTAAAGATTTGTGTTGTTGAATAAAACCTAACTGAATATTACTATGGTTACAGTAAAATGATATGTACACATATCTGTCAACCATCAGTTCGTTTTTGAAGCAACTAACTCCAGTTAATGAAAACAACCCAGACTTGTGCATGGACATGTACTAACGTGACAAAATTAAGACACATTTTGACGCAAAACAATTTTGCATCAGACGTTTAGCATGAACAACGTGTTCAGAGATAATATCTGAAGATATTTCTACATTCAAAATCTCATAGCACATTATTAAAAACAAAATATGTAAATGCATGCAAAGTTCATTTTGAAACCATCTAAAATCTGCAAATCCAAAATCATAAAAGAATACAGACCTATCTTTGAAGTTCTACCACGATATCGACAACATCCAATGAAATTAAATCTCTCTTGATCCCTAATGGTACCAGGTACAATGAAAACATATTCAAAATACTGTTCAATCCTCAAGCAAAAGCAGCACTTTTAAACATCTAAATAACCATGACACAAATGAATTACAAACATCACACTGACAAAGATTCTAACTACAAAACATTGAAATATCATGACCTCAATATGTTACATATATCCGATTTTCTTCGCAAGTCACAAACACTGGAATTTCGGTGAGAATTTGATCCGACAGTACCTTTAAAACACTTATTACACAAACATCGATAAGAACTTAATCATAGCTATAGTTACAAACACCACAAACACCTTGATCACAATTTGTAACATGCACCTCAAAGACCTAGACATAATCTTATCTTTATCTAGACTATAAAACAAACACCTAAAAGACTTTGATCTAACTATAGCAATCAGCTGACTACGGTTAGGAATCCAACCAGAAAACCATCCAAGTTTTTACGTGTTATTTCTTAAACACAGCTTCCACTTCAGCACTCCCACCAGTTTCTTATAGTATACACAAAAATAAAATTAATGGAAAACTCAAATAAAAACATTCCTTGTACAGTAGGTAAATTACATTTCACTTTGCAGATACTTATCATTTTCTCTTAACTATGAAGACTTAAATTAAAGTTGATAGCAGTCTGATGTCCTTTATATAGATACAAATTTTCGATGCTTAAGGATCTCTTTACCATTGCCAAAAACGGTAACTAAGAGTTGGAAACTGTTTTTTTCTGACATGGCTGAAGCTTTGATAAATCATTTCTTAGAAAAAAACAATACCTTGTGAGACTTTTATGAGAAAAAATAAAGATGAAATAAACAAAATATAATTAACAATAGTGAATAGAGTGAAGAAAAAACAAAAAACAATCAGCGGTGCTAGACTGGGATTCGATCCCTGGACTTGATATTGTTACACTAACAACTAATTATAACCGACTGAGCTACTTGGTCGACAGAAATGTCCTTGCCAATGTGCTACAGTTATATCCAAATGGAAATTAAGGGGAGGTTACTCATGTATACAGGAAATACACATTGCAGTGGGACAGGGATCCTTAATATGAAGTTACACAAAAATTGCATATCATTGTTTATATCAGTAGCCTACAGTAAATGGTTTAGATATGATATATCAAGCTTACTGCCATCTTTTCCGTTGATGGAAGTGCCAGCTTAAACTGTGTTCAGGAAATAAGCAAGACACCATTCCCACAGCCAACAGTACACAACCAGGTCTCCAAATCACACAAAACCCCTGAATACCGTGCATCACTAAATGTTTCATCCCACTAGCCAACACAGTGAGATTTCAGTCTCTAAGAAACTTTTCCAACTTTATGTAGGAAATGTTGACCAGCTGAAACTCTCTCTTCCGAATATTGGAGCCTGTCAAAGAGCATGGTGCACCGAGCCTATACAGAAAATGGCAGAAAAAATTGTAACTCAACGGTGTCCTGAAAACTACAATACTGAGAACACAGACTGATGTGTAACTACTAACTATACCATAGCAAAGACTAGCGCAGCCTGCAAACAACACCGTCATCCAAAGCTCTAACTATTACCTGCTTCTGCAGCTTCCGTAAGCATATGCCCAGATGGCGCCACCATTTCATCCTCTGTTTTATCGAAGGACGTTTCTATCTCATCGCCTTTCTGGACCGCATCAAAATGGGCTGATCTGATTGTCCTTTGAACGACCTCTTTAGCCATATCAGGAAAATCTCGATTATCTTCAACGGTCACCGGAGACATGGATCGCGGACTGGGGATGTATCTTTCTTCGGTTATGGTTTTGGAGGTTTCAGCTTCGTCAATGTCGCCGGACTGGGATTTGACTCTGATGGTCTCATGACTTTCAATCTTACGTTTACGAATAACACTTCCATCTCCGAGGACTTCTTCGACCTCACCAAGATCTGCATGAATCTCGGCTCCTAGGTCATCATCTTCATCTGTGTAGGAGTCAGATGATGAAGATGAGGACTCGTCACATTCAATGAAGCAAGATTCTGTGCCAGGAATGATTTCATCAATTTCGTAACGTTCTTCTTGTTTCTCACCTCCTTCATCAACAGACTCATGGTGCGTGAGGATGCGATGAACCATGCGACTTGAGATGATCTGCTTTTTTACTTTCGTACCATCAGGCAAAGTGTCCTCAATGTCTTCGACATCCCGAACCTGTCGTGCAGGTTCCTCAAATGTTTCAATGATGTCTTCCCTATTGGTGCCAGGAATTGTAACATCACCCTCGAAAATGTCCTCATCTCCAGTCTCTGACTTGAGAATCTTGCGGATATGTTTAACGGAATGTCGTCTGACCTTTTGGAAAGAGTGAATTGTGCCATCGGGAAGAATTTCTTCCGACTCCTGGACATCAATTTCCTCTTTTATCGGACCCTCGGATTCTGTGAGCTCCTCTGTACATTTCACTTCATCTTCGGCATCAATCGTTGGCTGGCGCGAAAACTTGCGAATCTTTTTGTGCTTGACCACTGTGCCATCAGGAAGAGTTTCCTCGTATCGTGTCTCCTCGGGTGGTATATCTGAATCGAACACTGTAACAGGAGGCAAACAACGACTCTGAAAACACCCACCTTCTTATATCAACAAAGCAAGCAACGCACACATATTTGAATATGAACACCTATCGCAGCACCACTGACCGCATCGCTTTACCAAGTAAACACTGCAAATTGAAACCTTGACCACAACCTGTGTCTGTGTATAAATAAAAGCCAAACTCTGATTTCTTCATCAGGAAAAAATGTTAAATGGATTAGTAATCTTTGAGTGAAAAAAAGCTGGGTTGTATGTAAGTGATTAAACATTAGTTTTAACAAAACCAAACTTTAACTAAACAGGAACTCTTAAATGGGTAAAACAGCAAAAATTTGAAAGAAAGAAAGAAACACTATGTCATTCAAGAAATGGTCGTACACAGTGTTTTTTGGGTAATGATATAGGTAGGGATGAACTACTGTTGTGACACAGAAAAGGAAAGTACATATTTACAATTTTTGATGACACAGGTTATTTTTACAGACAAAATGTCAACTATTGCTGTAGGGTAGTAGCACCACCAGTGCCTCAAAGCATCAGATGATGCCATAGATTCTTTGTCATTGTCACAAGACATTGTTTCTATCAATACAACTGAAGTAGGACAATAATCGTTTCTAAGTATAATCCTGCCCTGATTGAACAACAACCTGCTTTTAAGAATAATATTGAATTCAGACTACTATTGCTTTTAGGATGTTAAAGTTTCTGTGAGTGTTGAGAAATAACTGGTTCAAAGGGTTCTATTGACCTAGAGCAATACCTTGTTTCAATGGTTCTATTAACTTGGAACAGGACTTATGGCCCTAGAGCAATATTTGGTCTAAAGGGTTTTATTGACCTTGATCAATAATTGGTTTCAAGGATATATTTTTTTTTTAGAGCAAAATCTGGTTTCAAGGGTTCTATTGACCAAGAGCAAAATCTGGTTTCAAGGGTTCTATTGACCAAGAGCAAAATCTGGTTTCAATGGTTCTATTGATCTAGAGCAATACATTTGTACTTGTTTTCAAGGGTTTTATTGCCTTAGGTCAATAATTGTTTTCAAGGGTTCTGTTTCCTGAGAGCAATAATGGGTTTTTCAGGGACACTTTGACATAGAGCAGTACTTGGTTTCCAGGTTGCTTAATAATCTCAAGCAATAATTGGTTTTAATGATCCTATTTCCTTTGAGCAATGATTGGTTTCTAGCTATATAGATATTATTGGTCCAGAGCAATGATTGGTTTCTATCTATATAGGTATTATTGGTCCAGAGCAATGATTGGTTTCTAGCAATATAGGTATTATTGGTCCAGAGCAATGATTGGTTTCTATCTATATAGGTATTATTGGTCCAGAGCAATGATTGGTTTCAATTATTGGTCCAGAGCAATGATTGGTTTCTAGCAATATAGGTATTATTGGTCCAGAGCAATGATTGGTTTCTAGCTATATAGACATTATTGGTCCAGAGCAATGATTGGTTTCTATCTATATAGGTATTATTGGTCCAGAGCAATGATTGGTTTCAATTATTGGTCCAGAGCAATGATTGGTTTCTAGCTATATAGGTATTATTGGTCCAGATCAATGATTCGTTTCTAGCTATATAGGTATTATTGGTCCAGATCAATGATTCGTTTCTAGCTATATAGGTATTATTGGTCCAGAGCAATGATTGGATTAGATTACTATTACCCTAGAGCAATAACTGATCAAAAGGTCTGTAAAATTACTAGTGTATCAATAAAACATATATCGTAAATCTTTTGTCAAAGACTTTTGATAATAGGCACAGAAAACAATTGAAATCGGTCATCATCTCGGGGAAATAGTACATGAAGCATTCATGAACCATCTGCCCAAAGTCTTTGTCAGATGATCAGAAAAGTTTTTGGATATTAAAAAATAAATAAACTGGACATGACAATGTAATTAAAGAATATCTAGAACAGCACCACACCCGAGTATAGTGAATACAGTACTCGCTACTACAAAACTAACCACAACCAACTACAATAGGTGATATATGCATATGTAGATACATAGTCTATGTGTCGCTGTTGAAAACCTGAATTTGATTTTATGTTTTCATATTACATGTTCTGTCTGTTTGAATTTGATGTTGTTGTTGTTTTTTTTTTTTAATGTTTTGTTCGTTTTCAACCTTGAGTAAGGCAAAAGAGAATCTTGTTCAATGAAATATGAAGATTTGTTCAGACATAACTAAGAAATCATAGGCTATATTCCACACACTGCATGCAGTTTCTTTGTATGTTTGGAGTTATTCCCCCTGGTACTTGAGATACATGTACTCAAACTATTCCATTGTAGTACTTTGCAAGGTCACTTTGCAAGGTCACGAGACCATAAGTCCAGGGATATGATGGAAACATCTTTCAACAACAAACGGAGACTAACCTTTAAATATTATTGTACAACTTCGTCAAACATCAGTCATGTTTTTTTGTTATGTCGGTGTGTAGGGCTTGTTTTGTATTTGAAGGTATGTTTAAACCATAACTGTTCCGTCTCGAATTCTCGTATCCTCAAATACCATCACCAAATACCATATGGAATTTCGTTTATAGTGCGTTTGATATAATAATTTCATGCTCTCCTTCAATAAATATTGATTTGATTTCTCCTAGATAAAAGCTTGAGCCCAACTATACTTTTTCATACCCATGACTTATCTCCTTGACTGTTCTACACAACTTAGATCCTTTGTTGAGTGTAAAGGCTCTATCGGTAGGGTAATATGGGGATCTGAACGTCAATCTTCAATGTTTGACAACAAAACTTATGCACACATTCTTTTTTATTATAAATGGATTCATAATTGTTTTTTAACAAAGTTTTATTTGATTAATTCACTCTATAAGAGTTAATTCATTTTCAAACCTTATTTTGACAATATCCAATTATCGTGCTACTTAAATTATTTGAGTAATGGAAAAATAACGAGAATTTTAAAGCAGTATTTTAGTTGAGAAAGTTTCATTTGAGATCAAAGTAAAAATACAAACTATTTGACAGAAGTTTTTTTTTTTTTTTTTTAAACATTTGGACATTTATAATCTACTCGTAAATGAAACAGTCCTGATCCACCCACCCTGTGGTTATGACAGAATTATAAATATATATATATATAATTGTCCAAAATATACTGACAAGGACGATATTTACAACCAATCACCTGGAATAAGCAATAATCGTCATGCCTCTTCGCACCACAAAACAACCCTCGGAGGCAAACGACACTTCAAAAACTCAGGCTCAATATGTCATTGGAAATACTACGACAATAAATTACGCCAAAATATGCAAAAATGTTAAGTAATGAAACAATTTCATTCCCATGACAACCCTTGGGTATGCTATATATTCCAGTATAGGGCAAATTATAAACAGTTACCATGGCGAATGGTTATGATTATAGGTGGGGAGTTGCTGGTTGTTATTATCGCATACAAAATGATCGATGGCAGGTTTTGATCACAGCTGATTGGGGTTTTGTGTGGATAACATTTGACCACAGGGTAAAATAACACATCAAAACACAGATGGGAGAATTGACGGGTTTACACAGCATTTAATGGCATAAAATGGACCCAATATTTGAATGAGGAAAAGTGACCTTACAATGAAAGGTTAAAGTGGAATTAGCGATTTTACCTTGTATTGGACTAAGGGATCTGACCTTGTATTGGACTAAGGGATCTGACCTTGTATTGGACTAAGGGATCTGACCTTGTATTTGACTAAGGAATTTGACATTTTAGTGGACAAAATGTTCTGACCCTTTTAGTGATCTAAGGGATCTGACTTTAATGTGAACTAAGGAATTTGACCCTGTAGTGAACTAAGGAATTTGACCTTTTAGTGGACTTAATGATTTGACCCTATAGTGGACTTAGGGTCTGACCTTTTAGTGGACTAAGTGATCTGACCCTGTAGTGGACTAAAGGATTTGACCCTGCAGCAGATGAAGGGATTTGACCTTTCAGTGGACTAAGAAATTTGACCTTGTCATTGTCTAAGGGATCTGACCTTGTAGTGGACAAAGGGTTCTGTCCTGACAACATGGCAATCAGACCCTTTAGTTGACTAATGGTTCTGACCCTTGTAGTTGACCAGGATTTGACCAAGTAGAGGACTGAGAGGTTGACAGAGTGAACTAACCTCACACCAAAAAACCCAGAGATTTGACAACAAAGTGGTCTGAAGGACATGATCCTGTACTTGACAAAGAAATGTACCTTATCATTTTTATTTGATTTGACCTTTGTAGCTCACTCTTATGAACTAAGGTATTTTAAAGGAAGCTTAAAAATAACCAGAAGAACTGACATCTGTCATTGCCCAAAGGGTAAGATCTCTTGTAAGGCTTAAGGACATAGGGATTTTACTCAGCAGAAGACTGAAGAATTTGACCTCATAGAAAACGAACAACTTTGAACCTATAGTGGAATAAGGGACTTTTACCCTTTAATTAAATTAAGCTTTCCCTCTAATTTTGGACTGAAGAATTTGGCCCTCTAATGAATAAAACTGTTTTATCCCATAGTATATCAAGGGACATGACTGCTTAATTTACTGGAAGGGTGAAACCTATGCTAGACTGTGAGATATGATTCAATAGTGATTTGACATGGTCTGACAGGACTTATTGTGGACAAAAGAATTAGGGATTTTAGGTTGTGGGTGAAAAGATTTTTTTTAACTTAGGAATTTAATCTTAACTCCTTCACCCCTGAAATTTTATGATGAACTTCCAACCATTGAATTGGAAGAGTTAAAATGTGTCTTCAGGGGTACGAGTTAATAGAGAAACAATCCTCAAAGTGCTGACTCCTATAACTGACTGACTGATTCAAACTACAGCAGAATGATGGATTTGACCTCAAATGTAATTGATGACAGGATTTGACCCCATAGTGGAAAAATGACCATGTAATGGACAGATAGACTCGATGCTGTATTGGAAGGAGATATTTTACCCTTTACTTATCAAGTTTGACCAGTCCAGCAGACTAAGATATCCAACTCAATGGTGGAAGGGGGGATTTTATTCCACGGTGAAATATGGCATTGACCCTACCTTAACACAAAAGGATTTTATCCTCTGTAACTATGGGACTTGAACCTCCACAGTGCATTGATGAATTTGTCAAAGGTAGAAATACAGACTGAGTGAATTGAAGTATTTGACCCCTATTGGTGACCCTAAAATTCACAAGTATGACGACTTCTGAAATAGGTCAAAGGATATGAACCTAATAGATATGTTAGGTATTTGAGTCACTATCGAGACTGAAAAGTTTGAACCTCTATATTGGATTGTCGAAATTTCAGTTCAACTTCTAGTTGATTATTGGATATTATCCCTGAATCAAAATGCAATAATAATGATTTGATACCTATGGCAGCTTTTGGATTCAAGCTTTTTTGTAGATCAAGAAATGTTATCATAATTGCCCAAAGAATTAATCCTATGTATTGTGGGTCAAAACCCATTGATGCAAAGGATGATCATTGTGATCGTGGCATTGTAGGGGGAATCAACAGAAAAGATAAGAAATCCATCTGCTGTTATACGACATTGTCAAATACCTGTATATAGTTAGACAGATATAAATGTTTGTGGAAAATAAATAAAACTTTTCTGATAAAAATTAATTTAAGAACAGAAAATCCATGCTGTTCTTTCATTTGAAGGGAAATGGGTGTTGGGACTGCTGTTTAGGATCAGAGGGAGCTAGGAATGGTATGTCAACTTTGTAACATGCTTCAAGGAAGCTTGGAGTGGAGAAATTCATTTGTTAGTTTTTACAACAATTGATGCTTGATCATACGAGAAACAAGTTTACATGCCGTAATTGTCACAATAGAAAAAAAAGCTTCATTTTTTCAGCCATCATACCTACGTATTTTAAACCAAGGGAAACGGTAAGTAGGTCTGAGGATGAAAGGCTAACAATTCTCTACTGGGAAATCTTTTGTTCGAGAATGTCGTGTTGGTTTTATTCGATTTAAAATTATTACAGGGTGCACTAAAAGCCTGGGTAAAACTCAAGTCAGGCCAAACAGATACCTTCTCCCTCAGTATCGCCTTCGTCAGAGTCACCCGGGTACCGCCACTCAAGAGGACTGCCTTCTTTCTTCTCTTTAGTTTCTACCGTCCCTACCTCCATTAGAGGCCCTCTTGCCTCAACTGGGGGCAAATGTTTAACCTCGCCCCCTTCTTCCACCACCCCAGACTCACCCTGTGTAGAATCTTCGACATCCTCAGCTGGAGGCTGGCATTCCTCAATGGTAGATTCTTCTGTCTTCGTAACTTCCTCAAATGCTACTTGCTTTTTGTGTTCTGCCTCACCATCGACCACTGCCTGACCAGCCTCAGTAAGCACCCTCTCCACAGATGTTTTGTCGCCTCCAGCCTCATATTGTTCAGCTCTGTCAACAAAGGACTCTGCCATCGACTCTCGTTCATCCTCTATATCCTCTGTAGCAGGCTGACATTCCTCGATGGTAGATTTTTCCTTGGTCATCACTACCTCCACAGCTAGCATTGCAGACTCCTGTTCACCTTCCTCTATGTCATCTATAGCAGGTTGACATTCCTCGACAGAAGATTCCTGTTTGGTCGTCACTACCTCCACCGCAAGTGTCTGCAAATCTTGTTCGTCCACTTCTAGGTCCTCTGTAGTAGGCCGACATTCTTCATGGGAAGATTCCTGTTTGGTTGTCACTACCTCCACAACTTGTGTTCCTGTTACATGTATGCCAGCCTGACCTTCCTGGGAAAGAACCCTCTCCACTGATGCTCTGTCTTCCCTAACTTCGTACTGTTCCTCTCTGTCCACATAGCCTTCTCCCGTAGCCTTCCAATCTTCCGAGTCTGACGGATAAGAAGCTTCGTCTCCACTCAAGTAAGTAGTATGACTTGAAGAACTGCTTCGACATAAAGAACTACTTTTATTACCAAACTCCTCATCTGGTTCCACAAAATCAGTAACATTTTCTTTTGGACGGGATTCACCTTGCTCAATGATATGTTCATCAGTATCTTTGGTTTCGTGAGATTTCTCTACCAGTTCGGATTCTAATTTTTCTTGTTGATCGTCTGGGATAGATTCATGCTCTGCACTGCCTGGGAGAACCTCATGCTCAACACAAGCAGTGTCAAAATCTGAACCAGGAGAAGCAACTGGTTCATCATCTTTCTCTGACTTGACTTGGTGCGAATCTGTCTCATCAACATGCTCTAGAATGTCCGTTAGTGGTTCATGTATGCCTGAACCAGCCAACTGCTGCTGCAAGTCGTGTTCTCCAGACCTGTTCGAACTTGAGGACGAACTAGAACTTGACGAGAGTTCATCTTCCTCTTCATCATGTTGGTATTTCTCCAAACCAGAGATACCACCACTTATTTCGGCTGGTTGCAAATGTCCAATATTTGACTCTAAAATGTCATCCAAGTCGGAATCCTTTGAAGAATCTGCCTGTTGGTCTATTTCTACAGAAGATGTACTAGTGAGAGAATCATAATGATCATCCGTCGGTGTTTCTTGTGATGCTGGCTCTGGCCTAGAAACATCATCAATAACTGTTTCTTGTACTGGTTTAGATTCCTCAACAAGAACACCTCCTTCACTCGTTTCTTGAACAAGATTAGATTGCTCAGCAATAACATCGTCAATACTGGTTTCCTGGACAGGTTTCCCTTCCTGAACATCGTCAACACTGGTTTCCTGAACGGGTTTCCCTTCCTGAACGTCGTCAATACTGGTTTCCTGAACGGGTTTCCCTTCCTGAACATCGTCAACACTGGTTTCCTGAACAGTTTTCGTTTCCTTCACATCGTCAATACTGGTTTCCTGAACGGGTTTCCCTTCCTGAACATCGTCAACACTGGTTTTCTGAACAGGTTTCATTTCCTTCACATCGCCAATACTGGTTTCTTGGACAGGAACATCACTGAGGACACTTTCTTGTACAAACTCAGGAACATCAACTGTAGACAATTCCGCGGCAGGAGACTCATGGACATCTGCCAAAGATTCCAAGTCTTCTTTCGGTTCCGACGAAGTTGAATGTATTCTATCACCTTCACCTGAAGCTAGTTCTTCGGCACCAGTTTTCAGGTTTGTCTCATCAACAGTAGTTTCTGTATATTGCGGTGTGTAGTCTTGTGGCCGAGACATTTGTAAATTATCCCCACCCTGAATGAGTCTGTCTTCTCCAGGTGATGTCTCTCTGAACTCTGATGGTTCAGAAGGAACTGGAACATCTTCCTTTATCTCCTCTGCTTCGCAATCAGACAAAGAATGGGAAGATGACGAAAAGGACGACGAAGACAAACTGGAGGATCTCCTTTCTGCAGGCTCTGGTGGAGTAGCTTCCCTCGTTAGATCCTGCCGCAAACTTTCAACAACTTTGCCCATGTCGGGTTCTATGGTTTGGGGGTCAACACTCGAAGAATCATCCATTTGTAGAGATTTACGAGTTTCAATGTCTGATTGCAAAGTAGGAATTTCAGTATCTAAACTCCCAGCAACACACTGTTCAGTTTCAATATTAGATTTATTTATTTCTTCCTCTAAGAACTCAAACTGACTGTTGACAACATCCTCATCCAAGGGAGGAGGAGCCGTGAACTCTGACCCTTGGGTCACAGGCAAGACCTGTTGCTCTGAAGCCACATCCTGTTGCAAGTCGTCAGTGACCGCTTGTGGGCTTAAATCTTCCCCATACGGATGCACTGAAATTTGGGAGAAAGTGTCAAGATAAAATATCAGACAATGTACCAGTAAAATCATCCTCGTTTCCACTAGTTAGGTGGTCAAGCATAGCCAGATTGGCCCAAAGCATGCCCTGGTGCTGTGAGTAGATATAGCGGATGGTCACTAGCTCAGCGAATCACAAATAGAGCAGATGACGGAAGGCAAGCAATCTTGGGTGAGCAAAATAACCCAAGACGGCAAAAGACACTACCACATTTCCCCTGGATTAATATAGCAACAAACCGATGTCATAGATGAAAACTATGATGATGATGATGATAATGATGATGATGAGATATATTTTATCGGATTGTTAATAATTAATAAGTCGGCTATATAAATTTTGTAAGCTATGTAGCGAGTGCAGACACTACAGGACATAACTGATGTAGACGAAACGGTCAGAAAAAAGACACACACACTCATCGATCAATTCTATTTTCCCCTTCAAAACCCCTTTTTATGACTAACAGTTAGGTATTTAAGACTCACATTTTTATAATCATTTCGGAAATGTCCGATTCATTTAATGAACAAAAAAATAGATTCAGGGGCAATTCTTTTTTAATTTTACGTGAAAAGCATTGCTTGTTTGTTTATAAGTGACCAAAGCTTTCCTGTGAACACAGAGAAAATTTGTGTCTGAGCTATGTTGTATACATAAGTGTTGGTTTTTTAAAAGTGTAAATACATACCATGTCGGATCTCTCTAACACAACCCAGCTCTTCTGATTCACGTTGAATTTTCTCTCACAGGTCATAGGTCAAAGGACATTTGTCAATTTTGTTAGAAAATATGTTAAAATGCTCTTTTGCTATCGATCACTTCGGAAAAATATCTTCATGCTTTTTTGAAAGTGTGCCGTGTCATTTGAAATGCAACCGATTTCTGTTCTCAAAAATGAAACAACTGGCCCATATCACAAAATTTTGTAATAAGATTTTGAAAAGTTGACTTGTGAAAAATATACACCCAGTTGTTTGATTTTTGCATTTACACATGATTAACTGAAAAACTGCCATGTAGAACAAAAAAATCTACCCTAAAATAGTATGTAACTGTATGTATTTTCTCTAGGTGTGACTGATTGCGGTTTTGTATATACATTATTTCATCCTAATTTTACCTTTATGGTCACCTACGGATGCATATTTTATTCATAAATATGCCCGAAACAGAGGGAGGTTACTTCCCTTTGATCCCATTCACCATCTCAGTAAATATTGTCTTGCCTTCTTTGTTTCTGAATCACACAGGAACATTCCGGAACTCTTCACACTTTGGAGGGGGAGAACTAACATGGCCAAACTCATGCAAATATTACACTAAGCGTATAATATGTTATACTAGTATCAAGGTCTATGACTTAATAAAGCTATTATCTTTGACTAGCCACTATTCATGGGAGAAATGTAGGATTGGAAAAAGGGAGAGTACTCATGCATTTATATCCAATTTTTTTCCCAAAAATTTGGATGCAATTTTAGTATTTCTAGGTAAATAATTTCAAAATGCTGTCCTTTTTTTGTTGTTGAAAAACTTCAGCACTAATTCATATTTACACATGCTTGTGAACATATTTCTATTGTGGTGATATACTAGAACTCTCGTGATATTTCGTCCTTGTGTCGATGATTTAATGCGGACTTAGTTTGTATAGTGTGTCTACAAAGAGGCTATCGGGAACTAAACTACATCAACTTGCAAGCAAACAAACTGAAATTAAACACTATCATGAAAAAAAAATGAAAAAAAACAAAAAACTGTGCCACAACAGATTTAGGAAGTTTGAAGAAAAACAAAATGGAGAATTCTGCTTTTAATGTTTGGGTTTACCAAACAAGATAAACCTTAAAATTTGGAAATACTTTTCGGTAAATTATTATCGTTTCTTCGTTGTTGCGAGTAAATTCTGCTGTGCTGATGAATTATGAGTACGGGAGAAATAACCGCCGCTTACCAGATAAATTATATATACACATGCCAACAGCCAGGGTACGACACCGGTACAATGATAAATCATGCTAAAATTAGAAACAGTTTTTATGACATCATTCAACGATGAATCCTTTACCAAAAAATCTATAGGCAGGGATATGTTTTTAAAACCAGCTTTATATATAGATTTGGAAAAAAAAAAGAAAAAAAAAAGGAAAACAGGATAAGAGCAATCGGACCGGACACTAATTTGAAAATTCAACATCTACATGATCTAGAGAAAGCAAGCAAATCTAAAGATTTTCCTGGATTGTTTTTAAAACATTTTGTTTTTTCAAGAAAGTTGCAAGAGGAACTTTAAAAAGAAAATCCATGGAATCTATAAATAGGATTCCTAAGATTCTTTGTCAAGAGTTTAAATATTTTTAGAGAAATATTGTTTATAGGTAGAATGTTACAAAAATCTATGGGAAAAAGAAACCAGGAGATATTAAAATAAAAATATGCAGATAAAAAAAACAGAATTGTATAAAATAGAAAAAATATATATATATAAAATATGAAACAATAACTAATGTTTACTACTGAGATCTGTTATCTTGGGAGGGATAATTAAGAAAATAATTTGTGAAAATATTCACAACAAACACTAGTGCAATTGTGCAATATTAAACATAAGCTTGGCCATATCATTCTTCATAACACCAACTACAACATTACATATCTTCCCCTCAACCAATCAAAGTCTTTACTCATTTACTAAAAATTATGGTGTTGAATAACATCTGACTTTATTCTTACGAAGATGAAATCATTTTGCTAACCACATACAACAATTTTTTATGTCTATCTCTTTTCTTTTTTATAACCTTTTTCATCTAATTTTTTTTTAGAAAATATCTGATAAAATTTATTTGGTGTCATTTCTTTAAAAAGAAAAAAAAGAATTCTCTATTTAAACTGATTTTGTACATTTTAAATTTCAATGCTTTTAAAGTATTATAATATCCAATCTCATTTTCTTTTTTTCTTTTCAGTTTTGATATTTTACTTAACATTATTACGGTATCTAGATATAGTATCTCATTTTCATTCATTTTATTTCATTTTAATTCATTTTTCATATTTTTTCCTTTACATTTACATATTTCTTAATTTTATTTACACTCGTCATTCTGTTTCATTTCTGCAAATAAGATATAAGACTCTCGTCAACTTGTGTGACCCTCCTGCTGTGAGCATGTATATCGTACTCAAGGACATCATGTGCAACAAAACCTCTATAGATGAATGGCTCGAAGCAATCAATCATGCAGTGTCAGATATTTACTAAAGCATGGAAAAACAAGCATTTTACGGAAAAAAAGAAAATTTAGTCAATTTTTTTCTTCAAAAAACATTAATGGTCATTACCTTTCATCTTATTAGACATATTCCAAAGAAAGCTTTGAATTATTTTTAAAAACTTTTTTTACATTTTTTTTTCATCTAAGTTTGTACCAGGAGCCAAACATGAATTAAAAGTAATGTATGGACAAAGATTCCTTAATTTCTCGTGAAATTTCTCTCTTGATTCCATTTTGTTTTTCTGTTGCCTTGATTCTTGAAAATTCAAATTGTGGATACGTAACTGTCCCTCAAAATTCATCAGCATACTCAAATTGACGCACTCCCTCAAAGCTCTCATTGGACAAGAGATTGAGATTTTTACCGATCAACATTAAAAGCAGATCACCAAATGTTTCTCATGGGGCAGAAATGAATGAAAAAAAATAAAGAAAAACAAAAAGAGGAAAACAATGCAATGAATTTTGAAATTTGCTATATCCAATTTTATTGGAAACGGTTACCATGACAACAGTGCATTAAAAGCAGTAAGAGTAGTTTATGACAGAAACAAATTGAGATCAGGTTTCAAAATAGATGCGAAACCCAGCTACTTAATCGAACAAGTTATCGTCAATACACATATTAAATATTAGCTCTAACCATATGGGATAAATGTAGATAAAAATTTCAAATGTTAAAATCTAATTTTTGTCGCAATTTTAAATACATGCAAGTATTGATCACCTGTTTATATATTAATTCTGGTTAATCGTACAAACTTGTTAAATATTTCTAAACCTTTCCTTTACGTAAGTAAATTATACTTGTATAAACATAATGTAGCTGATATATGGGATCCTTTGCAGGTATTGCAATATATATATATATAGATGAGAATTCAAATTATCTAGGTCAAAGGTCATAACAAAACCAGAAGGAGGCTTGGTACTGTTTGACTGATGTGGGTTCCAAATGAAGCACAAACATGTTGATATATATACATAATTTACACCATAGCAATGCTAAGCTTTTAATTCAGTTAAATCATCAATTATTTTTTAAATAATTTCATAGATTTTGGATTCAACTGAGCGTTGAGATTTGTAAGATTAATTTTTTTTTTTTTTTTTTCAAATTTTCTTTTTTTCTCTCTTAATTTTTACTTTAAAGATATCAAATATAAGGAATTACATATTTCAGCCTAGAACTTGCTGTAGTGTAAAAATGTACATTACCACTTCAATCCAACAGCAAAGGGGTTGAACACAAACACTGCAAATTGTGGATGGTTGAAAGGAAATCTCATTCCAAAAATGTTTTTGCATTCCATTTCAATTTCAAGTAAAATGGTCTTTCCACTGAACTTGAGGATGCACTTCCTTTGATATTTGAAATCACCATCTCTTTTGCAATAAGAGAAATAATTTCTGAAATTCTTCACTCCTCACCGTTTTTTTAGCACTTAGATATGAATGAACATGGGAAAAGGCTGTTTGCATAACAAATGAAATTTCATTTATCAATTTATTCTCTCCCCCCCCCCCTTTTTAATAGTCCAAGAGAATTCAACGAAGAATTTCAGAAATACAAAAATCTGATCAAGCAGCCTTCTAGATTTGCTACATGTTACAATACCTGCAAAGAAATCTATCAAAGTTTAATTCAGAATTGAAGCCATTTTCTGAGGTATCTAGCCAACTAATAAAGTCCACTGTTAATAAGAATTTTGATAAAAAATACTTGTTATGGAAAAATAGAAATTTCCAAAACATCTAAATAAGCTGCCAAGATTATGCCAGATAGAATAGTTAGATTTGCAAGAGTTGTCTACCCTTGGAATATTTTTGCCATGAAATTTATAACATTTTTATTCAATTTTTTTTTGCTGCGAAAATATATATTTAGAAATCATCAAAGAGTTAGTTTATCGGATAAGCATCATCTCACTAATAATATTACTGATCCCAATGAACAATACAAAAATCTAAAAACCCTAAAAAATTTCAAACGTCAAAGATTCAATGGATAACATTTAACACCACAGCTAAGACATTCAACAATGAGCGAGATATATATATATACATATAAGTATTAATCATGATTAAACCCTGAACCAGTAAGCTTACTATGTTATATAACTCCATCAGTTTAGTAATGGTAAAAAATAAAAACCATGACTTTTTTTTTCTACTACATGGCAAATCTAGGCATTAAACTCATTTGGTTACACAGTATATAACACATAATTACACAATGCTTTTAAAAAAACATTGTCAAATATTATTTATCAAAATGGAAAATAAGAAAACTATTGCAAGTTACAAAAGTTGTCAGGTACTATCCAAGTTCTGCTAAGGAGAACCTTATTTTATGGCGAACTTGACATGCGTTTGAGCTCATAAAATGTGTCCGAGAACCATGCACAGGGATACACATGAATATTATTATGCCATTTTTATATTACTTTGTCACCTTAACGCATGTCCACTGTGTGGTCGAAATGTATATATAGCACATTTACGTACTGAACGTCGGCTAACGTGGAACCTGCCTTACTTTTCACTGTCGCTCCTATATATCATATCTGCCAATTTCTCATCCACCATGCTTAATTGGGCACTGTTGCTAGCATTGAAAATGATGACCCTCTAAAACTAAATGTTTTTTTCTGTCCTGTCATGGAATATTACACTAATAAACCCGAGTACAATTCATGTTAACTGATTTTGTGAGGTGCTAACACAAATTTCATCTTCTGAACCATTGCTGTGAATTAAGGCTAAGACTTGCCATAATGGTTTTATGTATAAACCAGCCATTCATTAATTTGACACGCCACATGGAGGTATTCTGCTCTGTAAGATGGCAGCCATTTTGTTTTAAAATATTCTATGACTTTGGAAAATTACATCAAGCTCATGATGGGATTTTCTATGCCCGTAAGTTATCAGAAATACAGATTTTCTGGGAATAAATTTATCTAGATCTAGAGAATCATTCATTCCTTCATATATACCTGTTTGACACAACGAAATATTGCGAAAAATTCTGGATAACAACCCAGTTGATGAATGTGCAAAAACAGCAGAAGGAATTTCAATCATCAAATTGCAAATTAGGTTTTCCTCACAAACAAAAAACAAAAATTGAATATGAACATGTATTGTTTTACAACTTCAGTGATAAAATATGGTTAACAAAATTAATGACCCTGTGATTTGTGATAAGTTGAAGCTACTGGCCGTGTTTTTTTCATTTTTCCCCCTTGTTAGTCCCTGAGGTTTGTTGCAGTAACAACAACACTGTTGCTATGGTGATACCATCACTCAATATTTGGTAACTATGGAATGAAAATGCTGCCATATGCTTTGTGCTGTAAGGGTGTGCAAAACAGTTCTCGATTTTTTCTGTAAATTAAAGCTAGCAACAGCACAAAAACATGTGGTATTTTAAAATTCTTTTTCCTGTTAAATATTTTATACTTCTTTCCTCTGATTAATGAATGCTATACAGAAATAAGCTTGGCAGGTTCCATGACACATAAAACAAACTGACATAGGATGTGCCCCCTTATTGGGCCTCGACAATGACAAACAAACATGGAGCCTAGTCTACACACCAGTTTCCTCTGGTTGGGAAGCCTCGTCCCTCGGGGGCTCACCGAAGGATAAACTTTGAGCTAAGGCCTCGATTGCTTCAGAATCTGGTGCAACTTGCTCTGTAAGTACACAAGAGAGAAAGAAAACGAAAATTTAGTAAAACGGAAAACATTTTATGATATTTTGATTTTTCAATCATTATGATCATAAGATTAATGACTGTTTCTCTGAAAGCAGTTGGTTAATTTAACTCATTCACCCCTGAATTTTCATAATGAACTATTCCAACCTTTGAATTGGAAGAGTTCAAATGTGTGTTCAGGGGTAAATGAGTTAAAGGCAAGCTCAGAATCAACAAATTGTACAAATCTACAACATAAATTCTTTAGGCCATAAATACATTAATTATCCAGTTACTACGGTTTAGAATTGAATTTTCTGATTTATTCTAGAACATCATGAATTTTTTCAGGATAGTGTACACATTTTAAGAATCAAGAAACACAAGTGCAGTATGGTATGGAAAAAATTTGGGCATAATACAGAAAATTATTTATAGTTATACTATTGGAGGTTGGACTGAATGCTTTTGTAAATTATCAAGTTAATCACTATCTTTTTTAAAAAACATTTTTTTAGAACAATACATTAATTAAGACGAAAGATTTTAGAAAATGGATTAAAACAATGTGCTGATATAGAAGACATCAACCGAAGAAGACAAAGAGAAAAAAATATCACACAATTCCGTGAGGCAAGGAATACTTACATTTCTAACTGGACATTTGTATATTATTGTAATACATTTAAGTTTTGATTTCATTTAAATTATAGCAAAATAAAGCAACATCTCATGTTTATCTGGGGAAGAACAGGAGTGGGGCATGATCATGAGGGGTCAAATGGAAATATACTCAAATGAAACAAGGTATACTATTTGCAAATTTATATCGTGTGTGTTTAATTAATAATTTCTATATTTTCAGTCGTATTCAGATATAATTTCGTAAATGTATATATATCTATCCGAATATGGAATCATATCATAATACTGTCATTTTGATTGATGTATGTTTTGACTTTATTCATTACATTTCAATAAATATATTTTATGACATTTAACATACTTGTCAACTATCTAAAATGTCCATGGGAGATATAACGCAGGCTCAGAATTAAAAACATAAATAAAAGGTTTGTATATATACCAAAAGGAAAAAATAACACTTTCAAATGGCATCTTTTATATATGATCATCAGATTTTAGAAAATAGAAATAGTTTAGGAAATTCACTGGTTGAATATGATCAATAATTTAGGGTACAAAATAGGGAGTCTAGCTCCCTCCGAAAAAAGGAGAGTTGGCATTTATGATGATATTGTAGGCAGAAAATGGGCCATGGGGACAGAGAAAGGGGGACTTCAAAAATTTCAGCATCTTAATTACACGTAAACATAGTTCCAATGTATCAAGTCAATCTTATACAGCTCAATCAACTACATGTTTCAATAAGGTATCTCATCACAACAACGAAAGACAAGCAAAATCGAATTTCTTCATCACAAATCATGCAGATAATTTTGTACATGAAACATAACATACAGGCTAAATACATTTTATAATATGGTTACATTTAGTGTAATTACAACAGCTATAAGTATTATAGAAAAGGTTACAGAAAGTATAAGATAACAGTATACTTGGAATATTTCGCCCAGTCAAATATTCACCTTTTAATCATTAAAATCATGTTTACACAGCTTTGATTTAGCCCTTCACATACAGTTATAGACTGGCCACCGTCTCTAGAATATTAAATAATTAAGAAAAAAAATTAACTCTAATAATTATGATCACTTGGATGTCTGATCCTAACTAGGGGGAGATAAGCTAGTAGTAAAATGCAGTCGAGATATTCTTGATAAAAACTTAGGGGCTGGTGGCCAGTCTAATACAATTACTGTATATTATATGCTGTGCACCAATATTTGTTGTCAAGATAAATTTTCCCTCATTGCTGAGAGTCAAAAAGGTGAAGGTTAAACTCATGCTAAACACTCCCAGTATACAGAGTATATATAAATACATATATTGAGTATATAAATGGTAAAATTGACCAGTTCATTGCCTCTTTTGACAATGCTGAAAAGTTCGGCCAAAATATTGCGGAAAAGATTTTTCCTCAAAAGTGCCATTGACAATGTCACAAGTGCTGTACAACACGGCGTGGAGATCGGTCCCCGTTACACAAAGCTGTGCTATTTTTAGTACCTTCCATAACCACGGTTTGCTCCGTCGTACCAGACGGCGTAATGGTGGTTATTTTTTTGACAGTTTTCCACGTTTTACCATTGTCATCAGACTCTTGGAAAATTTCCTCAATCTCCTCCGTGTATATTTCCTCGTACTCATCTGCAGTTTCCGCGAGATTAGTAAGCACAGAACTCTCGCCTGTGGAGGTGTGATTAGCAGCAAGTGAAAGGACAAGAAGAATTGTCAGGCAACAAAGCATTTCTTGATGTCAAGGTTTAAATTTATATCCTACTTCTAGGAAAGAAAAATTGTACTACACAAATTTAGCTACGGAAATAGCATAATTTTAAAGTAAGTTTCAACAATGACCTTTTTGTTATAAATTATGCTTCAAATTTGGCCAGAGAAAATGAAATCAACAAAAAAATTGTATTTTTTTTCTTGTTGAACCATAATTATCATGTTGAAGACTTTGTAATGGCTACCCTTCTGAAAAACACATTTTTAACTCGGAGGATCTTTGCTCATACCAAATTCAGTGTCGGTGATAGGTTGGGTTTCTGAACATAACAAGTACATTATGGTACAAAGTATATAAGGACAGAAAGCACCTGATGAAAACAGTTAACACGGTTCCTAGTCCAGCATTTGCGTATCTACACTTCTCTAAGAGAACTGACAAGATACAGTATCGTGCAGCAAGTCCTAACTCTACTTATCAAATCCAGACAAAATCTACATCATGCACTTGTTCCCAACAACTCCCATCAAACTTTTAATCGAGCCGAAACACTTGTGTTTACATAAATTCTGGGTAAATTTGCAAACTTCTTTGTGGACTATAATGAGCTTAAAATCTTTGTCTGAATTACAGTCTGACATTTATCTATAATATTTTCTGTCAAAATCTACCTTTTCTCTCGCACAAAAGAATTAGAAGAAATTCACAAATGAGTTATACTGGAATTAAAACCACAACTCTTTACTTTCTTATCAGTTACGGACATCAGGTTTTAAAGTAGAGATAACCATTTCATAGTATGTTCGACGAAGGGAGACAACTCTATTGAACTTAATAGCATTTTGGTGGACTTGATAAATAGAAAAAAAGTTTGCCATCTTAGTGAGTTCGGCTGGGTTTGGGCTAATGGACATATGGTTCCTTAGAGTGTTTGTTTAAGCAATGCATTATACATGTCGATAAATCATTGGGAAAATTATGAAAGATTCGTTAAGAGAGATTGATATTAGAAAAGCGTCTTTACCGGAGGTCTATATGATAGAAGTATTAGTACACATCAGATGTACGACGTATATAATTCAGAGACATATTTTATGCAAACATCTGAAAAGACGGACACACTTCAGAGAAACACACAGAGTAGCAACGAAATTAGACAAGCATTGTTGATTAGCATAGAGAACTTCACAGCACACCAACTTAATATACAGATCGTCAAACAGAACGCAAGTCAGCGATGCACAGACTAGCCCCGCACAGGAGCATAGGACACACAGACAGACTCCTGTACACCAGTGAGAGAGTTATACAGGACTAGGTGAGTATACATATTCGACTATGTGCCAGTTTCTACCTGAGAGGAAACTTTTCTCCACGGGACTCGGGGGTGGAGTCCTTGTTCCCTCCTGGTCCTCGGTGTCTGTAAGATCCCAAAGGTAGTGTCACGTTTTATTTCCCCAATTAATATATTCCTCAGATATTGCCAAAGTTACTACCCAAACTTTTCCTTTATCAGTTATGCCTGTTTCCACCAACAGAATCCAAAATTGCTCTCAAATCCAAAACAACACCCATATTATCCAAAACGCTGCACAAAAGTACCTCTGGTTTGTGTTTAAAACCATATACAAAACAATGTAACATAACATTCTTTATTAATTTTCTTCCATGGTGCTATTAATAATTTAATTTATTCTAAAGATTAGACAAAAGAACATCCACCTTGATTCATGAATTGTAGGCAATATTTATCGAAATTGAAAATCAATTCTATGTCAAATAATTTGATTATCTACGCCTGAATTAGAAAATATCAATTAAAAACATGATTATCTACATCTGAAAAAGAAGTAATGAACACATGGATTGTCTCCCCTGAATGCTACAACCATACTTCCCCCACATGTACCCTACTCAAACAACACACAACTAATATCATAAATCAGACAACACCAACAAGCAACAAATATTATTTCCAGAAGAAAAAAATCAGATTTTCTTAACTTATTATTCTAACATCATTACTTCAAAACAAAAGACACACTAACACAAGAAATACTGACAACATTAAACAGAAATCAGAGACCTCTGGTAAGTTAGAGATGATAAAGAAATAAGGAAAAACCAGGATTGATGAAAAAGACAATATAAAACAAACACACCACACCTGTGCACATCTGCGACATCTACAGGGGAACCAGAGAAATAGAAACGTGTGCAAACATCCTCCATGATGAAGGGGGTGACAGTTGTAAGGCAAATGTATTACAGAGTTTTTATATTGAGAGGTTCTATTATATACAGGGATTCCATTTTAGAGAGGGGTCAGTATATACAGGGAATCCTCTGGAGAGGTGACATTGTACAAAGGAAATCCTCTATAGAGAGGTGTCATTGTAAAAAGGGGGAATCTTCTATAGACAAGTGTTTATATACAGGAATCCTCTGAAGAGAGGTGACATTATATAAAGGGTTACTATATCCTCTGAGGAAAGTTGACATTGTACAAAGGAAATTCTCCATAGCTAGATGCCATTGTATCTGATGGAATCCTCCATAGACAGGTGTCATTATACACAGGGAATCCCCTGGAGAGAGGTGACATTTAACTCAGAAAATTCTGTATAATGAGGTGTCATAATACAGAGGGGACCCTTTAGAAATGTGTCATTGTACACTTAATTCTTTATAGAGGTGTCATTATGCAAAGTGAAATCATGTTATTAACGGTGTTTTAATAGTTACTTTTACACACAAAATTGTGTAAATTTGAATAGAAAATTTTAATTAAAAATTTCAATATGTTAATAATAAAATTACGACACAAAAGAAAGTAAATTTTTCATGGCTTTTCCATCCAAGTGTATACGTATTTGGTTTTACATTTACATTCTTGCACTTTGTGTACATTTTGAAATTTTATACAGGATTATTTTTCATGTTATATATCAATTTAAATTTTTTGGAATAACATTTTAACTGTTAAATTCCAGCAAGTCATATAATTTTATGTTAGAAGCGTGCACATATATGTTGCATTGAATGTTAAGTTACCTGCAGGTATTTGGTTATTTATAATTTTGAGTTTACAACTAGGAAACATATTATGTCTTAAATAGGTATACATGTACTTATGAGCATTATATTGCTTAAAATTGTTTATAATTACTACAGTAGTAATTAATAAAAATATGAAGTTATATATTTTGTTTGGAGTATTAAATGGTAAATTTCAATCATGCCTGTTAGTATTGGTTGACCTTTAACATGGTGTTGATTACATGCAAGAATAAAAAAAAAAACTATTATGGGATGTGTTAAAAAAAAATCCACAGATTACACCACGATACCAAGGTTACAACGATAACTCGACGGAGCCGTGCTTCAATACCTTGGCTTTGTGCAGCCATTTGCTGTGGAGCACTTTGCTGACCAACTTCCTCCAGTTTAGAAAATAATTCGTAGGCAGCGACATCACGATCGTGACGATTTTGTGTGAGCTCATCCTCCTGGATAGATTGCCTATCATCCGTATCTGAAGTGTGCCGAGGTCACATGATATCAAACTAATGTCACATGATTTCAAACAGAAAGTCACATTGTATCAAACTAAAGGTCACATGAATACAAACTTAAAGTCATGAACTGAAAATCACATGATGTCAAAAACAAAAAACAAAAGACATTCTGAAACAAGGGAGATAATTAAGGGTCACATATTTCTGCTTCTGCTGGAAAAAAAAGGCATTTTAGACATTACCAATCATTAAGAGACAGAGAAGCTCTACTGCCTACAATAGCTGGAAAAATATTTCCATTTATTTCAAGCACAAGCATAAAAATAGTCACTTATGGCTAAGAAGTGTAACACAGAAATTTATCACAGTAAGTAATCAGGCCAAATTAAATGAAACTTCTGTTTCTTGTGACCCTGTCAACAATAAAGAAATATGTTCTCAGTTGTACTGATTGTTTATGCAAATCCTTTAGAAAATAAATACTTCAGAACAACAATACTGATTTTTAAGCATATTCCTTTGAAACAGGATATTTGGCCTGAAGTTTCATTACTGATCAAGTTGGTACAGATTTTCTATCCATGCATTCTGAAGTATGCATGATACTTTTGACATTAAAATTTCAACATTAAAAATAACATTTTTTTATCAATAAACATTCTAATTGATACTTAGCTTAACATGCATTAAATTCAGAATAATATTGTGAGGAAGTAGATTGTATTTTATTTATGTTAGTATATGTGTTAGTTTTGTGTTCTAATTTAGAAGCGTGCTGTGTAGTTTTCTAGAAAATGAGGAAAAAGCAATGAAGGAGGAAATTTCATTCCTCAGTATTTATGTAATGGTTAGTAAATGAAAATTAAAAAGGTTTAACATTTGTTTTTTGAATTACTTAAAGATCCTTTACCCACTGCACTGTGGTTTTGCATATAACAGTAACCTCCCTTTAATTTCATTGTGGATACATTTGTAGCACAGTTGGTCCAGGATATTTCCATTGACTAGGTAGGTAGCTCAGTTGGTAAGAGCGATAGTATAACAATCTAAAGTCAAGGGTTTGAATCCCGGTCCGGCCACTTTTTACACCCAGAACCCTTTTGTTGATTATATTTTGCTTATTTCATCTTTATTATTTTTCATAAAAGTCTCTCAAGGTATGGTTTTCTTTTCAGAAATTATTTATCAAAGGTAAAGTTGTGCTTGAAAAAACCCAGTAGTTACAGTTTTTGGCAGTGGTACAGGGATCCTTAATGGCGATACATAAGCTATCTCCATGGCGATTAAAGTCATACTTTTCACTGAACACATTTTTATGATCATATAACAGGTTCTAACTTAAATTTTGGATATTGACTATTGTTAAAAAAGAAATTGACAAATTTATTTGAAATAAATATTGAGTCTCCTCCTGTTTTTTTCATAAATTTATGCAGGACACAAAAAATAAAACAAATAAAAATTACACAAAAGGTAAAATAAAAAGGAAATAAATAAGAATAGGAAACAGTCACCTAATATATAAAGTAATTTTTTCTTTGTTACCCAAAATTTGGAAAACATCAGTTTTGTTAATTTTACTTCAGACAATTTCCTGTTTTTAGTTTTTATATTAAAGTGTGTATTAGAATATAATTAAGTTATAAATTGTAAGTAATATACACCAAGATCTTTACTCTGTTAATCACACTGACAAAGAAACTTCACCTAAATAAAGTTATCGATTTGAGTACAATTATCACAGTATGTCAAAGAATAGAAGCCAAGCCAGTAATTACGAGAACATCTTTAGTTAGTGGCGTGAGAATTTCCAGGATTTTGTGACGATTTTCAGCCAATGAGTTTTGTTAGAACACAAAGTATACAAGCCATATGATCCCAGTTAGTGATGTGAATTTTGGACGAATTTGTCGTCGTTATAAATCCCCTGGTGTTAACATGCAACGAGAGACATGCTGGATAAAAGGTGCTGAGCCGACGTTATACCTTGTTGCTTTGTCTGCTTTCTGTCTTTCACTTCAGCATATTTATCCAATTGTGAAATCAAATCGATGAAGTCTTCCTGGTTGCTTTCATGTTTGACTTCCTCTTTGGCGACCCCCCTTCGGGAGTCGACCTCCATAACAATTTGATCGTCGTCACCCTGTTCGGTATCTACACCGACAAAAAACGGTCACCACATGTCAGACATAGCCTCTTTTTCGTAATAAAAGCCCCCAGATACGGTACTTAAACTCTTCGATATAATAGATAAAAGATTCCTGAATAAGAATGTCTTCCGAATAATATCATGAGTATCAGGCAGAACATGAATCGGTTCACTTTATTTTCACATAAATTTAAATCAAACTGTAAGATTTTGGCTTCTTTAGAAAAATTGCCCTTGAGATTTTCTTATATATTTGAATTTTCAAAAATATTTCAGTTCACTCCCTCAATGGTTATTTACATATATACTTTATTGCAAGTATCTTTTTTAAATTTTCAAATTTCAACCCTGTGTTGAACTTGTTATTTTCTTAATTTACTCTCAAGGGCCAAAAATGTGAAAATAAAATGGGAGTGAATATTTCCAGATATATAGTGAGCTTTAAGCAAATTCTATTTCTGAAATGAAATATTGCTAGTACTACAGAGCACCAAGTACACACAGATTTCTACCTATTCAGAAAGCATGACATCCTTTGCTTTTCAAACTCATAAGCAAGTGAAATGGTTGTATATTGTATACAGATATTCAGTAATTTTTATGAAAATGATCTTCTTCTGTCTTAATTGTGTGGGGGGGGGGTTTCACTTAAAGATTTTTTTTTATTATTATTTCATACCTTTTTTTTGTTTCAATTCATTCACCCCTTAAATTTCAGAATGAACTATTCCAACCTTTGAATTGGAAGAGTTAAAATGTGTCTTCCGGGGTGAAAGACTTTTTTCTTTTATTTTTTTTATTAAACATTGAACTTTATATGAAGGTTGTTTTATAGAACTATGGAAAATGAGGATGAAACAAGAATACATAAGGATGAATGGGAATAAATGAAGCTGGGATGAATATGAAATGAAGATGAATCAATGACACAAGAACAAATGGGATTTTAACACACAAGATAAAACACTAGCACAAACGTTTTAGCAGATGTGATCAAATCACTCATGATTTTAAGAGTAAATTCAATGGTCTTATTTCAGAATCAAGTTATTCAGCCGACTAGAAAAAAATATTTGCTTAGGAAACATTATTTGTGCAGATATCTAAATCTAGCAAGTTAATCGTATGGGTATTATTCCTTTGAAACAAGCCTACATGACTAGCACATATGTCTGGTACTTGTGTCACACATGAGTTCCTGTAACACACTAACACTATTTTACACACATGTTGTTTTTATACACACCTTCCTCGCGTGCCTGTGGTGCCGACCTCTCCTCAACTGAACCAACGTCACTTCCTGATTCTTCTGCTACAGATTCTGATTCCTATAAGAATACGTAAATTTGGACCAAATTAGCATTTGAGGTATGATATCCAATCACATAGCTTGTAATATAACTGATAGCCAATCACAAGGCTCGTAATATAACCGTTCCCCCACCAGGTTCAAAACAATGGCAGATCACAACATCAGCGGAGTTGACAGTTTCACTAAGCTTAAGTTTTACAGCAGCTACTTATAATGAGCTGAAACCAAGTCTGAAGCTATATTAATTACACTTGTAGTATTTATTGAAAATTCAGAACCTTTTTTTATACTGGAAAAATATTCATAAGGCTTAATATGCGTCAAAAAGTGAAATATTACAGAAATATATAAGGAAGAAATTGTAATTTTTCATTTTTTTTTTTAAATATTTGGAAATATGAGTACTCTTGTGTATATGTTGAGTCCGATCAATTTTAAGCTTAGAACAATTTTCAGTTTTAACAATTTTGAAAATATTGCACATTCACACATTAATTTTACCATAATGGATTTAAGGCAGATACAATAAACACATGTGAAACACAAGTTTTATAGATTTGTCTGGGTCTAGTTTATAAAGGATAAGCTGCAGTTAAAAAAATCATATTTTGTTATCGTATTTCACCAATAGCTGTTGATTTCCCTATTTCATAAAAACATATGTTCTTAGACCATCTATCTAGCTAGAAGTAAGAACATGCTTGTTCCGATTTATATATAGAAAGAAAGCACCAATATTTTATTTCTAGCCAGCTAATTCCAAAATGCAAAATACAAAATAAAAGATGAAAATACAAAGACTATATCCGAAGAAATTCATTACTGAAAAGACATGAACCGGTTTATATAATATATTTGAACAGTACAAAACCTTAATAATATTTTGTATACCAGTATCACCTTCATTTCTGTTTTTTGACTTTCATCTTTCACAGGGCAGAGAGTCATATCCCAGACTTCATTTAATGTAACAGTAGTTATATATATATAGATAACACATGAGATTTCGATCTTTTGAGTATTTTGAAAAATATTTCTGAATTCAGAAAAGTAAAAAAAAACACTGCAGAAGTGCAGCCTCTTAAAAGCTTTGTTATGATTTTATGGACTGATTCAAAAATACTGAAAGATTGAAGCAATTGATACTTAAATTGTTCATATCCATGAAATGGGAATAACGAGGAATGGGGGATACATGCCAAAAAAAGGGTCCACTGCAAACAAAAATATGGAAACAAACACCTTATCAAGCTATCACATACATCTACATTATTATTCAAATATGATACATATTACTGTTGATTTATTTTAAAATGTTTTCAAGCATGATTTCTCTCAGGTATTAATTTGATAGATATTTGTTTCAGCGATAAACTACCATAGGTCTCATAGGAAACTTACAAAATTATAAATCTGTCCAGAACTTAAAACCAAAATAATGTGTTAACACATTCATCCCTACATTTTTAAAATGGACTCGCCCAGTCTTTGGTTTGGCAAGGTTCTAATGTGACTTTAGGGATGAATGGGTTAAGTGAAAATGTTTGAGATCAGAAATCATAAGATTTAGTTAACAAATAACTCTATTCACACTTACACATATTCAAATATTGCTATATTTTTTCTACTCTATCTTACAAAGTGCTTCTACAAAACAAACATATATATATTAAAACCTCATTATACTGCCTTCCGTTTGTCCTGATACATTTTGGCGTTATACAGGGGTTTGACAATCCTTCAAGTGAGACATACAATTTGTTCAGAGAAAATAAATCCCACAGGATTTTGAAATATATTGGCAGTAAAGGAGGTGGCAAATTAAAGAAGGGCATTATATTGAGGTTTTACTTTAGAAGTGAAAACAGACTTTCCTGACACCAGATTTTGAGGACATCTGCTATATCCTATATGACGGTCAAATCTTGTTGATCTGTCTTTATTTAACACTTGAGTTTCGGACACAGTGTCAATGACCCAGTCCATCCTGATGTCAGTAAAGTCAGATTTCATTGTACAATTTTTATGAGAATTCATTGATCTTGAAATTTTCGGGAGAAACCCCTTTGGGTCTGTCTTGATTGCTAAATACAAAAACTCACCTCACATAAAATTTTATCATTTGAAAGTTACTTTATTAAATTCCCACATATTTAAAACTTTACATATATATTACTGATCCACTTAAAAGATAAATGTGATTGAAGTTTTAGTGGCTTAACAAATTATTACATTCACACAAAAATCTTGTATTAAAATTTGTTTTAAATGGTTAACAGTGCTTTAAGCTTTAATTAAAAGGTAGACAACTCTGGTGCCGAGTGCAAGATGGTGGAAACCAAAGAAAAACTTGCAATGTAATAATTTTAACGCAATAATGTTACACAGAAACACTGTTGTTATGAGTTATTAAATGATGTTGAGTGATATTTTCATTCGATAACGATATAAATCTATGACAGTGATAACAATCAAGAAGACTTAAATCTTTTCTTTGATTTCCTTGAGCACCAGTGGGTAAGGACTGCACACCTAGTTAGAAAGTTACTGCAAATGTTTTCCGATCCTGGCAGCATTTGGATTTTATGTGTACAAGCCTAGGGGAGACATAGTTCCTGGGATTTTGTAGTGAAGATACAACAAGTGATTTTTGCGTAAAAAAAAATTCAAACAGGAAGTCTTTTCAAGATGTCAGGTGTGAAGACACAAAAAATGCGTTACGTTATATAAAATTAGGAGTTAGGACTAAATTATATCTTAATGCCTACATGACTATGTTTAAAGTTAAATATTGGGAAAAATTAATCTATTACAATATTTATACCATTTTTTTTCTTCTGTAAAAATTAAGTCGTAAATATGATATTGGTGGAAATTCACACGTGTTCAGTCACAAGGTTTCAACGTCTGCAGAATAACTTCTTTATAACAAATGCTGAAACTCTGTCCTCAAAGAATTTTTGTTTAATTCTAATAAATTTTGAACAACCATTATGAACTGAGGAAGTTTAGTTAGAAAATGAGTTCAGGTAATCTGGGGGTATCAATTTCTACATTTAATATTCAAAAGCGGGATAATGGATTTCTTAATTCAACATTCAAAAATAAATTTCTTTCATGAATAATGATTTTGATATATTCCTTATTCAAGTTATTGTCTGATTTTTTCACCAAATCAAATAGTCATACTTAAGTGGATCCGAGTTATTTTTCTATTTTTCAAGGTTAAAGCCAATTTGAGTTAATGAAGTTCCTCTGCAGTTTTATAACGAATTTGTAGGTCACATAAATAGGTCTGGTTACATGCTAGGGGAATACGGGTACAGCAGCACTACAACTAGGTCAACTTGACCTAGTTCTCACCTGGTGAGGCTCAAGGTCATGAAGTAACTGGAATCCACATGCAAATGGAGAAATTTTAAATGAGGAAAAAAAAATTAAAAAAAATAAACATGCAAATTATTACTACAGCAAATCAAAATTTCTTCAATAATTTGGATTTTGGTCAAAGGAGGTTGAAGCCCGGCAGTAAACGTAAAAGGATCTCGGGAAATGTCCAAATAAAAATAATTTATTCATGCATTCACAACCAGTGGAATAAATGTGCCAAGGTTGATTAAAAATTGGAAGCACATTTTTTAAAAGCAGTGTTTCCTAAGAAATGAGCTATTCCATCTTTTCGTATTGCAGAGTTATCTTATCTTGTGAGCAGGTATTGATTGTTACGTCATTTGTTTGTGAGAGTAACGTCATCAATTTTTGAGAAAGCGACGTAATTTTCTCACACGAACCAATGGTAACAATCAATACCTGCTCACAAGAGCAGATAACGCTGCAATATGCAAAGACAGAATAAGCTACAAATCAGTGATAATGGTTTAATAAAGACAAGCACAAACTTGACAATGCTTAAATTCCTTAATAACTGAAACAATTTCAACAACATGTAATATTAAAATAATAAAAATAAAAATAGAGTGTTGACTAAAACTTACATGCATGTAAGCTTTCTGTAACATATCATGGCACATATTGATTGTTTTTAATGAAGAATACAATTTTTTCCTGATTTTCTGAAAAAATGATAGAGATTAATAATAAACCAATTGTATTACTGTAGTAATTTTCTGGCAGAAACATTATTAAGCTATCCACCAATACATAATAACAAACAGTCCTGAAACCCATAAAATGTTTCCATACAAAACAATATAAAAACATTACCTTGATGATGTCTTGTTCATCATACTGGACATCCAAAGACATGCCTCGTTTCATGGAGGAATCTCTGGAAATACCAACTTCTTCCGTAAAAGTGTCAAAACCTGTTGAAAAATTAAATTATATACATTTTATAACAAGCACAATAATAATAAGAAAGTAAAACTACAATATTATTTTAACAAAACAAAGTGTATTTGAAATAATTCCAGAATTTATTTATTTATACATTTGTATTTCAACTTAAGGTATTTTTATTAGCCTAAAAGTTGTTTTTACGTTGTCTTTAACAAGTCATATCAGACACAAGTATGGTATAAAAGGCAGAGAAAATCCTGAAATCGGAGAGCAATATAGGCCATTTTCAGAAATTTTCAATCAATATAAAACAGTAGAGGAGTCATATATGTAAAATTGAAAAGAAAATGGAAAATAGGAGGGACCTATTTCAATTTTGATGGACCCAGGGCCCTTATTGCCCCCTCCTGGATTATTCAAGTACAATGTGAAACACTTGAGCTCAACTGTACTGCAAACTGTGAAAACAACAATCTATGTTGACAGATATTTACAAACAAATGTAACAATCTACACATCATTTGACTATACTGCATAGTTGTACATTGTTGAACATTGTAGCTTTGCCTAAAATGCCTGTGTGTCACCATTTCAACTGTGTGTACACATGTACAAAAACAAATTACAAGCACAACTTTTACCTGACATGCTTTGTTTTTCCTTACACACCAACTTTTTTTTGTAAAACTCTCTCTGATTGGTTACCATTTTCACTTCCTGAATCCAGATATCGGATTATGTGATTGGTTTGGAATAATCATCTCCACTGTTTGTAAGAACATTTTTTATTGGCTGATAGTTAATTAAGTGCATTGTTAAAACCAACCTGATTGGTCCATAGCTACCCTAGCTGCTGCTGCCTCTACTTCATCTTCTACTGTTTCCACATTGTACATACACTTTTTGACAACATCTTCTCTGTTTATCCTGGTTAAGGCTTTCTCTAACGCATTGCCTGAAATAAAAAAGAAATAACAAAAATTGTAGTTCAGAAATCAGAGCCTCACTAAACTTTGTAGCTATAGTTCTTTAACTCATTCACCCCTGAAGTCACATTTGAACTCTTCCCATTCAAAGATTAGAAAAGTTCATTATAGACTTTCAGGGGTGAATGAGTAAACAATTTTTTGGTTCCTCTTTTCTTTTTTTCTTCTTTTATTTTTCAATCCTTCAATCTATGGTACAGCATGTGTATCACAATTGAAAAGTTTTTGTATCAATAACCAAAAAGTTATACAAAAATGAATAAAGAAATTATTTTGTAAAATACCTTCTTTTTTTTTTCTTCAAACGTTTCATAAATTATTTTCTACACTAGAAATGATAAAAAAAAAGCATCATTGCAAATATCTGACAAAAAAAAAATCCTTCAAAAATAACCAACTTAAGTACTTAAGTTTCATCCGAACCAAAAATTAATACAGTGCTGCAGATTTTCAGTCTATAACCTGTAGATAAATATTATTCAATTATAGCCTTTAACCGAGGAACGCAGTTGAAGGCTAAAACAGTTCTATTATATTCAAAACAGTTATGTAAGCAATCCGAAAAAAAAAACCACAACAAAAAAGCTATGGAAGCGGGACGGTGTGTTTGTTTGGAGACACATCATAATTCTATTTTTAGAAACACCCAGTCCTTAAACGAAAATCATGCGCTTCAAGTCAATCGGTTTTTATCGGTGGACACATGATGCACTTCTTGCAAATTACTTGTTGCGAATAATATGAACAAATAATAATTGATTATAATATGAACTAGAAAATGTCTGTAAGACATGAATGGGCCCCCCACCCCCCGTCACCATGTGCAATTAGTTTCAGTGTTTAATGTTTGATGCAGCGGGACATGACGGACATGGGCAACACTATATGCGCTCTCAATTTTATGGCGGGAGGGCATACAAAGGTGTGACCTAATCAGCAGGCACTCCAACATCAAGCGAAAGATATGACGCATAAGGTATCCTGAGAACCTATTTCAAATCACCAAAATTGACACAGTTCGGTGAGTATATTACTGGTAGATAAATATCTGAGTAGGTACCTGTGGCTTGTTCTTTGTCCTTGGCAACCCAAAGCTGAAGCATGGCAAGAGCCTGGTCGTTAACAGTGTTGTAATCATTCTTGATCTGGTTTATCTCCCCTGATGTGAAGTCCAGTTGTTGGGCCAGGAAGACCCAGTCACCCTTAAGGGAGTCGGCGACATCGTTCAGTTTGATTTTAGCCCGGCTTACAGTGTCCTCTATCACTGTAAATTATTGGGAAAATTTTCATAAAAACATGATTTCAATAACACTTAATTTTCAAATGAATATTTTTCATACAAAGTTTTGACAATATCAGCAATTGTTCTGGATATCTATAAGCAATCATGGCAAAATATTCTCCAAATGAGATCCAAGGGAATATGCCAGACCCCAAGGCCAATCCTTGTAGCATATCTGTATTAGATTTTTCATGCCAAGCAATTTTATGTATGGTTATGGGGTGGGGATCTCAACTGTTTCCAAGCTGTGACTTAGATAGGTCCCTAGGGTTGTGGCTAGACCCCAGGATCAATTCTAATATCATGACTGCATTTGTCTCTTTTTGCCCAGCATTTGTATATATAGTTTTGGGGTGGGGATCTAAACCATTTCAAAGATATGATCCAAAGGTTAAGTCTCCAAGGGTGGGGCAGATCCCAAGGCCATCCTGGAAGCATATGTGCATTCATCTTTTTATACGCAGCAATTGTATATATGGTTATAGGGTGGGGATCTCAACTGTTTCCAAGTTGTTACTAAGAAACTAGGTCCCTAGGGGTTCGGTCAGACCCCAGGGTCTATTCTAATATCATGACTGCATTCGTCTCTTTATGCCCAGCATTTGTATATATAGTTTTGGGGTGGGGATCTCAACCGTTTTAAAGTTATGACCCAAGGACTATGTCTCCAAGGGTGGGGCCAGATCCTAGGGCCATCCTAGAAGCAAATGTGCATTCTTCTCTTTATACTCAGCAATTGTATATATGGTTATAGGGTGGGGAGCCCCACCATCTGTACAATTTTGAATCCCTGCCTCCAATGAATGTTTTTGATCAAATATGATTGATATCCAGTGTATAGTTCTACAGAAGAAGTTGTTTGTAGCAATTTAGCCAAATTGCCCCTATTTGGCCCCGCCCCTCAGCCCCCTGTGGGGTCAGCCCAACCATTTGTACAATTTTGAATCCCCACCACCTAGGGATGCTTCCAGTCAAATATGGTTGATATCCATCACTTGGTTCATGAGAAGTCGATAAAAGCAATATAGCCAAATTGCCCCCTTTTGGCCCCACCCCTCAGCCCCCTGGGGGGTCAGCCCAACAAATTGTACAATTTTGAATCCCCACCACCTAGGGATGCTTCGAGTCAAATTTAGTAAAATTCTAATCAGTGGTTAGGAAAAAGAAGTCGTTTAAAGGAATTGTTGACGCACGGACGACGGACGCCACGGTATGGCATAAGCTTACCTTGGTCCTTCGGACCAGGTGAGCTAATAAATACTTTACTCACCAATGCCATACTCCTTGAGCAGAGAGGAGCGTTTACGTAGCTCAAGGGCAGCGTCCCCGTCCATCTCCATGGAGCTAGATGTGGACATGTCGGGAAGGGAGATATTCAGGTTACAGATGGGGGTCTGTGGCACCTCTCCGCGAGCCACCTTAGGCTCCTTCATGAATGCCACACGTGCTGCCGGCTCTTGGTCAAGGTCACGGATTCTCACAGTACACGGGAGTCGGTTCTCTCGAAAAGCTTTGAAATCGACGTAGAGTTGGTCACCGGACTTGGTAATCGGGATGAGATTACCAGCCATCTCCACAAACTGTTGTCGGCCTTCTAACACCTATGGGCATAGATAATTTGATAATAAAATAATCTAGATCTCAAAGATATCCTTTTCAAATTTAATATCAAAATTTGAACTTGCAGTAAGTATTGGAGAAATTCAGATGATAAAAAGGATTTGCAAAATATAGCATTAAAAATCAATTTTGCTTACCTCTACGTCTCGACTCCGTGCTACTTCCACGAAATGCTCTTGTTTTTCAAGAGTCTTATCGATCTTGTCATCTGTCATGCAGAACATACGTAGCTTGCCTTCTTGTTCACCAGTGCGTTTGGCAAACACAACAAACCGTGCCATATAGGGTACCACCACTGCCTCTCGGTACAGCTCTGTGGCCATCCTCGTCGCATCGGAATAATTCTGGCAATCCATCAACCAGAATCTGTAAACAATAGCAACATCTTAAAGGAAATGAAGCTAAATGTAAAGTCTGACCAACGTCAGAGAAGAAGAAAATATATAGGTCACAGTGACCTTCATTTGATACATTGGTGTAGTTTTGTCTGAGGATGCATTATCCTCATATGAAGTTTGATGGCTATTTGACTTCCAGTAAGTCTTAAATTGCCGAGATGTCAACATATGGACGTACAGACAGAAAAGGCAAACACTTAACTCATTCGCCCCTACATATTTAAACTGGACTTGCCTATTGTTTGATTTGGTACGGTTCAAATGTGACTTAAATTTAGGGGTGAAAATGGGTTAATGACCCTCCATTATGTTGCAGGTGCATAAATACAAACTTGTTATAACTAGAACCGTCATCCGGAGGATAATTAATTTATCCCCCCCCCCCTTCCCTGCAGATGCTGGTAGTTTATACATCATTTAGTGACCTTGACCTTGGGGTCAACTTCTTACTGAAATTGGGACTCAATTCTGAAACCAAACTTTCAATAAAATCTGCCTATTAGTTAAGATGGAGTTTCCAGGACAAGTTACTGAGGACGACAGACATCATCCAGCCAGGGTGATTCCAGTATACGGCCCTCCTAACCTGTTGCAGGGGGTATAATTATTCACTGGATAAAGAGTGAAAGATCGGATCAATGTTCATGATGCGAGGAGCAACCAACCTTCCTGACACTCTAGTCGTGAAGGAGACACAGTCGTTGACAAGTTTGAGTTGCGTCTGATCAGTCAAGTCATCCCAAATGGCACTATCAGTTCCCTCTGTAACATAAACCAACACCATTGTATTTGTAAAGTCAAAGGAATTTTATATGACATAAATGTGCAACAAAACATATGAAGTGAAATATTATTGATCCGGACTGTCATTCTCATAATAAGTTATGGCTCGAAAACAAGCAGGCTCAGCTTAATATAAAACACCACATTTGGCTGCCCAGATATATAAAATACCGTGCTTATTTTGTCTGTTCATTCATGAAGAAACGGAAGTCATTCATTAATCCCATAAACATAAAGAAAACTTGTATCTCTTATCATTTTATGACATTAAATTTACTGTAGCCAATTTTCATGGAGAAAGCCAAAAATTATGGGATTTTATTTACATTCAGTTATTGAGCTGAAGAGATTCTTCACCAGTAATTAATAAAGAATTGCTGATGGAAACATTTTTAATGGAATCAAATGTGTCTAGACCAACAAGGTTAATTTTTATGAAAACAAGAAGACGCTGTCATCGATATCCCCCGCTCCCAATGCGAAATTCATTAAAAACATGAAGCTTAAAATATAGGTCAAAATCAGCATCCGCAATATGCATTCAGTAGAGAAACCCTATATAGACAATTGATGCTAGTATAATCAACATAGAACTTGTAGTAGGTAAGATATAGATGAGAGCAATTCCTCTCAAACTTACATGAGGATAAGCATCCGCAATATGCATTCAGTAGATCAACCCTAGATACACAATTGATGCAAGTATAATCAACATAGCAATTGTAGATGACAAGATAGAGATGAGAGCAATTCCTCTTAACCTTACATGAAGATATGAGCAATTATATTATACCAAGTCAATGAAGCGTAAAATTTAGGTCACAATCAGCATCCGCAATATGCATTCAGTAGAGCAACCCTAGATACACAGTTGATGCAAGTATAATCAACATAGCACTTGTAGTAGGCAGGATGTAGGTGAGAGCAATTCTTCTTAACCTTACATGAAGATAAGAGCAATTCTTCTTAACCAAGTCAATGAAGTGTAAAATATAGGTCAAAATCAGCATCCGCAATATACATTCAGTAGAGCAACCCTAGATACACAATTGATGCAAGTATAATCAACATAGCACTTGTAGCAGGCAAGATATCGATGAGAGCAATTCTTCTTAACTAGGTTCATGGTCAGATGCACGGACGGATGCACCCGATTTCTATATCCCCCGCAAACTCGTTTAGCAGGGATAATTATTAACTTACAGATTTAAAGTTATGGTCTATCAGAAAAGCAACATTTTTTTTTTCATTTTCAAAATTCATATGTTGCATGAATCAAACTGCAATATTTCTTATACAAAATAACATTTAAATTGATCAGCAAACATCAATTGTAAAATGTTGAAGTAAAATAAAAAGTACATATAATTGTCAAATAATTAATGAATAAATTAATAATACATGTCATTTTCGATAGGGTTATTTTTCTTCCAATTATTTTTGTTTTCATTTTTAATATGAATAACATTTACTTGAAAAGACAAGAATTGAAATTATTTCGATATTATAAAATAATATGCAAAGCTATAAATGGTTATTTTCGCAATTAAAATGCTGTTTATACAACTCAATTTACAAAATTAGTATGATTTCCATACAGAATAATTATAAATTATAAAAAAGAATTTATGTCAGCAAAGTATACGAAAGATGAATAAAGTATTGACATAGTTACAACGTAGCAGACGGTCACGAAACAATATGGGGGACATATATTTACATAAACATGTGATCGCCGAGGCAGACAAATTAAACGTAAACATGGTGTCAAATTTGCCCTTTTACCTTTGTTTAAAGAGTTGTTCGAGCCTACCCCACCGTAAGCATAAAGAGAAGAAAAGATTGTGAAAGCAAGAGAAAACACAATGTGAAATCGTAAATATGACTGGTGCAGGCGGACATTCAAACTTCTTTTTCCAGAAATTGACAGAAACCTTGTGGATTTATCACTGAATCACATTCATAATTCTTCATGAAAACACAACTATTCTTTTCAAGATTTTACTTTCAAATATAGTTTATGAAATATTTCGAAGTTTTATTAAGTTCGGAAAGAAATGTAATTCCATTTTGAAAGCAACAATTTTAAGAGTAACAAAGCAAATTCATTCTGTAGCTGGAGTTGATTAAATTTGGCCATTAAATGTGATAATATGGTATGTTACATTAATTCTATTTTAGAAATGCTCAATTTTGAAGTGATTTCAAAAGTATTAACATTCATTTCAAAAAAGTTGAATTTTCATGAATTTGAATTCATTATCTTAGAAATCAAATTATTTTAAAATTGTAGATGTTGGTTTATGCACAAAACACGTCATGTGGATCAAATTATTAGTCTTTAGTACTACAACCAATTAATAATAAAATGTAATTGTCTATATATAAAAAGAATAATGTTTTGATAAAAGATTACAAGACCAGATGTAAAGTTGTGCAATCTATCAAAGTCGGTTCTAATACTGACTAATATGAGTGCAAATATCTAACTAGGAACAGTACAAATATCTATCTTGTACGAAAATATCTCTCTAGCAAGTACAAGTATATGTCTAATGTGCAAATGTAATGGGAGAGAAAAAATCAAATGGGGCCGAACCGTGATTCAAACACGGGACCTCTGACCTCTAGCCAGAAGATCCGACCAACTGAGCTTTACTAGTCAACAGAAGTCAACTGACCAAGTCTGTTACACAAATATCTATTTCCAAAGTTATGGTGCAAATATCTGTCCTATGTGTTAGTGTAACAGGCAAAATAAAATTAAAATGGGTCCAAATCGAGATTCCAACCCCGGACCTCTCACCTCTAGACAAATGCCAGAACCAATTAAGCAACCCATGGCCAGTCACCCTACCCAGTTCAGCTACTCAAATATTACAGAGCGAATATCTGAATTCCATATGTTTGTGAAATATCATAAATCTGATAGTAACCTTCACAACGACTATCCCATAAATTATTTTTAGAAAATGTCCTAGACTTGAATGCCCACGAGCACAGTGGTTGATCTATAAATAGCAACAATGACCTTGGGACCCTGAAGTATTTTCATACTTGACTTTTGCATAATGGTAATGGAAGTCGTTGAGTCAAGACAATGAATTGGAATGGACTGACACAGGTGACACTAAAGCCCCCCCCCCAAAAAAAAATGTCAATATAATCAATCGTATAGTACAAATTATACTTGCAGACTGAAGGATTTAGGTCTCTGATGTCAGAAAATTATGTGTGCCCCCATTCACAGCAACATGAAACAAGACAGAGTGTATGTTTCGATCAGATCTGATTACCTCAATGATAGAGGCATTGAAATGTGCTTGATTAGATTAGTTATGAATGAAAATGAAAAAATGCATTTCTTTTGTTTCTCAATCAAGTTGCGAAAACCACAAGATGAGAAATAGAAGTCAATATAATAAAGAAGAAGAATGAAAAATCTTTGAATGAATTTTTGTGTATATTTTACTTTTTTTCCCCTCCACTGCAGAATCTATGTATGTTTGTCAAACAGAAACATAAAATTTGGGGTGTGAAAATGGAGTAAAGCAATAAATGTTATTTGTGTATCGTATAGGACAATCAACAAAGTGATATCAATTTTAATACATAAATGTGCTAATACAAAATAAGGTTGCAAAAATTTAAACATGACAATCAAAATCTGTACTTTACTCATTCACCCCTGAAATTTCATAATGAACTATTATTCCCAAGATTTGAATCAGAGGGTTCAAATGTGTCTTCAGGGAAGAATGCGTTAATAGCAAACTATGATTAAAAAGATGCGATTCCCCCCCCCCCCNAGAAATGACAATTTCACGTTGGTTTTATTATTTTTCTTTAGTGGCTGTCAGTTCACAAGTATCCGCAAAATTAAATTCTAAATGAAATATACATTTCAGTCTCGACAAAATTTATAAATACACAAGGCAAAAATATGTAGCTAGCTTTGTGCCAAATACTTCACATTTAGCCGTGATTTTATTGATGAAATATTTAATTGTTATGTGAAATTATTTCTTACAAAACATTGTGTGCAATGTGAAAATGATTCACATCCCATTTCATGTATGAAGTGTGAACGTTTCTGATACAAAGATTCAGTCATGTTAAAATGATTTCTAACATGACATGATGCGCAATGTGAAAATGATTCACATCAAATTTTAGTACAAGAACAACCAATACCTTCACATAACAACACAATGTAACGTCTTAATGATTTCACAAAATGTGAAAAGGATTTCACATGACATGATTGTGATGTGAAACACTAACATGAATGTGCATTGTGAAAATAGGTTCCCATGGTTATGTGAAAACAAGCTAACACCAAATTATTTCATGCAATAAAAGCAAATATGTATGATGATAATGATGCATCAACATCTATACAAGGAAAGGGGGAATAAATAGGGGTTGTGGGAGGGGAAAAGGAGTTAAAGGGAGAGAGAGGGATTACAACAAAATATCACTATCAATTTTGGTGCAATTTCAACACAAACAGGTGGTCCACCAAACAATAAATCACAAACAAAAGCCATGTTTATAATCTACAAATTTCTACACGTTTACAAAATAAAGCGTAGAAGATTTCTCTCCCATGATATGCTATATAACTATGCTGGTAGGTGGCATTGTCTTATCGACAGGTCCTTACCGGATATACTGTAGAGTACTCGGAGAGTTGGGAGGTCATCACGATGCGGATTTATCATTCCTTTTTGTTGTGCTTTCGGAACCGGGATCGTCAAGGTGATGGTCTTGTGAAATTTACGTCGTCTTGGTTCCACAGTTACGATTGGACTGACGGCCACACGGTTACCAAGTAGCTTGGCAACAAGGTCGGGGCTGATTGGTTGTGCCTGGCGATTGATTGACAGTTTGGAGGCGTTATAGATATGAATTTCCGGGGAATGATTTCAATTTAAAAAGAATTTTTTTCCAAGAGCATTATGCAAATAAGTACAACAGGTATTGAAATCGAACGAACAAAATCAGAAAACAAAACTTCACAGAAAATAAATAACATAGGGTGGCATTTGACGGGCTGATAATGTTGTTGAGTGGGCTATTGTCGACACTAAATAGAGCGCTACCAACACCGAGACAGACCAACACACTTGAAGCAAAAGAAAGAGTAGTGCATATAAACTTAGAAGGTCTTCATTCTATGTATAGTTGCTTTAAAAAATGTCTGTTTCAAACTCCACAAGCCTTACAATAGGCCCGGCTGGCTAAAAATGAAAAGAGAAACAAAACCAGCTGACAAATTATCCTTAGTTTTCATCATTTACATTACCATCAAATTACAAATCAAAAAAAAAAAAGTCTGACAAACTTTGAGGAGTGTGACAATCCACATAACAAAAATGGTAAGAGCGCCACCTTTGCCAACCCTATCATCTTAATAAGAACAACAATTATCTAGAGAACAACAAAAAACTAAAACTTTGCATTAAAGAAGTCATAAACTAAAAAGAAGGAGATAGAAAAAAGGAGAGAGAGAGATAGAGAGAAAGAAAAGAAATGTACATATGAATTCGAAAAAAAATACAAATTACAAATAATATTTATATTAAAAATGTCTGATACGAAAATTTTGTTTTTACTTAAAAGTTCTATAGCATTACAAAATCACTCAATTCACAACTGATATTTGATAGTCCAGTGTAATTAACTGATCAAAATATAACATTCGATAATTTCATTAAGAATGAAACAGTAATGAAATACAAGGTTTACAAGTAAAACAAACTCAAAACGTTTTGCTGAAGCTGTAGCCATGACAATGGATGGAGGGCAGAAGTACCAGGATGTTTGGATTTAAGAAGCCTACACCAGGGTACCTACCTGTAAGCCAACACGAATTTTCTTCGTGAGAGCGCCCTCAGGGAAAACTGCTTGAACCTGAGGCACGACAGTGGAACTGATTACTCCGCCTTCTTCTCCTACGGACTGTCGTTCCTCCCGAACCCTTGTCACCAGTGCGAAGTAGCGTGGGAAGTCGTCAGTCAGGATACGTGTGATGCGCTTGTTAGCCAAGTCATCCTCATGTTCTAAGTCTGAAAGAAATTCACCATAAGGTACAACTTTACAAGAACTAGCAGATGTCTGTAAGACATAAATGCCCCTGCTCATAGATGTGACGGGACGGACATGGGCAACACTATATGCCCCCCCCATTTTATGGCGGGGGCATCATTAAATAAACTTACCACTATCAATGCATAAGCACTCTAGGAGTCGCAATAATATCCTTTGCCAAAAATTCTAAACAAATAACATACATGAATAATTTAATTCTGTTAACCGATCTTTGAAATACCCTCTAATTCTTTTTATTTCAGCCTTGTAACAAATAACAGCAAAATATTTGTTGTCCCTTTTTTTTTAAGTCCTGCCAGCTATGTTTTGAAGGGGCCATTACAAAAATCCCCAATACGACCCTGCAGTTGTTAGCAATGGCCAAATACACTGTATTAATAATTTGATCGAAATCGGTGAGGCCAGAAAATGGTGGCCATTTTATCCAATGAGAAAACAGAAGTTGCAGTAGTGTTTGCAATGCCTACGCACAAAATTATTTTGTGGTTAAAAATATTTTTCTATCTTCATTTCAACGAGATGCTAGCATCTCTTTGAAATAAAGATAGAAAAATATTTTTCCTACAGACACAATCAACACTTTCCCTGAACACAGGTCAGCCATATAAACATTTCCATTTCACAGCGATGAATTTCAAAGTGCTCCATCCCCCTCGTACCTCCTAAACTTCCTACAGCAAACAGTCTCAGTTGGGTTGTAAGAAGACTAAGTCAGGGTTCAAACTAGCAACCCATGACTGGAAAACCATGCAGGGCCTCTTTCGCCTATCCGGTTCAACTGCGTGGTTTGCCTGTTTTTAAATGTAACATTTTCGGGTATAAATCCCGGCTGACCTGCAAATGTTCATGCAGGCCTTGCAAAGGCTTGTCTGAAAGCACCATCAGATTACTGGGTCCGACCTTTTTTCGTTTGGATCGCAATAAATAAATCCGGCCAAAATACCCCCTTAGATTTAGTCATCCGAGTTATCTCCCTTAGAAGCATATGACCCTACCTTCCAGACTCTCATTCAGCGCCTTGTTGACAGCATCATCTGTTGCTAGGATCGGGTGCTCCTCCCATTTCTCGCCGTTGTCACTCCTCAGAATCTTGATCTCACGTTCCTTTCCTCTCAGTGAAGCGAAGTGGGGGATCTCAATCACAATGCGGCTAAAATGCAGAATCAAATATCCATTTTAAAATTTTACAAGTAAAACAAGTACAGAAGCAAGAACATTAATATTCATACAGGCATTTGACTCGTACACCCCTACATATTCAAACTGGACTTGCCCTGTCTATGAGTTGGTAAGGTTCAAATGTGACTTTAGGGAAGAATGGGTTAAAGCTGGGACGATGTTCTCGTTAAAAGTATTGTTGCCAGCAACTTTTAGTTGGCTACATGATGGAAAATAAACTGCTATGAATATGTGCACAACAACATATCATACCGTGTAGTATCATTATACTTTCTTGTGTATTGTGTCAAAATGTTTTGTTTGCCTGTATCACGATACACTAAGGGTACTGAAATTTTCTTTTCAAACTTAAAGAGTTTACTTATTGTTTTGAAATCCTTCAGTAATTCAATGTGCAGTCATACCCAAAAGTACTAAAAGTCATACATAAATATATTTAGCATTCAGAATGCAGTCGACCTTTTGAGCATATATAATGATAATAATAATTTGAGGTTCTTATAAATATACTACTTTATCACAACCTAGTTCGTAGGTCATCTAAAGCGGTTCACAAATTATTATCCATGTTTATAGGGCCTTTGCAACCAGCCAATACCTTTCTCAACTCCCGGGGGAGCATACAGCCGGAGCTGCCATTTTGGTGCTAACAGCTAGCATTCAACAATTCTAGCACTGCCCAACCACGTACTCATTTGCAGCTGAGTAGACTGGAACAAGCGGTGTAAAGTATCTTGCTCAAAGATACAACACAGTGCCGTGCCGTGACTCGAACCCGCAGCCCTAGCCATTAACATTAAACCAGCTACCTTTGAAAATCAACAACCTGATTTAAAAGTAAGTGCAAACCCTGTTGGATTATGTAAGAACCATTACAAAATTGTAGTCATTTTACACCTTTTCTGTCACAAAACCTGTGGACTTATTACAGATTAAATCCGTTAATTTTTCCACAATTTTTACTAGATACATTTAACAAAGGTAAAACGTTATTTCCAGAATCAGTTAACAAATTTGACTCTTTGTGCCAATCAGCTCATTTCAAGAAAGGTCCTTCATTTGTAAAATCTATTCAACAAGAGGGGGGTGGGCTTAATGCTGAGTGTGGGCTTATCAATGGTCATTTACGGTATACTTAATTGTCACCACACTTAAAACTTGTGAGCTACATTGTTATTTACACAGAGAGACGGATCAGTCGTGAAAGTTTGTAGTGCAGAAAGGTTAATACTACAAGATGATGCATCACAAATCTTTACATCACCATAGCAACAGTATCCCCAAGGCTATGAAATCGTCAATTTATCTCCAATGACATCATTAAGAGAAGCTGCTTTTAAAGGTAAAAAAAGATTTTAAAAATGACTATTTTGACAAGGAAAAACATTCACCACCAGTTTTTGTCAGACTGAACAAGTCTGGACAATTTTCAGATAATCTAGCACTAACAATTCCTTGTTTGATAACATGCCAAATTCTATATTCATAATCTAGAGAAAAAAAACACCTGGGTTTTTAACATGCCATACTTTTTATTCATAGATAGTGACTTTGGTCTGGCTAAAATTGTCCTTGTAGGCAGCGAATTGAATTATTCAAATGTATTCTGACCTAAAATGACTCACTTCAATCATCATTGCAGAATTATGTCACTTTATGAGGTTACAAATACTATCGCTCCTTTTTCATTACCTATCACACAGTGTCACAGACACCCATGCATAAAGATAAATATTTAAATTAAACTGTTTTTCACAAATACCCACTAACACTGTTTCACCATACCACTATTCCAAATGTCCACTTAAACCTAAACTACCCTATACCCCATTCTTATTACCCCCTAACCCTATTTTACCATTCCTCTTTCCGAAATACCCCTATAAACCCTACTTTATTTGTGTCTTTTCATTAATTATTCAAACTACAATAAAACCTCAAAAAAAAATTGTTCATCATTCCATTTGCCACCTAAGTTACCCCTCAATTTCCTAAGAATTCCTTTATAACATGTTTCCTCAATTTATCCCCAAACCCCTTTATAATGCCATAATTTCTCCGGACAAATAGTGGCAGAATAACAAGGTTTCAATGTATAGTCGCTAGGTATATGCATGGGAAAAAGTTTCAAAAGCTGTTTTTGGCCATGGTATGGAGACCCTTAAACCCTTACATTGGTATGGGGATCGCTAAACCCTTACATTGGTATGCGGATCCTTAAACCATTACATTGGTACGGGGATCCTTACACCCTTACATTAGTACGGGGATCCTTAAACCATTACATTGGTAAGGGGATCGCTAAACCCTTACATCGGTACGGGGATCCTTAAACCCTTACATTGGTACGGGGATCCTTAAACCCTTACATTGGTACGGGGATCGTTAAACCCTTACATTGGTACGGGGATCGCTAAACCCTTACATTGGTATGGGGATCCTTAAACCATTACATTGGTATGGGGATCCTTAAACCATTACATTGGTACGGGGATCCTTAAACCCTTACATTAGTACGGGGATCCTTAAAACCTCACATCCAACAACTTAATTTTCCAAACAATATATTATGATATTTGTAATATGATTCATCAGTTTGGCATGAATAATAAATATGCTGTTTGTTCTGAACACAAACAGTAATTTTTAAACGTTATTTCGGGAGCTTTCGACAACATCTGTTTCCTTTGACCCTCACTTGACTTGTGTGACACAAGTAATGAAGTATCCTTGTGCATGTGCAGTATTTACGGGGTGTGCTTATGATGTGAATAAATGTGTATATATGATGTGTATACATGTGTGTATGTGAGATAACTATGTTAGTCAGCCTCCGCATCTGGATGGCATCAGTCACTGGCCAACACCCTACCCTGTACAATCATACCTTTGTCTCCCCATGACACAACAACCAGACATATACACCCCAGCTAGGCACACTATGACACAGCACAATACCTATATAAAAACGTAGTCCCTCCTGAAATTCCAAATCTCTTTGGTCTTTTTCTATTTTTTTTAATAACCTGTCTCCCGTGGTGAGCCCCTCTAACCAAATAGATAATCACCTTCTGATCAGCCCAGCTGGTTTTGATGACCCCCAGGAAGACTGCCTGGTCCACCCCCTATCTCTTCCCTTCACTCCAAATTCATTAGCACACAACAGCCTGCCTCTCCTTTCCCTAATTTCATTAATACAAGCAGTCTACCCCACACTAGTCCCATGGAAACTTTGAAGGTACTTACATTCACTTTTGATACACAAGTATTACATTAATTTTTGGATACCAAAGTTAAACACATTGCTGAAACAAATTGTTGTAAATGGCTGTCTGTTATACAGTGGTCCATTATAAATAGGTACCTGTATAACAGAGGTAACCTAATACACAGGTTTCTAGTGGATAGAGGTGTGCGGTATACAAAGGTAACCTTCATTGAAAGGTATTCACTACATAGGAATTGTCGTTGTAAACAGGTTTTTATTATCGAGATAGCTTAATATCTGTTATATACAGGTAACCTAATACACAGGTTTCTAGTTGACAGAAGTGGCCATTATAAACAGGTGTGTGGTATACGAAGGTAACCTTCATTGAAAGGTATCTTGTGTATAGTATTGGTCGTTATAAACAGGTTTTTATTATTGAGATGGTTTAATATCTGTTATATACAGGTAACCTTTATAGACAGGTATCCAACATAAAGATGGTCATTTTAGAAAGGTTTTCTGTTATAAGCACATAATAGTTTTGGACATTTGTTATATATGCAAATGATCATTATAAATAGGTACTTGTCACACAAGTTACCTTTATAGACAGATATTGGTCACACACAGGTTACATTTAGACAGGTATGTGTAATACACAATCTTCATAGTCAGGTTTTTGTCATATACAGGTGACCATTTTAGACAGATATTTGCTTTAAACATGACCTCCATGGCAGGTATCACCTGTGTTCAGTGTTTCTGACACCTATAAACATGGTATTGAATTACACAACATCTATTACAAGGTCCACATGTATGTCAGAATATGCAATTGATCTGTAACCTGAAATGTCAACCCATTTCCTGTTATGACAGAAAACAAGCCAGATGGATTGTGAAGTAGGTCAATTATCAGGGATATGTTTCGTCTACCTTAAAGTGCATCTCAAGAGTTGGGCGGCAAAGTCAGTAAGATTTTAGACATGACACATCGAAGCTTGCTCTTCGTTTACATAACTTGGAGATAGCTTCAGCCTTAATCACTGTATTTAAATTTTTTCGAAACCAAGAAGATTGGTCATTCTCACACTCTGAAAATTATCGTACAATTTGATACTACTACTTAAAAAGATTTTCAGTTTAGTCTTTCAAATTTTGACAGGGGGCCTACAGACTGGGAAAGAGAAACATATCATACAGTTCTGAACTAGTATTTTACATCAAAGGGGTTGTTTTTCTCAATACATTTTTCACATTTTCTAGGGGGGGGGGGCTGTAAAAAAGCTGTGTTTAACCTCAGGTTTTCTTTGTCCAATGAATGGATAATGATTTCCGTCGAAAGAAAATAATATTTCTCTGATTTTTCAATTGCAAGAAATACTACGATAAATTTTGATAAAATTTGAAGGTTGTTGTGTAATTTCACTATAACATGCAAAGATTTTTTACAGAACTACAGATTAGTTGAAATCCACACCGCTTAACAGTTATCTGATGGGTGTTAGTTCATTTGTGTGTCGCATAAGTGTCTCCCACAAGTGTCTCGTTTCCTACCAACCTTCACTGTCAATGCTAACACAGGAAGTGGAACTGGTTTTCCTTCACTACTGATAACCCTGGGCCATAAAGTATGAAAGTCTGACAGAAAAGTGCATATAATTACAGTATTTCTTCCAAAGTATGCCCCTTAATGAATTAAAATTTAAATAACATGTTGAAACTCCCTTAAATGGACGAAATGGCTATATAGTTCACTAAAATATATGTCATGTTTAGCTTTCTGCATCAACATACTGATTTTTTTTTCAATAGGTGTTTCTGAACTTTGTATTTCAAATAATATCTTGCATTGTTGAACTTGGGTTATGTTCAAATTGCATACAGGCAGAATTTCTTTTGATTCATTACTTTTCATTTTTATTTATGCCATAAAAGCGTTGTAAATGTGAAACTAAAACAGCTATTTGATTGGGAGAGTCGATATACCTGAAGGAAAGTGATATGCAACAGGATTTTTTTTCTTCAAAAGGAACGATTTATATTTGTAACTGGCTTTTGAAACATGATTATGTATCCTTGGGCTAGTTTGAATAAGCAGTAAAGATTTGATACAGCTTTTCTAGTCTGTAAAATGTATCTTTATGTAACAGGCTCCATTTCTTCAACAAGCGAAAACTTAAACATTTTATTTTTCACATATTTTTATTTAATTATTTTCTTCTTTTCGAAATACACAAATTCTTCTTATGTCTTATTTTTTTCATTCATGACATCATTTACATAATTACGATTGATGCATTGTTTTGAAAAATTATTTATTCTTTTTTGTATTCATCTGGTTTATTTTTTCAGGTGGCTTCTTTTCAATTTATCTAATAATAATTTACAATTGCTATAAATGAGATCCCCATGCTATGGTCTTTTAATGTCTTTTTCGGGATAGACTCAGAATGAAACAAAGACTAATAGAATCGACTAAAGCAAGTCTATCACAGGTGAGGCATGGCAGTGCATACATTACTGGCCGGCACTAAAGGTCATCCTTGGTCGCACATCAGGAGAGATGACCCCGCATACATTAACACACAGTAAAGTACTTGCTGAACTTCTGAATACATGTATTACTCCTCTGTTGACATAGCTAAATCATCGTCCAGATAATGCTTGCAGGTATGGAACGGGTCATAAAAGCACTGTTAGTTTAATGTATTAGCATATATGTTTTTTTTACAATGAATTACTTTATGAATTATGAAATTAATTTCAATGTTATCTTTTTCTGCAAATGACCACAAAATTGCATGTCAAAAGTGTGGAATTTAATCAGAATCTTTCAACATGAAATCCATTTTTCCATTACTTTCGTAAATACAAACTTTTTCTTTATCCCAGCTAACCAAACTTTACTCCACAAACCAATGATGTAACAAATTCTACTGTATTAACCCAGCTAAATACAGCTTACTCCAACCTATCAAAGATTATCCCAGCCAACTTGAGATGGGGAAAAATCTGTCCCTTGTATAAATTGACATTAATATCCCTTTTTCTATTTTCAACTTTTTTGCCCATTAAAATTATTGGATGGTGAACTGTTTCATGGACAGTATACATCTGTATTTGTGTGTTAAGACATTGAATTATGACATCCCTGTGTTGATCGTCATATATGAGAAAAGATTTGGGAGACTGCATGCGCATCGGATGGCTGGTGGCTCATAAGTTAGCACACTTGCTTTTGAACAAAATGGTTTCCCTGATGGAATGTGAAAAGGCATTGGGTCTTATCCCTGACCAAAAGGTATAGGGACCCCTAGGCCTGCCACTTTGGTTTTCTTATGGAATTCTGGTTTCCCCTGGGGGAATACATTCTAATTTATCTATGATAATTTAATTAACTTGACTTATTATTTAAAAAACAAACAGTGATTTCCTGGCTAAATTTCGTTTTGTGGAAGACCTGTTTGGGCTGTAGCCCACACACAAGTTGAAATATATTCTTTCAAATGAAACATATTCTTTCCACCAGTTAACCAGAGTGAAACATATTCGACAGATCAGTCAATGAGCTGTGAAATATATTCCACTTCCACACCCCAGATTAGGTCTACTCTGAACATCAGTTGGGCCCTCACAGCCACGACAGTTGACATTCTGTGTAATGACAAGTGTTGTAACACTGATACACATAATAACAGGCCATTACCATGGTCCCTTATGTCATTAATGTAAAACTCTCCACAGCCAGAATCACTGATAACCTTCTGACAAACAGCAGTAGGTGACCTACACTGTCTGCTGTAAAAAAAAAGAAAAAAAGTCTGGGGTTCAGAAACAATCAATCAAATCTAATTTCTACATGCAATTTATCCTGATCTACGTGTGTTGAGATACTGTGGGGACAAAGACAGGCTAACACCTGATGATAAACGACCTCTTTTGGTTAACCTTGATGACGCAAATTCTCCCATTTATCAATAAGTGTAGATAATTCTGTCATGTCTGCTTTTTTCCCTATTTGAGAATACCTGCCCCCTCCCAGATCTGATCCAAAAAATCTATCTTACAAAATACTGTGTCCTTTCTTCCAAATGAACACAAACTATTTCTTTCCATTTATCTTTATTTTAAATCAAACCTCTCCCATGTGCCTTACAAATTCTCTTTTGAACAAAACATTCGATCCCCCACCCTATCTCTTTTTTTCCCACTTTAGACTTTAGACCAAGTTTTACCCTTCACCTCCCTCTCCCTTCCATCTTCTCTTCCTACTTTTGACCTTAATCAACTCCCTCCCCATCTTCCCAACTCCTCTGTCTCCCTACTTTTGACCTTCACCTACTCCCCTTTTTGACCTATACCATCCAAAGACAACCCAAATCCCCAAAGACAGCACATCATCCCCCTTCACCACATATGAACACAGATGGCCAGGTGGACAGGACTGCTAATGAAAACCAGAACACATCTGTTTTGTTTGCAGCAGATTTTCGTCTTGACTTTACATGTGTAATACTAACACCCGAGCCGGTATGTAAACAAATGGCTGACTGACCCTAATCCTTGTAACCATAGCTACAAATGATTCCTCCCTTAAAAATAACATTTAAATCCTGGTAAAATCAATCTGGTACATTAATCTTCTTTGTTGCATGTCACTTTTTAAACTCTTTCAACCTATCACTAATAGGTTAACTGTTGAATCTGACTACTCTTGCTTCCAATAATCCTGTCTATTATGATCCCTTATTATTATTCCAATAGACCTGTGTTATCTGATGCTTATGCTCCAAACAAACCTGTGTAATCTAACTCAAGATTGTCTACACAGACCTGTCCAATGTGACATGACATTCTCTCAACAAACCTGTCTAATCTGACATCAATAAGCATAATTCTATCAATATTGATTTATTTCAATATCAAAACCACTTAACCAGATTATGAAAACCTGTATATTACGACATCTTGTCTATAGGTTTATCTGACTGGTCATTTTGCATGAGCTTTTGTGGAGGTCTTTTGAGGACAGGTTGCACTGCATGTATTTCTATGAAAAATGGTCTACAGCATATTGTTGGGATCAGGGGTCGGATTAAAGAGGTTTGTTAAAATGTTGTTTAATCTATTGAACTTTGAAGCCACGTTGGTAGCCACAGGCTCCAAGTGAAAAAATGTGTACAATTTAACCTGTCTTAACTGACAGCTATCTTACTTAGAAGAACCTGTCTAAACTAGACATTACTATCAGTTTCACTGAATAAATTTTGAGCTATGTTGAATGTTGTTGTATCCAAAACAGGTCTGTTTTGTAAGGAATATATGTTGCTTTAGTTGTCAATTTAGACAAGTTTCTTTGTAAGTTAAAGTAAATGTAACGTTACTCACCCTAGGAACTTGGTAGCTACTGGTCCCATCTCAAGGATCCTGGCAGCGAGGGCCTCACCCTCGTTGATGGGGAGGGGGTGCATCAGTTTTTCCTTCTTGATCAGGCGACAGGTAACGCGGGTGGGCATGGAGGCTTTTCTAGGGGGGATGATGATCCGGACCCCAGAGTGTCGACGCCCCCTCATGGCGCCCCCACGGGCGTCCACCATGAAGCTGATGAGGAAACTGTTGGTGACAAGAACCATGGCGAAATATTAGTGAAAAGGTTAACAAAAAAATAGGACTTTGCCTCCAAAATGCTGGAAAAGAAATGGGGAAAACACTTTTGGGTATCTCTGCTAGTTTAAATCCGAATAAGAAAGAATCTATCTTAGCTCGAAAATTCCTTCGATAGGTCGGTTCTGGAATTGGCAGTCAGTACTTTTTCCTCTTTGCAAGATTGAAAACTTTTCCTTGGAAATATCAATTCAAAGCATTTCTGGGGGTAAAACGATATGCCTTCATATGATCCATAGAATTCAGCCTGCTACAGATGGCAAGATAGCTGGTCCGACTCAGATCAGAGAAGCCATGTTTATATCTACTGGAGAGTGTATCTGTGGTTTGGGTGGGGTAAAAACAGGCGGGGAGGAGTTATAATCAAAACACAGGGGCCAAACATGCAAGGTTAGAGTCAGCAAACCTCATGTCTTAGTTGTGGATGTATCGAATTTCCTTCTTCAGGGACGTAGAAACTTTTCCCCACTCAGAATCTTGATATAGAATCGGGTATATCTTCTCTCCCAGTGAATCTAACAGGCTGAGGAACTCCGAAAAATACAACACATCAATGTCTCAACGCTGAGACTCCACTGCAGTGAACATTCCTCCAAGGGTCTGTTATCTCCACTAAGAATTTGAAAATATCAAGATCCAGTTCGGGAGGCTCAAGCAGGCTTCACTGACAGACACACACACACATACGCTCTGGGCAGCAATGTACAGATGCTAAATGTGTACACCACTGTTTGTATATGTAGACCACTGGCTTTATCTATGTATAGGGCTCACAGCTCCCTAGGGGCTTACTCCCCAAACAGCTACTTGACTCCCTATCAGCTCCCGCTCCAGTATTACCAGCTGGGTTGTCTGGAACCCTAGAAACTTGAGCAACAGGGCACTCCAGTTCTGATTTCACAAACAAATCTACTGAAGATTTCCTTTCTCTTCAAATCAAGTCTCTTTACAGTGAATATAATTTAACAGTGAACGCAATAGACTACACAGGTGAGTCAGCCACTTCCGTGAATTGTACCGTAGATATTTTCTGACAGCTTGGCAGAAGACTCTGCCTAGTTGTGCAGTTTTTGTTCCACAAACTACACTTCAAATCCAACTGCAAGTAATTTCTCAAAATACCAGAAAAGTGCTGCAAAGCACTGTAGACTTTTCAACACAATCCCATGGGTCAGGCCAGCTATTTCACCAGCAAGACTGGTGTGTGTAAATTTCTGACAAGGCCGCCTTCAACATACACAACACATGTACATTATATACACACACACACAGGTAGAGATTTAGGTCATAGGTCATCAATACTTTGGGGTTTAAAACCACAGAAAACATTTCTATTTTATCAGGTAAGTCTGACCTTTACTTGAGAGTTTGTTACAAAGCATGCGCAGACAGGTAAAAACCCTGTGAAAAAAACCAGGAAACACCTGTACAGCTACCTGTAATAACATTATAAAGGTGCTAGATAAAAGGAGCCATGGGGGGAGGNTGTGTTTTCCCCATACATATTGCATTTCGGTAGCACACACATTCAAGTATAATTTTCTGTGATACTAACATAAAAAAACTTCTCCTATAGGTTAAATTATAGTAGCATATATTAGATCAAGACTATTGGGCTTATCCCAGATCTCACGAGACACTTTAATGTGTGTATAGTCAAGTGTAAAGTTCATCACGATGTTAATGTGCTTGTTTTATCTTCAGACTATTAAATGTGTATAACACAAACAAAGCAAACCAACTTTATCCAACCCAGACGTGAACAAAACCAAATTACCACACAGTAGCTGATTTTAAATATTTTTGTTGCAAACAAATTGAAAAATTTCACATAAAGTTTAAAACAGACAAAGTATAAAAGAGCATTCCTTTTATATATCTGATCATTTTTTTTCAACATTACATGTAATATTTCTTATGATATTTTATTTTTTTATAATTTATTTTTTCCAGGTAAAATGTGACAAATTCATGCAACTGCAGATTTTTTTGATTTTTCTTAAATGATAATTTGTTTTCTCTTAAATATCCATTTTTTCTTCTCTTTATTTCTCCTTGTTTCTTCTTCTATTGATAACATTTTCTATTTTTTTTTTTTACTAAATTAAATCACCAAGTAAATATATATATATATATATATATCACTGTTCTTATTGCAATAATTTGTGACATTTCCAGTTAAAAATTTCCAAACGATAATGACAGTTACAGTTACCTAAACTTATGACAGTGCCATAGTGAGATGACACTAACTTAATGTAATGACAGCGAACACCTTTCCATGATGGGACAAGATATAATCCAACCCTCGACATATTTGTCTTCTGGCGATTTACTAAATTGACCTTATCAACATTTATTACACCTAATTTCTCTGTGCATACATGTTAGGACAGTCACCAACCACAGACAATATCAAATTTAATTACATAATGTCTGCCCTGCCTTTAAGTCCAGACAACATGGTTATCGTAAGGGGGAAATATGTTGACAAACGGCTTAACTTACCAATTTTAGTTTACAAATTGTTGACATGTTTTAAACATGTTAAATAACTCTACCTTGGTACATATGAGATTAGAAAAAGTTGTTATCGCAAAAAGGGAAAAGTTATTAAAGAAATATTACATTTCATATGATTTATTAAAATATATGAAAGCTGTGTGTTAAATTTGTCAATATTAATAGGAAATACAGATATCATATTTTTTTTTATTTTTTTTTAAATATTTTCTTGTTAAACATGAATAAAATCAAAGAAGATTGAGAGACTTAAGTCAACTTGAAATTATTGTAATTGTGTAATGCTCAAAACTAATAATAAATTTTGAAAAACACAAAAAAAGAAGAAAATAATGACAAGAGATACTGTACAAAATTAAGGAGAACAATATCAAAGAGGAAATAGTGGCATGCCATCAAAATGAATACAACATACAGTATACTGATAACGCGCTAATGCTATACTGATCATATACTGATTTCATGCTAATTACACGCTGATCACATATGTATGTGACAGCAAGACCACAATACTTCTAAATAAGGTAATCTAACACTTTTTTTTCTCTACAACACATGATTAATAATTATAAGATATTTAATTTACTGATTGGTAATTATACTGCCATGCAAATAAGCTGTACAAAATAACGGCTCTAAAATCATGTACCCATAATACATGTATGGAGAACAAACGATTATTCATAGTTTCATCCCCTTTCTACTGCATAACTCATACATGAAAGTCACTATACCTGATACAGTCATAATATAACTCCGCATTCTTGCATACGTAATTAGTCAAAATAAATTGAAGTGCAGCATTTGTCATACCTAAGTATCATTACTTTTGCATACATAAATAGCTACTAATATGCCCCACCTTTTTTGCATATATAATGAGCCATTATTATGCTCCGCCTTTTTGCATATTTAATCAGCCACCATTATGCTCCACCTTTTTTGCATATATAATGAGCCATTATTATGCTCCGCCTTTTTGCATATTTAATCAGCTACCATTATGCTCCACCTTTTTTGCATACATAATGAGCCATTATCATGCCCCGCCTTTTCAAATATTTAATCAGCCACCATTATGCTCCGCCATTTTGCTCACTATTTATTTGTCAATTTGCATAAAAGTGCATCAATTAATGTATCTCATTACCAGATAATGGTCTAGCTTTTTGTCTAACAAAACGTCACCACTATGTTTCCTATTTAATTTTATGTTCTTGATCACCTGTGGTCAATTTGCTCTTTAATTTCACCTATATAACTGTTCACAATAAAAAATCTTTCGTTCCTTACAAAGTATCATGGGGTGATATCAATTTTCAATAATCAATAATCAAAGTATCCACGTGGAGGGAACAACATGGCTTGATTTTCAATGCTGAGGTATTTGTGTGGTGTAAAATGTCAATACACTATTAATACTTGTAGTACCAATGACCTTGACCTTTCGACCTCATGACCAGATAACAATCCCAAACAAGCAAGTAATGCATGGATTTTCAGTTTGATCAGCAGCCCACAGGAACTCTGGTTTTTAATCAAATATCTATGGTAAAAGATCTTGACATTTGACCTTGTGACCTTGAAAACAATTCCAAGCAAGCGCTCATGTAGAGGCAGCACTATACAAAAACATGCTGCTCCGCCCTTATGCATATCTAGTTAGTCATCATTATGCTCCGCCCCTTTCGCATGCCTAATTAGTCACCATTTCCGCAGTCCTGCCTTTATATCAATCCTTTGAAGTGCACTTATACATTATATAAAATTTAGCGGTATTGATGGTTATTTTTGATGCCAGCCAGCATAAAATTACTATACTTGCTCTATCCTACCATAGAAGCAATGCCTGTATATTTATGCAAATTATATATGCTAATTACTTCTGCTAATTATATATGCTGATTGTATGCATGAGGTGAATTTACACCAGCCAGTGAGGGTTGTCTTAGCAACCGGCATTCTGTCCACCCAATCAGTGCTTGTTACTATAGTGCAAGTTATCTCCCTTTGACAGCCGCAGTACATAAACTAAGGTACAAATGTTACATTGTAAAACAAATTAAGAGAAAAAAACATAAAACAGTGTTAAGGAGAACAATACACAGTGATTCTAGCATCTAGATGTATAGAATCAGCTTTACCTTTTCCATTTCAGTTTGCTGTGTAAAAAAAGACATAATTATAAACAGGTTTTATAACTATATTTAAATATATTCACTGTAGATTTTCTGCAGTTTTTCTCTCTCTCAATGTTTTCTTTCTTAATCTTACCAACAGATAAATAATATTTCATTCAAAATCAACCTGACTGATTTATTCTACATCTCCAGGATGAGTTAGTTATCAAAGTATTGAACAAGAGGTCTCATGGTGTCTGTTAGCTCATCTTTTATCAATTTTATAAATTACTTCTTGAAAATAATCTTTACTCAGGGTTTGACACATAAAAATAGTTACTGCAATACGATTTCAACTTGCTTTACCGAGATAATCAACTGTTATAATAAACAGTACACACTCATTTCGGTCTGTAAACTCATTCACCCCTGAAGACACATTTGAACTATTCCAATTCAAAAATTGGAATAGTTCATTATGAAACTTCAGGGGTGAATGAGTTAAATAACACAAATAACAGATCTTTTAACCAATTCACCCCTAAAATCACATTTAAACTTTACCAGATTAAAGACTGGGCAAGTCCAGTTTAAATACGTAGGGGTGAAAGTGTTAAAGGACTTTGTCTGAGCATGTGTAATCAAAAGTTTTTGTACAATTTACATAACCACATCATGCATTCGTGCTGTTAGTATTTAATTTTGAAAATATAAATTTTACAACTGAGTTAGTTTAATGAATAACCGACAAAACCAATCAAAAACATTTTTTAATGATCAATTTGACTTAAATTTTAACAATTTGGAAAGTACTGAATCAGTGTCACAAGTGAAATAGCCAGGTTATGATTTCATCCATGTTTTTCAAATACACATTTTTTCTTTAGCAATAACTGCATAAAAAGGGAGAAATGTGTGGTTTTCCAATTTCCTTTCAGTGGATTATTTTTTTCTTTATTTAAAGTAAACAAGTCGGTTTTTAACATTCTCTATATAAATTATTCCATAAATAAACTTAAACTCTGATTCCATTAGGATGCTCCATACCAAATTTTAATATAATTGATCCAATGGTTAGGATTAGTATAAGACAAGGATTCATTATTTTTAGGTTAACAATAACTTACCAGTAACCATTTTATTTTTATTTTTCTTCATTTTCTAGTGTTGGTTTATTTGACACAATGTACAAATTAAATTACATTTGTAGCAATAATAAAGGTAAAAAGGCTAAAGATAGGATAAGAACCATGAAATTATTTGCATAAATGTTATTTTAAAAAGTGAAAAAATAAATCAGTAAACCTAACAAAGCTTTTAATCTATGATATCAAGGTCTAAATAGTTTTAATGCCTTGTTAGCTTGAAAACATCATAAAGAAAACTTTGAAGACATTGCCAAAAAAAAAAAAAAAAAGTTTTATTTAATTGGTGCTGAGCAAAAAATCACATAATGTTTCTCCAGATGCATAGCATAAGTGTTCAGAGCTTTTTATCAACCATGAAATCAATAATTACATGGGGAAAAAATTATGGATAGTCAAAAATGGTTTATGTGTTGTTAAACTGTCCTGTAATACAAAGACTTTATCACTCTGTTTTGTTAGTAATCCTGAGGAGCTAAAAATCTAAAGCAATAATAAAGAACAGGAAACCTAAACAGGTCCAATACCTGGCACCTTCCAGTTCTAATCATGGTCAATAAAACGTTTCATACATTAGAGTAATAATTCAAGCTTCTCTCTTACCCAGAGTAAGTTGGAGTGCGATCAATGGCCACATTGTCGGGGTCGAAGCTGGCGTTGAATGACGATCCACTGTAGGAGCTAAAACGGGAACTCTCCATTTTGGAGGTACCGGTGAGTAGGCGGTTGTCAGGGGGAGCGGAGGAGTACTGAGAGTACGACTGGGACATCATCTGAGCTTCCATGTAGTCCTAAACACACAACAGAGCCGGTCAGTCCAAAGAAAATGTCAAACTACAACCTCAGTTAACCTCACGGACAAAGACCAAGTATGGTATCAGGAAGACTTATTGGCATTGTCACCGTAAAACTCACAGGAAATATGTCAAAATTTATTTTTTGTAAACTAGAAAATGTCTGTAAAACATGAAAAACCCCTTGCCCCTGAAGTTCATAAACTGATGACACCAAATAGCAATGATTGGCCTATAAATAGCAACAGTGACCTTGGCATTGACCTTGGGACCCTGAAATACAAATTTCATGATAAATACTTAGGCATAATCAAACGCTCATCATGTACCAGAGTCAAACCATCGCTGTCAAACTCATATTGACTGTCATCTTTCAGCCACAAGCAAACTCACAGGTGCAATGAAACCATGACTTCCGATGAAACCATGACCTTCGGCAAACCTCTAGGCATAAAAGTCAAACTAATGGGGGAGGTCAAAGTCTGACTCGTAAATTTAGTCAAATTACCATCTCGATTCCAAGTTCTAGAAATAATGAAACAATCACAGGTGTTCAGTCTATGTCCAGAAATACTTGCTACAGCCAGACTTGTATTTAAATTTTAAAAAATTGTCAACCAGTAGAAACTTTGAGCCAAGGTGAACAGTCAAATATGGTTTTTTTTAAAGGAAACATAGAAACAAGTGGGGGGGGGGGTTTCAATAAAAATAATCGCAAGCATCACTTCCACCCATTACCAACAAAACCAGTTGAACACCCACCAAAAGATGCCAGATATAGACTCAAGTAATTTAATTTACTTGGAAGAATTGTGTTTATTGGTGAAGAAGACCGTTCTTTTCCTTCAGTGTTTCATGGATAACATTTTTTTTCTAAGTTTGGCTGCTCAAACTTATGTTCAAATTTTCATAAATGAAAGTAAATAAAAATGAATTTGTCTTCACATAACTTGCAAACATTGTCGCCAAATAAAAGTAAATCATTATCAGGAAAAACTACACTAAATTCATCAAATCTAGACAAAATAGTCAGAGACCAATGCTATTAGCAATAAGACAGTTTATTATTGAAATCTTTGCTGAATTTCAAATTTTGTCTTGTGTAAACTTTGAGAAACTTTGCGCATGAGCAAAATTAATTTCTTCAAATAGATGAATGAAATAATATCAATTGTTATAAATTTGATAAACAAACCATTATAAATCAATAAATCAAATACTATAAATCAAATATTAAGGTAGAAACAAACCTTTAAAGACAGCAAATTAAAAACATGATTTTCTTAAAACAGATTAAAATGTCCTGGTATTTTAGTTATTAAAACAAAAGCAAAATTATTAATGCTACTTCTTCACTCTTTAACATCCAAGAAATGAATAATGAATTGAACATAGAAAATATTCCTGAAATGAAATATTGAGGTTGTAGCAGTGATTATACCTTACTTAATGTTCCAAGACGTGTAAAAACAGGAATATTAACAGCAGACAAACGCTGTGTTCCAGGTATACGATGCGACTATAATATGGCAGCATGCCCTAACCAGTTTTTACCGGAATGTTATGTCTCTCCAGCATAACACTTTCCATCAGATCCAGATGTTGGTGAGAAATGTTTGTGTAAGCCAGGTTATGGGGTAGGGGAGGTAACTCTTAATTTTCACCCCCCAAAAGAAATTTAAAAGAAAGGTTGGCTCTTGAAAAACTTCATATTTTCGGAATAACTCCAGTAGATTAACTCATTGTTATCATACACAATTAAATATTTCAAAAATGTTTGGTATTTTTGATAATTTCTTAATTATTAGTAGTTAAAATAAGCCATGCAATAGTCATGCATATACGCGAAATGTATGGTTATAATCCATGAACTAATATTCATACAAAAACTGTATGGTTGAAATTATTATACACACACAAGCAATCCTTCACACTGTTATCGTTATTCAACATTAAATATTTGCCTACTAAATAAATTAGATGTCGGTTAGATGCAATGAATTTTACACATTGAATTCAGGAGTACAGGAATAAATGTTGGCAAAAAAGCTTAAATGATTTAATTTTATGAAGAAAGCTGAAATATAATATGGTTTATCGTAGCAGGGTAGACAGGGTTAAAAGGCTGAGTGATTTTAGTAAGATGGGGAATTTGTTTTTAATAAATTCTAACCACCACAAAAAAATATTTTCATAATAAAATACATCTAATCCAAAAAGCTGGATGATTTTAGTAAGATTTATATTTAATAAAAAATTAATAGCTGTTAATTCTAGTCACCACAAAAAAAAAGTTACTAAAAAATACCTCTGAAGGAGTTATTGGTTCAGATTCTTCCCTAGCAACCGAGTCGTCGGGCAAAAATTTGAATTCATCATTCAAATCAATGCTATTGATACTGATAGATTCGGCGTACCCCGGGGCTCGATCAGGATGGGAACGGTAGGCCGAGCCCGGGTACACACGGCGGTTACTGGCCTGATCTTTGCCATAACGTACAGATTTCCGCAAATAGAAATCCTCCGCATATTGAACAGTGCTTGTACTCTATAAACAATAAATAACAATTCTGAAATAACATGCAAGAAACTGAAAAAACTTAACACATAACACAGACCATATTAATAAAACAAAGGAAAGTACATGCAAGAGTTAACATTAAAACTGTTTGGACCCTTGTCACGCACAAAGAATACTTTTTTCTCTCTCACCAGAATGAAGAGTTTTTATAATATATCCCGAAATATTTTACTGAGATCCCAAGCAGTGATATGACATTATACTTTCCTCCTGATAAAAAACGGGAAGTGGTTTTTGATTTAATGGATGAAATAAAATAATAAAGAAATTTCTTGTATAGATCTTTTTCACTGAAACATGATATCTTTGAATCTCTGATTTTTAAAGAAAAAAGATGAAAACTTAGACCAGTTCCTTAAATTTTTCCAATTTTTGTTTGTAAGAAAAAAGTTTTCAAAACCAATTTAAAAACAAAAGTTGTAAAAGTAAAGACATAATTGAGATTCTTCTATATCCCACCCTATTTTTTGCAATTTGACAGATCTTGAGATTTTTTGGGAGTTTTGGATAATTTGGAATAATAGTTCAATGATCTTGAAGTATCGCTTGCAAGGCCATTACTTAACGACGATTAGTGTCCATATCGATAAAAAAGGTCAAATTTTGTTAATCTAACTCGTTATAAAAAGGTCTGCATGCAAAAAAAATCCATAAACAATCAGTTTAGTATTTTTTTTCATATTAGTGACTTCCTCCAATAAGGAAAAGGTCAAAGGTCATTTTAAACTCAATGACCATTAATTATGGGGTAGAGGGTAATTTATTTCCATGCCACAACTAAATTAAATTTTTAATATTTCTGTAACTTCATCCATATAGCCATTCATCATTCCATATTCGATTCTGTATTAATTTGGTCAGGATGCAATTATTTGTTTTCAAGGCAAAACAACTGGATTAGTTTCTCAAACACGTAAGTTGACTTTTTACCTTTTTCATTGCATCATCGAAATCGTCACCGTACTCGAGTTCGCTACTTTCCTCAGTGATGCGTGATTTGCCATCAGTTTGGGAGACAAAAGACGAATCATGGGACTTTCCCACTGACAAACGGTCGAGCGTTGAATATTCTCCCCCAAACACACTGTCGCCTCGCCCAGAAACGTCCTGGTGTGGGCGAAAAAATCAAATCATATTGTACTAACATCGACATGCAACAACATCAAAATATCAGAGATGGAGAAACTAGTGTGTAAAGTGACTTTGTCTTTAACACACAATCAAAATTACTTCAACAAAAAAAATCCATTTTTTTTCTTCTCCATCTCTGATTAGCGTCAACAAAATGGAATAATATTTCTGTGTTGATGATGAAAATTTGTGCATAAATATAAACAATTTGATATATAACATTTACAAGCAGACATCACAACAGACAGTGAAAAATTGAAATAAATTGACAACACAGACACAAGTATCAAAATAAACTGAAAAAAGAACAACACATATTTGAAAATTGAAATCAATTAGACATGAATACAAAAGTTAAGAAAATTCTTCATTTAAATCACTATCAATAGTTTTGTAACCTTTTTTATTCGTCCAACATTTTTATGGCAAAACGCTGTCAATAACAGAGCATCTCAAACTGGGAGAACGCTATCAAACTCCACTTACAGGACAAAGGGAGGTAACACAAAACAAAAACTTAAGGTGGCACATCACTAAATTTTTCTAATAATTTACCCTTTTTTAATTTCAACTTCTTTTTTCAGAAACAATGTTTCAACAATAAAATCATGCTTCAGTTGAAAGAAAAATAAATAAATAAGTGACAGATGCAAAAAAAAATTGTTCTAAATCCCAATCCCAATATAACAATGTTTTTATTGTAGAGTTGAACAAACACTATTTTTTTTTTTATATATTTAGTATCCATGGCAAGATCTTTCAACCTTATTAAGGCAGCATCTGTAAGGAGGATATCTATACTAAGTAGGAAACATTCTGATTGGTTAATTTAGTGATGTGTAACCAAGGGCCACCTGAAACACTATCAGGCATCGAACAGGACAAGGGGAGATCACTCTTTTTTTTTCAAAACCGAAAAAACACCACGATCCACCTGATACAAGTATTCATGGTCATGATTAAAATGTGTTATCTGAAAACAAAATGATGAAACCTGAATTTAAAATAATAAACAGGATGTAAACAATGTTGTAATGAGTGTCCCCAATGTCCTTTATATCACTTTGTGAGGGCATACTGTTGTATGATAGACTATTTTGTGAGGGCATACTGTTGTATGATAGAGTATTTTGTGAGGGCATACTGTTGTATGATAGACTATGTTGTGAGGCCAACCTGATGGTTGACAGACTTTGTCGTGAGGGCAAACTGATGTTTGACAGACTTTGTCGTGAGGTCATACTGTTGTATGACAGACTTTGTCGTGAGAGTAAACTGTTGTGTGATGGACTTTGTTGTGAGGGCAAACTGTTGTATGATATAATTTGTTGTGAGGACAAACTGTTGTATGATGGACTTTTGATGTGAGGGCATACTGATGTTTGACAAACTTTGTTGTCAGGGCAAACTTAAGTATGACAAAATATGTTGTGATGGTAAACTGTTGCATGAGAGACTATGTTGTAAGGGCAAACTATCGCACGATAGAAATTGTTATGAGGGTAATTGTTGTATTATAGAAACTGTTGTGGGGAGAAATATTGTATGACAGAACTTGTTAAGCTGGCAAGCCGTTGTATGATAGAAATTGTAGTGAGGGCAAAATGTTGTATGATGGAATTTGTCTGATGAGGGCTTATAAAATGTTGTTAAATGTTGCACCATTAGGAAATTAATTTCATGAACACAATGTGTATTACTGTGAAAACAGCATTGTGTTACCAAAACCATACACAATGTCATATGGAGATACAAAATCCTACCAATTGGAGGCTACATGTCTGTGCAAGAGCCGTATTTCCATTAAAAAAATGAAGTTTTATATGATTTCAAGTGAGGGCATATTTCTGTTGAATGACATTCAACATGATTTAATTCATGTGAGGGCATAATTGTGCTAAATGGGAGCTTAGCTCACATGATTTCCATGAAGGCCTTATTAAATGATATTGAACCTGACTATGTATGAGGGCATATTTTTATGAAAAGAGGTCATACATCATGTTTTGTGAGGTCACACTTTTGATAGTTAAGATCATACTATGTAATGTGAAGTCGTGATCAATTTCGGCCAAAATATTTCTGTGTGGGCATATACCAATATCTTATGTCATTCGAGGGCATTACGACAATGGACGAGGACATGATGATGAAATGACCAGATGATGTAACGTACCCGTCCGTGTGGTGATAGGGTGTCCCCGCTATAGTACCTCATCTCAGCCTCGTAATCGGGGCCTCGCTCTAAATAGGAGGGATACCTCATGGCTGAGCTTATCTCGCTCTTGATACGACGTCGCTGGTCCTCACTCATGGGGTGGCGCAGAATGTCCTACCGAAAGCAGATATCACAAAGACGAGCATAACAAGAGGATCAACCAAACACATCGACACAGAAAATCAGAAATCAAAAAGGGTACTGGCTATCAAAAATCACCATTTTGGAAAAAAGTACAACTCGTTGATAACAATTTTAAGATTTTGTGTTTTGTTTTCAAATTTTCAGTTAATTGCAGGATTTGTTATACTGTTTTCATATGCAATTTTGTTTCTGAAGTTACTTTTGATTATTTCATTATGACCTGTCTAAAGCAAGACCTGAATAATCCAAAAACTTGTGTAAACAGAACTTTTAGTTTTAACTTGCCTAAACGGAACTTTAAGTAATACAAAATTTGTGTAAAACACACTTTCAGCATAATCCTGCAAACACTAAACCCAGAGTTATTAATTTAGAAACCCTATATGAAAATAATTTTTAAATTTAACCTGTCAAATCTGAACCCTGAATAATCCAGAACTTGTGTAAAACACACTTTCAGTAGTAACTTGTATAACCAGAACATTGAATTATCAAAAATCTGTATAAAATATACTTCAGCATTAACCTGTGTAAACAGAATCCTGAATGATCCGGAAACTTGTGTGAACCTTTCCTTCAGCTATTTAGCAGTATAAATCTCATGTTAATTGAACCTGTATAATGTGAAGACCTGTGTATTCCGAACAACCCATTTAGTATCCGTTGGTTTGGTTTCTACAGGTTTCACTGTACATATTTCAGTGTGATTTAATTTTCCAAGATGGTGATATTTTTGCCAGAGAAACAAAATGATACATGCACACAATCTCAATTCCGTGCCACAAAACTGCTGACGACACTGGCAAAAAAAAGACGGACGCTGACAATGAACTGTTTTTCAAATTAAAATGAATAACACAAAAGTGCAGTTATGCAGTGAATGATAAGATAAATCAACTAACAGAAACAAACAAAAAAGAAACAAAAAAGGAAAAAATCAAAAAAACAGAAAAAATTCAAAATTAAATAAAACCTGGCTGCTTAAATCAAACAAAACTAAAACGCGATCTGTGTTTTGAGAAACTAAAATGATTGGATGTTAAATAGATGTACATGCTTTTCTAAAACCTTTCTTTAAAACAGGAAAAAAAATTCGTAAAATATTTCTCATATTGAAAAAAACTTCAACAACATATAGTTAACAAGTATACACATAACAGTAATTATGAAAATGACATTCTAAATATTAATTTGCATATTTGATGAAAAGAAATTAATATATTTAAGTATAAACAATGTATAATGCGTCGTACAATGTCTTCATACAGGGGCATTTGAAATGTTACGATTCAGAAACGTAAGACGAGCAAAGATGATTGAACTACAATAGACAGAAACGGCAAATTTAGACTCCGTTCCCTCACTATACTTGAAACAATAACAAAGTTGTTAAGTTAACTCATTCACCCCTGAAATTATATAATGAACTATTCCATCCTTTGAATTGGAAGAGTTCAAATGTGTTTTCAGGGGTGAATGAGTTAAGAGGCCTCACTCTTTACCTAAATATTTTTTGTATAGCCTACATACACAGCACAGAAGTATTCTTAGATATGTTCTACTTTTGAACATTCATGTACACTTCATTACGGAAACTTAGACGTAATCACGGAGTCTGCCTGTGCAAGGCATGTATGTATAATTAGTGCCATTCTTTGCCAAACCAGGTTCATAATGAAGTAAGTTTCAGCAAATGTTTATTGCATTGCTATGCTACTTAGAAGAAACAAGATGATGAATGAATATGACCCTTTCTGCTCTTGACATTTTTTCCGCTACCCATAAACAAACATCAGACCTCAGAGCCCAGGCCTTGCTAGAAATGCAACGCTTTCTTTCATATTTCTTTGAGCCAATAGATTTCCCTTTCAACAAGAATCTATCATCTTTTTCTATCAAGATTTTCTGTGGGGTTTTTTTCCCTCTGCCTAATGAAGACGAACAAGTATTGTAACCTTTCAATGCCCCTGTGTGTAACTTATGCTGAAAAGCAACCAACAATACAAAGCAGGTTTTAATTCCACAAACAAAATTCATACAAATAATACAAATCTTGTAACACTTCCAGCACTTCAAGCAAATATCATACAAAAACTTTCGGAAGGAACAACAGCCACTCCATATGAACACACAACACCCACAACATGAGCTGACGATTTATGTCGCCACAACTGTCATGGCCAACATATCACCATGGCAACCAAACCGTCACTACCTACATTTTACCATGATATCCAAACTACTGTACCTAATAATTTTTGTCCATGGCAAGTTGTCACTTACTAACTTGTCATAGTTGATAGTTTACCATGACAGGAAAACTGCTATTGCCTATAATTAGTGTTTTGTTTGATGTTTAAGTGTCAACCAGATTTCCTATTATTGGGGAATATGCCTGTTTTGTTTCAGGGAAATGATTGGATCGGCTGTTGAAGAAATTAAGTTATTATCATTTTTTCTTCTTTTTGGTTTTATGCGTTTTTAAAATTATAGATATGCATGCCTGATCATTTCTATTAATCTTAAATCTTCTTTAAAGTACTATGTAAAACAATTTGTTCCTTCATGTATATGCATTCTCCGATGTTTGGATTAAGAAAAACCTGATGTTGGTTTTGATTTGTGTAAGACATAGATGGTATTCATGTGTAGCTCCCCATGTTTTTAATCAAGTTCTTAATGAAAACAATCCTAACTTTTGTTCAGCTGCAGAAATGTGAACCAGATCTTCGGCAGTTATTGATAGTACGTGGAGCAGCAAGGCTAAATAATGGACTGCTTTTATAAGTAAGTTTGATTGGCCAAGTGTTTATATTAAGGATCCCTGTCCCACTGCACTGTGTATATCCTGTATACATGAGTAACCTCCCCTTAACTTCCTTTTGGATATAACTGGAGCACCGTTTGGCTCGGACATTTCCATTGACCAGGTAGCTCTATCGCTTACAGCAATAGCATTACAATCTGAAGTCCTGGGTTTGAATCCCAGTCTAGCCCAACTTAATTTTTACACTCTGAACACTGTTGTTAATTATATTCTGTTTAGTTCATCTTTTATTATCTCTCATAAGAGTCCAGCAAGGTATGGTATTCTTTTCATTAATGATTTATTTACCAAAGGTATAGACCTGCCAGAAAAAACGGTTTCCAGTACTTAGTAACTGTTTGTGGCAGTGGTACCTGGGATCCTTAAGTAGACATCGACTATGGAACTGATATAAAATATGTTATGAGAATAAGTTGTTTGTAATTCTTGAAGGTCGGTTGTCAATTCTTGCTTCAAATTTTTAACCTCATTCAAAATGGCCACCAAATTGTAGATTTGTGTAAATTTTATCACATTCTTTGGTTTTTATTGTGAATATCACTGGTTCATATATACATTAGCTCTTTGGTAGCTAAAGACAATTCATTTTCAAATATTCTTGTAGTAATGTGTTCCCAAACCTGTGCATGATAATGTTGATGAATATTTTCTTTATTATTTTTGATATATAGAACAACAAATCATTAAGCAATGTTGTATTAATGTTTGTATATGATATATATATATAGCCTGAAGAATCTCCTTGATGAGATGAAAGCGCTAAACGTGTTCTTAAGATTTTTTCATTTTGGATTATTTCTTTGTCTGTAAGGATCAATTTACTGCTGTTATTATATATATATATATATAGCAGGCCAAGTGAATGGTTACATAAATTCCTGCATAGTTGTAGGCCAACATGGGATACGAACCGAAAAACTTACATCTGAATCTGACCTGGACATTTAAGGCCATGTAGCAAAAAATTATATTTCTATCCTAAATATGACAACGAAAAATTAAATATTTTTTTGTATCACATTTCTACTCTACGCTGACTGCTGTTATAGAGTTAGATACTGATCGACATACAACACCTCTACAATCAAAACATCAACTATCTCCTCCTACTTAAATCCAATGGGAAATGATCTACAACCATGCAATCACAATACTAATGGTGCACTTTTAAGCTTAAAATGAAAAAAAAATTGAAAAAATAAGATAAGTCACATGATATCTGCTTGGACATGACGGGTCCCGGACTTAATTTTTTGTCCCCTCAAAGGGTTGACGTGGTTGGCCTCCGTATGTGGCAGAAATTATTCGAGGAGTCAGTGCATTTCATGAAATTGAGAAATGCAGTCGAGGTAACCAGGGAAAGGTGAAAGTGTTACCTAAGGTAAGTCATTGACATGTTGCCTTGGTAACCTAAAAATAATAACATGTTCTGTCGCCAAGGAAACCTCTGAAAGTGTATGCAATGGACATGTTGTTTTGAGGGCGATGAGGACAGTTCATGATGCTGAAAAATGACGACTCACTTGCACAACCGCACTATGACCCACACACATAAAACAAAAATGAAACTGTTTCCACAAAACTTGCACAAACAGAGCACAGACTGTGTCAGACTCCATTTTTAACCCTGTGTATGTTGCAGCATTTCCTGGGAAAAAAGAGTGCTATAAGGGAGGTAACTACCTCATTCCTCCTATTCAAGAGAAGCAAAAGGGTCTCCCTATTAAAAAGGGGGGATAACCATATTTTTCTCCCGTCATAGTGGAGGTTTTTACCTAAAATAAGGGAGACAACTCTCTTACACATAAAAGAGAGATGCCTATCTTCTATACCTACCAAAGGGACATAACTGCATGTCACCTTCCACAAGGGATTGTATTCCCAAATTTAATGAAAGAAATACTTGATAAAAGGAAAGAATCGAGCTGACCGGTCTTGCTGCAACATAGACAGGCCGTTTTGTTTGTGACCTACCTTTTCGTACGAAGTGTCCAGTGGTGAGGAGCTCTCGCCTCGCTCCAGGGAGATGCTGTCCTCACCTGTCAACATAACAACTCTTCTAAACACTGGACATTGGTCACTTTTAACAATTTTTCATCATATCAAATACATGCATATACATCATATGATTTTTCATTTTAGGTCAGCATTTCAAAAAACATATATGACAAGCAATTATGAAACCAAAAAACTATCTCGATCTGTAAAATATTCTTAAATTTCTATACAGTGTATTGTCAAAAATAATTCAGTACCAGGTACATTAATGAAATGTTGGTTCTTCAACATTCCCCTGTAATGTTTTTCTGAAAAATAATCACTTGCAAATGTGACCTTGACTTTCAAGCTAGAAGGTCAAGATCACAAATCTATATAAAATGTCGATTAACTATATCAATTTGAACTTCATGACCTAAGGTTACCAAAAACAACCAATTAAGAATAATTTATACAACCAATAGATACTTTATTGGGCTAAATGCCTATTTGCACTTTCCGGAAAACAAATACAAATAATGGTTTTCTGCTCTTTAACTCATTAACCCTTGAAGACACATTTGAACTCTTCCAATTCAAAGATTGGAACAGTTCATTATGAAATTTCAGGGGTGAATGAGATTAACTTGAAAATCTAACATTTATTTGCCACAGAAAACTTCTAAATATAAATTCACCAAAAGTTATCTAAGACTGAGTAAATTGACAAGTAAACAAAAATAAACATATATATGCATAAAATATGCAGTGAAAAAGTGAATTTTACGAATAAATGTGAAATTATATACGACATTTCAACATGGAACAATAAATACTGCAAATAATATATTATTCACAAAAATAAATAAATTCCGCTGACAGTTTGAGTTAAGGCATATTATGATATATATACGTTTCTGTTCATTTCATAAATTCAAAACTTTGTAACAAAGTATTTTGAAGCAAAACCTTCAAAACTTTATGAACAAGTACTTTGAAGCAAATCTTAAAAACTGTATAAAGATGTCTGAAGCAAAGTCTTCAAAACATTATGAAAAAGGTAACTTGAGGTAGTCTGCAAAATAAGTCATCATAAAAATTAAGTGTTCTGCAGTATACAAGACATATGGCCGTTTAGGTGGTAAACAAGTCTACAGAGTATATAGATACATATATAGAATCATCTTATATGCAAAACAGGCTACTTCCAGGCTGAGCTATACTAGGGTAAAAAAAAAACGTCTGGAAATCTTCGTGCCTATAGTTTTCCCTATTATTTATGCTAATTAATAACAAAACAGAATACGTCAACCAATATCACACAAATTGAATTAGCGAAGAAGAAAATCCCTTTCCAAATGACAAGAACTTTTAAAACCACATCACGAAAAATAAAAAGCAATAGAAAAGAAATTTGAAAAAATAATTGAATGTTTCCTCGCAAAAAGTATTGTTTTAAAGCAATATTTATTCCGGTGGTTGCATGAGCAAAAAAACCTATATTTTTTAGAGATAAAACATGTTTTTTTTTACCTTTTTTTTGGTCATGAGCTAATTTACTCTTCCCCGTACATGACCAACAAATCATGGTGAAATCGTAAATTCCAAGAAACTTTTTTTTCTGGGTTTTATTTAACTTTGAAGTCAACACACCCAGTAGAGCACAATAAATCCCTCCATGGAATCGCTCACGGCCTCCACATGTGCACACACATAACAACAGCCCAGAGTACACAAGCCTTACTCTAGAGTATACACATTTACTTAATAGTAAAATATCGAAAATAAATTAATGCTGCACTTCTGGTAAAGCATTTAGGCAAGAGTCTAAACGGCTCTTTTGTGTCCCTCCCCTAAACCACCATGAACCCCCTACACTAGCTCCAGTCCCGAACAGCAGCTGTAGTAGCAACAAGCAGTGTTATGATTAGTGGATTCCTGCAGTCCAGTGCTGACTGGTCTGCGGAACTCATTTCATGTTTTCTTATTTATTTTCAGGATGAAGCATCATCTTCAGTCAGCCAGCTATCTGTAACATTTATTGTTTGGGCCGTTACTATTACTACTACCACTACCGAGAGCCCGGGCCGAGCTCAGAAATAGTGCGTTCTGTCTGTTCAGCATCTCCAAAACACCCACTTTCGCGAGCTTCTTCATAATTTGTTATGACGTAAATCTCTCGGCTTGTTTACATGTTGATGAAGCATTTTGTTTTTTGTGTCTATTTCCAAATTCTCACGTCTAAATGAAGACATCTCGTTGTGTTCCCCATTAAATTTTCATTGGCACGTTGCCTGATTGCAAACATCCTTGTACCACTAATGATGTGAAGTTTGAATATTTTTTTTTTTTATAAAAAGTTTAGATTACCAATAAAATTTTGTGGAAAAGAAACAATGTGTTACCTAAATTTTTATAATATTTATCTCCAGATTCAAAAACATTTTTAAATCACTGTAAAAAGAAAACGGAATTTTTTAATTTTAACTTTAAAACTTTTGAGACAAACACTGCATTGAGATAAACAATAACTCAATCGACCGATAATTTGGACAATCAAACTATAGAGTGAATTTTCTCCCTTTATTAAAACTTTTTCCAAGCCTGTTTAACCAACTCACCCCTGAAATTTCATAATGAACTATTCCAACCTTTGAATTGGAAGAGTTCAAATGTGTCTTCAGGGGGTGAATGAGTTAAACATTTTCTAAATCCTTGAAAGGCTAAAAAATGAAAATAATATTGTCCAAAATATAAAGATTTGAAAAGACTAGACAATGCAGGGTTTCAGATATATATCTATAAGGCGATAAACCTGAGAATAAGTCAACATTTATATTTCAAATTTCAAATTTTACCCGATAATTATATTTTGGCAAATCAGATCAATTGATCAGTGGGAAAAATTAGCAAGGGGGAAAACACCATGCAATGAACCAAAATGACGAACAAACATTTTTAAAAATGTTTTCAAGAATGTGAATGATAAGGATTTTTGAAGGTATAATGGTATTTCATTCTGAAGCAGCTCAAGTGGCAGGCTAGGTAGCACATAACAGCATCGGGAATTCTAGCTCTAGCCAGGATTTGATGAGGGGGTGAAGTTTTTTATCTTATCTTTACCGTCTTTAAGCCGATATCTGTGATAATCTACAAGGATAATTTGTCTCAGCCACGGTGATCCAGATAAAACGTGAGCCGCAAAAATAAAAAGGTAGATAACCAAATGTAAATATATATTTATGTATATGACCCTCCGGTTGTTCTAAATTGTGGCAGTTCAGTTTTGTTTATATAAAAAACTACTTCCGTCTTTGAAAATCTATTTGATCTACTGTATTTATCCTGCAATAAGCCGAGGGGGAGGAGCTACCATAATACAACCGGACACAACGTATGGGTTGTTTTTGTTTTGTTTTACAGGACAAAAAACAATGATCTGTTTGCATTTCTACTTAAATGTGATAGATATAGGTGGGCTTATTACCAGGCATGAGCTTATTGTCGAATAAATACAGTATTTTTTTGACAATTGATTATAAAATGATAGTTTTATTATGAAACTTTTTCATGTCCTACCCTTTAGGACAAAAATAGTAAATAAAAAAATCACTCTTTCTCTTGTGAAGGAGTGCAATTTATGGTCTTTGAGAAAGTTTAAATGTTTCGGCTCAAAATAGTACATACAAGAAAATCACGACCTTTAACCCCAGCCCATCAACCTCTACCCTCTACCATCTTGCAGCTGGTCGTTACCCTGGCAACAACAACCTTGCTCAACCATAAGTTCAACCCCTTGCTCCCTCTATGTGCCTCACCCTCTACACCCTCCCCTAATCTTATCTCTAACCCCTTGCCCCTGTATAATTTTGCCCTCAGCTTACCTCTTCCAGACCCCCATTATTCCTGTATCAATTGTACCCTTGCCTAGTCTTATCTAGACCCCTCTTGTCCCAGTATCAGACTCACCCTCATCTCAACCCTTGATCCTGTATACACTTTCCCTCACCTAACCTCTTCCAGACCCCCCTCATCTCAACCCTTGATCCTGTATAAACTTTGCCCTCACCTAACCTCTTCCAGACCCCCCTCATCTTAACCCTTGATCCTGTATAAACTTTGCCCTCACCTAACCTCTTCCAGACCCCCTTCATCTCAACCCTTGCTCCTGAATCAACTCTACCCTCACATTACATCATCTAGACCCCCTCCTCACCCTTGCCCCATTATCAACTTTTCCCTCTTGGAACCTTCAAAAGAAATCAACCACTAAAGCAACAATCACCATTAATACAGTCAAGCTACAATTTAACATGATTCAAGTCCATATTGTCTCTGTTTAAACTTTACCCCCCTCTAACCTCATCTAGAACACCTTGCCCCTGTATAAACGTTACTCTCGCCTAGTTTGATCTAGACCACCTTGCCCCTGTATAAACGTTACTCTCGTCTAGTTTCATCTAGACCACCTTGCCCCTGTATAAACGTTACTCTCGCCTAGTTTCATCTAGATCCCTCTTACCCCTGTATAAACTTTACCCCCCTCTAACCTCATCTAGAACACCTTGCCCCTGTATAAACTTTAGCCCCTCTAACCTCATCTAGATCACCTTGCCCCTGTATCAACTTTACCCCCTCTAACCTCATCTAGAACACCTTGCCCTTGTATCAACGTTACTCTCGCCTAGTTTCATCTAGACACCTTGCCTCCACCTTGCCTCCACAGTGTAAGCCCAGCCCCTGGGTTGTAGCTCCATGCTGTTAGTTTGGTCTATGATGATGGGTTTGAGTAGATATATACAGATATATGTGTTTGTACATGCTCTGCAGGTTAAACTTTTTTATCTTATCTGACCATCTGAAAAAATATTCCAAGTGCCAAATGCCTATCAGCCTCTTCATTAGTTAAAAATTACTGTCTTACTAATATTTTCCGCTATTTTATGTTCCACCGATGGAAAGCTATTTAAACGCAAAAAAGGTTGGTGTTCTATTGTCTAAAATACTCTTTATAAATAGACTTGAATAGGTTGAACCTCTATATAAAAATAAACCTATATAATAGCAAAACATTTATGTCGAAGCAGAGGCTTGAAGCTTTGTGCTGGATCAAAAATATTTATAGCATATTTTCTGAAAATGCAATGACAAAATCTAATTTTAATTACTGAAACAGTTTAAATTTAATTTGAAAAAAAAAAAAAATAGAATTTAATAAAAAGTTAATTTATTGACTAAATTGGTCCGTTCATGGTATAACATGACTGTGGTGATCAGGTTAGATATAAGGAACATGCATCGGCAGGCTGGTGTTGACCAGTGGTCAAAACTGACCACGTAATGGTCAAACTGGTCATACACCAGTCAATATAGCACAGGTGCAGCAAGTTGTTTTTTTACCTGACATGAAACTGTGGTTTCCTAAAAGAAAATTATTACAAGGAATTTACAACACAACACTGCTACAATGTGAACGCCTCATAGCTGGTGCAGCTCATTCCGGCACTTACACAGCACGCTAACATAGGCTAGTATATATACATACACACTTACGAATACATCAAGAACAAAATCAACAGAATATGAAATAGACATGATGGAAATAAAAACAGAACATATTGTGAGTCATCGACACTGGAAATAAACGTAGTTATAATAACTGCCAAGACATTAGATGCAGGCGATAGTCCCGAATCCATTAACAGGTGGGCTATACCGAGTTCTGGCTTCTAATAAACGGGGCACGTGTCGTCGGCATGTGTATTTCACACCTAGATGGGTTATAAGGAATACGGTGAAATAAAAAATCATTACTTGGTAATAAACTCTTCGAGAAACTATAACGTCGGCAAATCTCGTTGAATATATGCATGTCATGTATAAATGCTGTATTACATTTGATGTCTTAGATTTTGACATCACTGAATTTGACATCGGGCTCTCATATATATATCTATTGACATCTGTTGGGTTTTACTAATTTAATTTTACATTTTTCTATTTTTCTATTAAATATGAAAGAGAAAATATCAAAAAGTCATATTATCATTTTTTTTGATATTTTTTCACCCCTAAAGTCACATCTGAATTTCACCGAATCAAAGACTGGGCAGGTCCAGTTTAAACATGTAGGAATGAACGACTTAATCAATATTAGTGTTCTCTTCCAAGTATATCTATCTCCAATATATATATTTTTTGCGCCTTTTTTCAAAACTGGTGACCCCAAACATTAATTTCTACTTTCTGTTGTTATCCTCCATCTTTGTTTTATATTCATTGACCTTGACCTTAAGATTTTAACCTTGACAACTAACCACTAGATTCTTCTGTTTTAAACAACATTCCAGGACGATCTAACAAGCCATACACTAAATGTCATAACTGTAAGTAAAGCGTGGCTACGGAAACTGAGACCATGGTGATGTCACAAAAAAACGTGAAAAAAAAGTTTTTTTAGGTGATCACGAAAAGAAAAATCACAAGTGAAAAGACAAACTTAAAGGTGACCATCTAAAAACTCAGACGAAGTCATTAATAAAAACGAAAAATGGAACCAATCATGCGATTAAATGAGTTACGATTGTTCGATCAGGCAGATCCATCAGCAATGGACATTTAGTAATGACCTGATGCTGCCAAACTTACGAGAACGTATTTTGCTTCCTTCATAGTATGGGAGATAGACGTGAGTTTCAGAGAGAGGCTTTCCAAACAAGGGTGATTGTGGCAAAAAGTCATCTCCTGATCCGGTAAGCAGCGATAAGAGAAATTCAAAATGCATGTTCATGAAAACAATTGTAAAATATACTTTAAAAAAGAAAAAAGAAAAAAAAACAGCAGTTGAAATGTACAATCTATCTAGGAATGAAGGCAAAATTTGTTGATGAATGTGATAAGTACAGACACGGTATAGTAACGGAATTCAAACAAAACGGGGCTACAAACGAGTACATAATGTACTCATACCATTTCAAGGTCAACAAACATGACTCTGACCTTGACCTCAAAACAAGGTCAGGAACAAATAAAACGAATATTTTTCAGTAAACTAAAATTCAGCACTCATAATGTTATGTATTTGATATGTAGGATAAAACGACTGAAGGTAAAAATAAATAAAAAAATATATATATAAAAAATTCATCATAAAAAAGAGAAAATAAATTATTACAGAAAATGGGATATCTTTATACCTCCAATAAAATAGGAAGGAAATTTTTTAGGATGCTTGATATATTCTTTATATGGAAGGTGGGATAAGTTGTACTGAAATCTATATCATAATACCTGTATCCCTTGGACAACAAATAGGGTATATTTTGAATGGTACATGTAATATGTTTAATACGTTCATAAATGTAAATAAAATATTGTATCCAAGCTATATTGGGTGGAATTCCTTCTAATATATGATATGTTCCCAGAATAATAAGGGTAAAATATACAATTTAGTGCTTTAATTTCCAAGTTTGGAACTTACAGCAATTTTTTTAAATTTTTTAAATTTTAGATCAATCATATTGAATGATCTATCACAATGTTTGGAGCTTCCTTACAGCTCAAAATTATCATTAAATTAGTCAAAACGTTAATTTATAAAAACAATTTTCCACATTTTATCGTGATATTGAAACAAAAGCACTATGTTGAAGTGAAAAAGTTTTAAGGGATACCAAATTCCCAGAATACCTTTGGGGTATAACTCTTTATATCGAGGGTGATCTTGGAGTGAATCTGAAATATGACATTAAGTGTGGACTGAAATATGACATCAAATGTGTACTGAAATATGACGTTAGGTGTGGACTGAAATATGAGGTTAGGTGTGTACTGAAATAGGACGTTAGGTGCGGACGGAAATATGAGGTTAGGTGTGTACTGAAATATGATGTTAAGTGTGGACTGAAATATGAAATTAGGTGTGGACTGAAATATGACGTTAGGTGCGGACTGAAAAATGACGTTAGGTGTAGACTGAATTATGGTGTTAGGTGTGGACTGAAATATGACGTTAGGTGCGGACTGAAAAATGACCTTAGGTGTAGACTGAATTATGGTGTTAGGTGTGGACTGAAATATGACGTTAGGTGCGGACTGAAATATGACATTAGGTGTGGACTGAAATATGGGGTTAAGTGTGGACTGAAATATGGTGTTAAGTGTGGACTGAAATATGATGTTAGGTGTGGACTGAAATATGACGTTAGGTGCGGACTGAAATATGACATTAGGTGTGGACTGAATTATGACATTAGGTGTGGGCTGAAATATGGTGTTAAGTGTGGACTGAAATATGGTGTTAAGTGTGGACTGAAATATGGTGTTAAGTGTGGACTGAAATATGATGTTAGGTGTGGACTGAAATATGATGTTAGGTGTGTACTGAAATATGATGTTAGGTGTGTACTGAAATATGAGGTTAGGTGTGGACTGAAATATGATGGTAGGTGTGTACTGAAATATGAGGTTAGGTGTGGACTGAAATATGACGTTAGGTGTGGACCGAAATATGACATTAGGTGTGGACTGAAATATGGTATTAAGTGTGGACTGAAATATGACATTAGGTGTGGACTGAAATATTACATTAGGTGTGGACTGAAATATGACATTAGGGGTGGACTGAAATATGATGTTAGGTGTGGACTGAAATATGACATTAGGTGTGCACTGAATTATGACATTAGGTGTGGACTGAAAAATTACATTAGGTGTGGACTGAAATATGGTGTTAAGTGTGGACTGAAATATGGTGTTAAGTGTGGACTGAAATATGGTGTTAAGTGTGGACTGAAATATGACATTAGGTGTGGAATGAAATATGACATTAGGTGTGGACTGAAATATGGGGTTAGGTGTGGACTGAAATATGATGTTAGGTGTGTACTGAAATATGATGTTAGGTGTGTACTGAAATATGATGTTAGGTGTGTACTGAAATATGAGGTTAGGTGTGGACTGAAATATGATGTTAGGTGGGGACTGAAATATGGTGTTAAGTGTGGACTGAAATATGGTGTTAAGTGTGGACTGAAATATGATGTTAGGTGTGGACTGAAATATGGTGTTAAGTGTGGACTGAAATATGATGTTAGGTGTGGACTGAAATATGACATTGGGTGTGGACTGAAATATGACGTTAGGTGTGGACTGAATTATGACATTAGGTGTGGACTGAAAAATTACATTAGGTGTGGACTGAAATATGGTGTTAAGTGTGGACTGAAATATGACGTTAGGTGTGTACTGAAATATGACGTTAGGGGTGGACTGAAATATGACATTAGGTGTGGACTGAAAAATGACGTTAGGTGTAGACTGAATTATGGTGTTAGGTGTGGACTGAAATATGACGTTAGGTGCGGACTGAAAAATGACGTTAGGTGTAGACTGAATTATGGTGTTAGGTGTGGACTGAAATATGACGTTAGGTGTGTACTGAAATATGACATTAGGTGTGGACTGAATTATGACATTAGGTGTGGACTGAAATATGGTGTTAAGTGTGGACTGAAATATGATGTTAGGTGTGGACTGAAATATGGGGTTAAGTGTGGACTGAAATATGATGTTAGGTGTGGACTGAAATATGGTGTTAAGTGTGGACTGAAATATGATGTTAGGTGTGGACTGAAATATGAAATTAGGTGTGGACTGAAATATGACGTTAGGTGCGGACTGAAATATGAGGTTAGGTGAGGACTGAAATATGACGTTAGGTGTGGACTGAAATATTACATTAGGTGTGGACTGAAATATGACATTAGGGGTGGACTGAAATATGATGTTAGGTGTGGACTGAAATATGATGTTAGGTGGGGACTGAAATATGGTGTTAAGTGTGGACTGAAATATGGTGTTAAGTGTGGACTGAAATATGATGTTAGGTGTGGACTGAAATATGAAATTAGGTGTGGACTGAAATATGACGTTAGGTGCGGACTGAAAAATGACCTTAGGTGTAGACTGAATTATGGTGTTAGGTGTGGACTGAAATATGACGTTAGGTGCGGACTGAAATATGAGGTTAGGTGTGGACTGAAATATGACGTTAGGTGCGGACTGAAATATGAGGTTAGGTGAGGACTGAAATATGACGTTAGGTGTGGACTGAATTATGACATTAGGTGTGGACTGAAAAATTACATTAGGTGTGGACTGAAATATGACATTAGGGGTGGACTGAAATATGGTGTTAAGTGTGGACTGAAATATGACATTAGGTGTGGACTGAAATATGATGTTAGGTGTGGACTGAAATATGACGTTAGGTGCGGACTGAAAAATGACCTTAGGTGTAGACTGAATTATGGTGTTAGGTGTGGACTGAAATATGACATCCGGTTTAGACTGAAATATTACATTAGGTGTGAACTGAAATATGACGTTAGGTTTAGCCTGAAATATGACGTTAGGTGTGGACTGAAACATGACATTAGGTGTGGACTGAAATATGACATCAGGTTTAGCCTGAAGTATGACATTAGGTTTAGCCTGAAATATGACATTAGGTTTAGCCTGAAATATGACTTTAGATGTGGACTGATATATGAATTCAGGAACAGAATGGTTATATTCAGAGTGATTTACATTCAGTTAAAACTCTAAAAGAAGCAGATGGTGGAAAAAACGTTAACTTCAATCGCGACACTCCAGGAAACGTTTCCTTTGATTAAAACAATTACTAAGAATGATGTTGCAACATTGACATTATTTACAAACCAGTGAAACTATCCTTTAATCAATAGCCTCTAAAATAGATTCCACCAAATCTTGTTTTACATATGTTGTAATTTTACACTATTTCTTCAAATTTTATCAAGCACCTGGTTTGGAATTTCGTTTTTCTTTCCACCATAAAATCAATTATCCTTATGATGTTGAGATATATATCACATTTCAATATACAAATTTATTCTTTTTTTAAAAAAATAATTTGGAACCTTACAGAAACCGTGAATATTTGACCTGACAAACTTGAAGAACTACAGGTCTCGAAGGGAAAAAAATGCAAACATACACAACTTAACAACACTTTATCTTCGGCAGGGCAATTAACTTTTTAATTAACAAACATGAAAGGCTCTCGTTAGCTATGTACACTACAATGTTGTGCAGACTCCGTCTTTTCTCACATGCTCTGAATTAAGACCCTACATTGGGATTATGCATGTTGCCTAGCGCAAACCAGGGCTGCAGTAGAGTAGTGAGTTGATTTAAGCTGCATAACTCACATACCGAACTACCAGTTTGCAGCTAGGTTTAAAAAAAATCTCTTATTATTAAATAAACATGTGGAACATGTATTGTCAATAATTAAGCAACATTGTTATGACTTTTGCTAATAAAATCTAACATTTTGTTTTTCACAATTTGTTTTTTGTTTTTTTTGTTTTCCAACTATTTCTGATAACATGATAGTTCTTTTTCCTGATACAGTATACATGTATAATGGAATAATGCAAATCCTTTGTATATTGAATATTAAAATAATATAATTTTCCAGATATATCAGATATAGACATGCTAGTTTAAATTAAAATTATTATGACTGGAATATATGAAAATTTCCAGATAGACGTTAATTAACATAGATAAGTAGAAAATGATCTATTATAAATAAAATTTAAGTTTCTTTTCTGGGTTTTTTTAAAAATTCATCTGTACAAAAATATAATATTATTCTATATTTACAAACCTTAACTCACCATCAGAACCAAGTATATCTGTATTATTGACACAAAAAATCTATAATATATCTGAAAACTTTATGTATGTGATTTTGAGTTGACTCCCCTTACACCGGGTCATTTTTAATATCACAAACATATAATGTGCAGTGTCAATATTGTGAACAAAACTCACTTAACTCAGGACTTCACAAAGGTTAGTTACAAATTCAATCACCTATTAAGTCTCAACGCCAAACAAAACCTGATTCGCTATTTGACTGTCTAAATCATTACCAAAATTACCCATACTACTTAATAAACATTATATCACAAAAATTTTAAATCTTTCAAAATAGTGTTTAAAATATTAAATTGAAGACATTATTTTTCCATCGTAGTATTTGGGTGTCACATGTTTTCAGATATGACTTTAAAATTCTTTCATATTAATTCAACTTGTATAAGAAAGAAAGAAAATCCAATTGAAAATTTGCATTATCTTGGTCGTCGAATTTCACAGGACCAGTTGTCAAAAAGTCAAAAACATAGTTCTGTTCACTATTGTTATCAATCAATAATAAATTAATAAACAACAAGAAACGGACATGATAGATATTTTGTTTTCAAATGAAAAAGATTTTTTTTTAACAAAATAAGAAAGTAAGCCTCATAAATTTCTGACTTCTTTTTACATTGAACAAAGGGTAGCAGCCACTTGAATATGGATGTTTATGAAACATTTGAAAGAATGATGGATTTCAGCATTTATCTGACACCAATGCAATGAATGAAAAAGCAGACTAGCCAATGGGAATCAGTGAATTGCCATGTGAATGCAGTTCAAATAGCCAATTAGATCAGTGAATTTGGCTAGCTAGCCAACCACATCACACAAGGCACCGCACTTCTTGCCTCAAATACACTTCTCACCGAGCGAACTGAAGCGAATGTTGGCCTCGTCGAGTGAGTCGTACTGTATCCAGCGTGAATACCTAAAGTTGTTACTATACCAACTGTTTCCGCTGTTGCGCGTCGTGCCTAAAGTTTCATTTCCATAAACATTTAAATAAATTACACCCTTTAATAAAGTTTACAAATTCCTATGATACATTGATGTCTATCAAACTGTTTTTTATAGCAATGAAATGAACATCTACTCAAAAATTTACCGGCATATTTTTTTCTTTATCTTGTATAAAACATTTTCTATATCTTCCAAAACAATCTGACAATATATATTTTCTTTTATTGTACACTTAAGCTATGGTCAAAACGAAAAATAACTTAATTATTAACAGACATGATACATGAAAAGAACATAGAATTTTCAATCATATTTAAACAAATTGCAATTAATTACCATACTTTGTGAAAAATAGATATATCCTAACAAATCCATTTAATCAATCCCAAAAAATAGATTTTAAATTTATTTATATTTCAATGCCTACAAATCCGGTTTTGGCAGCAAAAAAATAAATGTTTTGTTCTTGAACGAAGAACACATATTTTTGACAACCATTTTCAGCCAATATCACCATGTTTGTGTATTGATTATGGATGACATCACCATAACAACTAAATACACATGCGATACAAACATTGTTATTTTCTAAACAAATTAACTCATTAACCTCTGAAATTTCATAATGAACTATACCAACCTTTGAATTGGAAGAGTTCAAATGTGTCTTCAGGGGTGAATGAGGTAAAAATACAATAGGATCAATTTATGTAAAATTTTGAACAATAAAATTTGTTTTGGCTCACCTCCTTCATCTTCTGAGTCTGATAACAGTGTATCTTGCATGGTTTCCGGGGAAACGACCTTGTATTTGTCCTCCGAAGCCGGCACAGTTTCTGTTACCTCGGTGACGGAGCTTAGTGTGTCGACAACAGAAAGATACCCTAGGCGTTGGGCGATGGACAAAGCCGTTTGGTGATTCTATGAAATGAAAAAATAAACATGATGTTTAAACGATTTATACATAAAACGTTATTGAAACATAAGAAAAGGAATTTCTACACAAATATATATTTTTGGTTTCTTATGATGTGAATTTCATTTATATAAATATGGTCTGGCCATACGAAAGTTCATAGACGACTTAACCTTAAAAAGTATGTAAACTCATGTGACAATACAATTGTAGAGGAAAAAAATAACAAGAGGCCCATGGGCCTTAACGGTCACCTGAGTCTANACATGCAAGTTTCATGTTTTCATTTTGGTATCTTAAAAATGTCAAAGGTCAAAGTTGAGTCCATGGGGAAAAGAATATGCATCACAGTTTTTTGTTAAAACTTTGAAATTTCACAGGAGTACTGCATGAGTTGATAGGATTTCTACTGATTTGAGGAATCCTAAGGATTTTGAGAATAATATTTCTGCTCAGAGGTGAATTTTAAGAGATGAAGGAATTTTTTCTCCAGGAGAAATTTACACATTAATGATCAGAATTTGGCCTAGAATGGTCACTGAGTATAGTTGCTATATTATGGGAAGATTTTTTTTTACTCTGTTCAAGATGTGAGAAAACGCAAGAAATGAAAATTCCGAAAAGTTGTTGTTTGACTAAAAATGATTAGATTAACAATGCTCAGTGAAAATAATACCCCACATATTTGTTCCAGGAACTGCTGTCAAAATTTCACCATTTGAAATTAGAATTCTACACTTTGTGCCGATACAGGTTGATTTAAAACATGTTCTGCTATAATATACCTGAGTTTGTAGCTCAAACTGATTCAGGAAAGATGTGTTTGACTTACATTGGTGACGGCGTTTGGAGAGGCCTTGTTTTTCAGGAGAAGGTTTACGACCTGTACGTGTCCTTGCTGAGCTGCCTGGTGAAGTGGAGTGTATCCAAGCTAGGGGGGCGAAAAAAGTCACATGAGACATAATGATCTCAATCATTTTGACCAATCAGAGACTGAATTTCAATGCTATTTAAAAAATGTAAGTAACAAGTGATTTTAACTTAATCAATGAAAATGCTGTTTTTAACTAAATTATGTTAATTGTGCGAATTTAGTTTACAATATTTTTTTTTTTTTTTTTTTTTTTACAAAATTTGCTCCAATAGTGATTTTGAGTCGACTAATTAACCAAGAACCATTGAAATATGATTTTTTTTAAACAAATAAGATAAAATTTATAGAATTGGATATTGTAGAAAACATTGACTAAGTTATAACAGAGTATTTCCTTAATAAATACAAATTGGTTTAACTCGTTCATTTCTGTAGCTGATCCACGCATGGTATGTCAGAGTTATCTACCTTGGTAGTTGCGCTCACTGATGCGCCCTGTTCCAACAGGAAGCGAACCATGTTGATCTGTCCAAAATGGCAGGCAGTGTGCAGGGGAGTGTAGCCAGCCTGGAAGATAAATAGGGTCAAAGGTCCGATAGACATCTGCTGGATAACCTATCTACTCGGTACTGAAGCGAACATAAAACCCCTCAAACAAACAAACAGGGTCAAAGGTCATATTATAGTATTAAGAACGGAAGGTAAAAAATAACTTTTATTACTCATGTAATGAACATTCATCAGCCAAGACAAATTTTCTTTCATATATCAATTTTTAATAACGCTCTCCTGTGATTATTTTCAATTCGGTTGCTTCATTTTTCTCGTACTAATATCATAAATCATTAAGACCCTCGAGATGAATTTGAATGTAGATTTAAAATTAAATTTTGCCCATCAGTAAATAACGCTGTCCAAGAAGTGACCATTACCTTTGTCGAGGGGTCAGTGTTTGACCCGTACTTGACCAGCACTTCAGCAATGTTGACCTTGTCTTCTTGCGCGGCCAAGTGCATGGGAGTCAGGCCGTTCTGTAATGACAAACATATAAACATGTTTACTAGATTGTTTACCATACCAAAACAAACATATATGTTATGGTTTATGGGAAAGAATAAACTCTTTTGCCTCTAAAACAGATTATTTTTTGGAGTGGACCATAAATCATGATAACTGCAACGATTCATTAAGCCTCTTAATATTCACATAAATATACTACTACAGTGTAAGGAATTACATGTCCTTCATAATTATTAAAAATGTTTTTTATTCCTCAATGACAAAATTCTTCTGTCACAAAATTTCTTGCGATTGTGACTAATTTTCATTCAAAGAAAACCATAAATTAACACTAGAAATGTTCAAGAAAAGTTCAGGTGTAAATGGGTGCCCAATTTAATATTTTTCAGAAAAAAAAGAAAAATGAAATGGAAAATCCCAAATAATCCTCTTGTCACTGTATCAGTGTCAGGGCCCCATATGACTACCTATTCATCTTTCTGTAAATTATCAATTATCAAAAGTGTCCCTCCCTGTTTAAAGACTTACGTGGGCCTTTGAGTTGACCTTGGCCTTGTGTTCCAGTAGTAGGGACACCATATCGGTATGTCCTTCCTGGGACGCCAAGTGGAGTGGAGTGAACCCGTTCTGAAAAACAATCCCATACAAAACTACAATACAGATTCAACCTTCATGTTTTCAGATTGTTTTTGTTGCTGTATTTTTTTTTTTTATACAATGTTGTAGAGAAATGCCATATCATTGACAAACAGATTTGGCACCAATAAAATCTTGTCAGTGTTTTACAGATGAGTGATAGCAATAGGTGAATGTTTAATAATGCCTTGTCAACATTTGACAACATCAGGTCAACATTTGATAACATCATGTCAACATTTGAAAAAAACTTGTCAACATTTGAAAACACCTTGTCGTTATTTGAAAACACCTTGTCAACATTTGAAAACACCTTGTCGTTTGGAAAATATCTGATAAGGTTTGATAAACATCTGATAACATTTCAAAAACATTTGATTATCTAGATCTGCAAGACATCATGGCCCTGCCTACCTTAGATTCTGCATCAGGGTTCGCGCTGAACTCCAGCAGCGTCGTAGCGATGTCCATCTGATTCTTCTTTGCGGCGATGTGTAGTGGCGTGTATCCATTCTGAAATATCATCAGACACATTGTCATTTCATGACACCAATTTCAACATTATCATCCAATTTCCACAATAAATCACTGTGGGTTTTTTTCTTTGTGGTAAAAAAAGGTGAAAATTTGATACATTGTTGTTTTAAAAACAATTGAATGGTGTTTTCTGGGGAGGTTTTCACTCTCAGGCAAAATATTCATGATCAGCTGTTGACTCAAGGGAGGAAACTCTTAGATTATTGAAGCAATAATCATGAAATTTGATGACGAGTATCTCATTTTACACCTTTTCTTTTTCATGCTATCTTTCCCTTGACCAATGGCTTGTCAATGTCATATCATAGCTATAGGGTCCAACTGACACTCATTCACCCCTGAAACTCCATAATGAATCATTCCAACCTTTGAATTTGAAGAGTTTAAATGAGTCTTCAGGGGTGAATGATTTAAAACATGGGAGGAAAATGTGAATTTGGGCTTATAGCTGTAACCCCTGAGGTTTGTTAAGTTTCTGTAAGAGGTTAATTTAAGCTTTAAATAGGCGAGACTTAAGAAGTCTGCGTGTTTGGTCCAATGGGTTAAAATGGTTAAGAAAGAAGAAAGATTCTGAATAAGTTTCTTCTCCAAACTATTATTCATTGCATGTCAATTACGAAAGTTATATTTTCATAGACATTTCTAACCCCTAAATCTGAAATCAAATTCAGCAGTAAATATTCTTGACATACATACAGTTTAATTTACATGAAAGAATCATAAAATAAAAAACACATACAAGAAAAACATGTTTTGTATTGCATGTCAAATTCTTGTGCCACTTTCCCGACAAGTGTCTGATTTTTGGATCACTTGCATAAGTATCGGCCAATGACCGTCTGTGAGGTTCTGTTATAAACTGTGTTCTCCTGCGATTGTCTGGTGGTGGCTTACCTTGGCAGAGCTGTGTGGTGACGCCTTATTGTCGAGCAGAAGGAGTGCCACGCTGACGTGGTTATAGTGAGTGGCCACATGTAAGGGCGTCAAACCGTTCTTGCCCTGGACGTCGGGGTTCGCGTCCTTCTGTAGAAGCAGGCGGGCCACCTTGATGTTCCCATACTTGGAAGCAATGTGCAGGGGAGTGAACCCTTTCTGTAAAATGAAATGGAACATTTTGTTAGGTCGTGAAAAGAAATCTTATCCATATACTGTGAACATATATATGTTAGCAGTAATCTTAATTTAGAGCTTTTGCTGCTTAAATATCGCACTAATTAATGCTTGCACTTATTCAAGTTTTCGTATAGTATTTTCTTTTGTATATTTTCTTGGTGCATAGATTCATCAATGTGCTTATATCTTCAATAAGATTCCTCAGTTTGGAAATATGCAATATCAAAGTTTTACTTTATACACAAACAATGTACATATCAGACATGTTGCAATGTTTCAAGACCGACTGGTCCCTTTGTCAAGGTTTCTATGGAGGAAGTAGCTTGACAGAGGGACCAGTTGGTCATGAAACGTTGCGACACGTTTAATATGTATACATTGTTTGTGAATAAAGTAAAAGTTTGATATTAATATGCTGATATGTTTATATTTGATAACATGCTCAAATTTGCGTTTACTAAAACATTTACATTTATAGTATAAGGCAATATTTTACCAAATATTAAGAAATATTACATTTTGAAAATATTGAGGATCTTTACCATCCCTCCCCGTCTCCTTTCACCCACAAGAATACTGGTGCTCCCTACGGTGTACCTACCTTGGTTGTGAGGCTGTGTGTAGCTCCCTGGTCCAGGAGCACAGAGGCGACCTCCTCGTGACCCTCCTTGGAAGCGATGTGGAGGGGCGTGTACAAATCCTTGGTGACAGCGTCGGGTGACGCCCCGTGCTGTAGGAGTAGTGTCACATTGTCAACGTTTCCGAGCCTGGCCGCAATATGTAACGGAGTTTGCTGTTCCTGAAATACACAAACACACAGGTCAGTAATGTATCCAACAGAATATTTCAGCACTTCAGTGTGAATTCTTGTTATATCCGCACCCAGTTTTTATGGGACTTAAGAATAGGTTGTTTCGGTACTTTTTTGTAAGGACCCCGAAAAGTGCTGAAGAATCTCAAAATATCAACACAGCAACACACAGGACACAAAATCAAACAAAGTTCAAAGTTGAAAAGTTAGTCAAAGTGCCGAAATCATGTAAAATATTTTAGCAAATTTTGGAAGTACCAAAACGTCTTAAACAAGTACCAAAATGCCTCAGTACCAAAAACGATCGAGTACAGAGTTTTCTGAATCCCTCTAGTATAAGATACCCGTGTTCTGTACCAATGAACAGCAGGTCAGTCGAAAGATTTAATTTTTAAAAAATCCCATCTTTGCTTATTTAACTCATTCACCCCTGAAGACACATTTGAACTCTTCCAATTGAAAGATTGGAATAGTTTACTAGGAAATTTCAGGTGTGAATGAGTTAAGAGTAACCATTTGTAATTTGCTGTGCAAGTATGTTTGTTTGAAACTATTTTAATAGTTCATCGACATTTGAGTCATTTAGGGCCACTCTTCGCAGGTAAGTAATTAAAAATATTTATGTTCAAATATAATTAAACATATCTGGTAGATGTTAAAGCCCATCACTCTTGTAGATTGCATATAACCCGATAAATTATTTCGAATACGATATATTTTCACCTAAAACATTTGAAAACTACTGAAGTTAAAACAATTGAACTCAACTGGTTGCGGTCTGGTGAACAATTTTACCTCATCCAAGTACACTTCCATTGTAAATTTGTCAAGTCAAGTAAATCCATTTACAAAACAGACGTATATGTAAAATAGCTTCCTTGAAGGAAACGGAAACAAAGCCTAAACCAATACACAGTTTAGGACAATTGAGGTCAGAATATCAGGCTAATATATTACTATAAGGTGTTTACTTTATCTGTGTTGTGTCTAGATCTGTACATCCTGTGTTTAACCTTCCAAAGACAGGTATAGGGTCATAATAGGTCCTTATACCGTAAACATTCCAAATATCACCCCTGGCAGACGGAGTTAGCCTTCCATATGGAAATACAGGGTTATATTTTGTACATGGATCGTAAATGCTCTAAATATCACTCGAGACAGGCTATGTTTACCTTCACTAAAAGGGTAAAGGGTCATACTAGGTACATAATACCATACACAAACTAAAATATAACTCCCTAAAAGAACCTTTTCTAGAACAGTATCTGATCATAACAGGTACATGTACCGTAAACACTGTTAGTGTCACCCCAGACAGACCCTGTGTTAACATTCCAAAGACAAGTGAGCTTATCATGTATATATATGTTAAGTTTTGATAAATACCTTAAAACACCACTAACCCTCAGTTCCTTTCTCTCTCCGCCTTGAAGGAAATTGTTTTACGATATGCCAACACTTTAAATATGACCCCTTAACAACTCGGTGTTAACTTTTAATTGAAATCTAGGTAAATGTATGATTAGTACTTCAAATATCAACACGGACAGACCCTGTGTTAAAATTCCCCAGACAAGTGGGGTTATAATGTTAAGTTAACTCATTCACCCCTGAAGACACATTTGAACTCTCCCAATTCAAAGGTTGGAATAGTTCATAATGAAATTTTAGGGGTGAAAGATTAAAGTAAATACCCTGAAACAGCCTTCGTTCAGCCCCTTTCCTTCCTGACCATGCAGGACATTGTTTCTACAATATACCAACTTTATTAAACACCTGTTGTTAATGACGCGTCACCTCAATAAACAGAAGCTATCTGGGATTGCAAACAAGATGGATGGTTTTTAGGATGTGTCAAGAATAAAAGAATAGACCCTTACATGTGTGTAAGTGCATCTACATCTATGCTGTGCTTTTTCAAGATAAATGATGTCTCAATACTTTTTGTTGACTTAATGTATTGGGCTGTGCCTAGTTTCCAGTTTGTGTATGGATGTGTGGGTGATCAATGCTTTCTCACGTCCTTAAATTAATTATGCATACAGCGAGTGTTTCATTAGTTGGAAATACACAGACAGACCCATGTTTTCCGTCCAGTATTCAGGGTCTAAACTTGTGTCATTTCTAACACATGAAAGCTCAAGTGTGGGACACTGTTATATTTCTGTTGCCAAGCAACCAACCACCATAACACTTAACAGTGTACATCACACGCAAATTGGCAGATAGACATAAAAACACAAAAGAGACTGCAGTACTAGTCGGAGGAAATAAGTCTGTTGATGTATTACTCATCATGTCTGCAACTTTCCAGTACAGCTCATCCATCGCAAACATTTTACTGAGTAAGACAGCAAACATTAAGTTGAACAAGACTACAATTTTTGTTATTGATCTGGAAAAGAAAACTTTCACTGAGTAGGCATTTCATTGAGCAGGAAAACAACTTTTTTTACTGAGCAGAACTATGAACATTTTACTGAGCAGGACTATGAACATTTTACTGAGCGGGACTATGATCATTTTACTGAGCAGGACTATGAACTTTTTACTGAGCAGGCCTATGAACATTTTACCGAGCAGAACTATGACCATTTTACTGAGCAGGACTAAAACATTTTACTGAGCAGAACTATGACTATTTTACTGAGCAGGACTATGATCATTTTACTGAGCAGGACTATGACCATTAACTGAGCAGAATTATGACCATTTTACTGAGCAGGACTATTGACCATTTTACTGAGCAGGACTATGATCATTTTACTGAGCAGGACTATGACCATTAACTGAGCAGAACTATGACCATTTAACTGAGCAGAACTATTACCATTAACTGAGCAGAACTATGACCATTAACTGAGCAGAACTATGACCATTTAACTGAGCAGGGCTATGACCATTTTACTGAGCAGGACCATGACCATTTTACTGAGCAGGACTATGACCATTTTACTGAGCAGGACTATGACCATTAACTGAGCAGAACTATGACCATTTTACTGAGCAGGACTATGACCATTTAACTGAGCAGGACTAAAACATTTTACTGAGTAAGACTACAAACCTTTTAATGAGCTGATCTACAAACACTTAACTGAGCAAGACTGCAAACATTTTACTGAGCAAGACCACAAATTTTTAACTGAGTAAGATATCAAGAGTTCAGTAGAACTACCGAAATTTACTGAGAGTTTCCATAGTTTAATAATTTAATTAACAAATCCTATGTCTTACCACACACATTTGACTATGTGGGACTTCCATCTATTACAAACATTTAAACGAGCAGGAGTTCTACTAATGGTAATACTCGGACTGTATTAACCACAAACATTTCATTGAATGGGACTTACATTTTAAGGAGTCAGGTTTCTATCTGCCCCACACATTTAACAGGCTACAGAACTTCTTACCACAGTTACATAACATGTCATAAATATACATTGCAGAGTGGCGCAGAACCAATCTGCTATTGTATTGGGCAGGATCCCATCGACTGTAAAACTAAGTGGTTAGTGAAAAGGCCCGAGTCAGCAACAAATTTAGTGCTGAAACACCATATGTTTCTCTCACAATATTTTATGCCTTACCCAAGTCAATACATATGGAACCATTAATTATGCGTTTTCATAAATCATTCGTTTCCACAACCACCAGATCAATTTTGTTTGGTATTAGTTTGCGTTTTGGTTTTACGGTGTATATAGAATCACTGTGTAGTGTATTGCGGAATATTTATTTCTACAGCCTGAAACATACTCTCACATTACAGAGAAACAAAATCAATAGAACCGGCCTACAACAGTCACTGGGATATGGGATCAATATCAAGTGCTGCATCATACATAGACTGAAAGTGGTACACAAATAACCCCTGTTCCTGGATAGATCTGTCTGCTCAGGGGGATCACAAATACAGCTGGAAAGATTCTCCATCAGGCAGAAAAGGTCACATGACCACTGCCAAGAAATTTGTGCTGCATGACCACAAACAAGAAAAGGATGTCATATGACCATCATCCAGAACAGGATGTCACATGAGTGTCATCCAGAACAGGAAGTCACATGATCAAAATCCAGAACAGGGTGTCACATGTACATCATCCCCGAGTAGGGCGTCACATGACCATCACCCAGAACAGGATGTCACATGAGTGTCATCAAAAACCTGATGCCACATGACTATCATCCAGAACAGGAAGTCACATGATCAAAATCCAGAACAGGGTGTCTCATGTACATCATCCCCGAGTAGGGCGTCACATGACTACCATCCAGAACAGAATGTTACATGACTTTCAACCTGAACAGGATGTCGCGTGACTTTAAATCTGAACAGGATGTCACATGACTATCATCCCAGATCAGAAAGTCACATGACCATCACCCAAAATAAGATGTCACATGACCATCACCCAAAATAAGATGTCACATGACTTTCATCCAGAACAGGATGTCACATGACCATCAACCAGAACGGGATGTCACATGACCATCACCCATAACAGGATGTCACATGACCATCACCCAGAACAGGATGTCGCATGACCATCACCCAGAACAGGATGTCACATGACCATCAACCAGAACAGGATGTCGCATGACTTTCATCAAAAACAGGATGTCAAATGACATCACTGATAACATTTCATCATAATCAAAATCAAAATTTATTACTGCACTATAGTTTAACATAATTTCCATTTATGAAACTGGAAAAGAAATAGGGCCACAATGAATACCATATTACAAATATCATTTGCAATGATATTTGAGCACATTTATTTATAAAAATGAAACAAACCAACAGAACATGATACAGCAACAGATACAGCAGCACAAAGTTTATCCTGTATCCTACTAGCAGGAGAAACTGTAATGTTTATGTTTATATACAAAATCTAACTTTCAAAATGTCACACTATTAATCTCCGGAAAAAATCAATGAAGCAAATTTTTCCGGAAATTATTTTTAAAAGCATAAGGATTTACTTTCTATTATAAACAATATTTTTGTCCACTTACTCTTGCGCGTGCATCCACGGTGGCCCCATTGCGGAGGAGGATCCTGATGATGTCAGTCTGGTTGGCGCGAGCGGCGAGGTGGAGGGCGGTCTCCCCTCGCACAGTCGGGAAGTCTGGGTTGGCATTGTTTTGGATCAGGTAGATCACAATGTTCATGTGACCCATGAATGACGCCACATGAAGAGGAGTAAGGCCAGACTGAAATGGAGAACAACATTGTTTACAGGCCAATCAGGTAAGCAGGATTCAGACCCCAGATCGGACATACCAGGTGACCAGGAGGCCACTTGAACAAGGTCCAGGGGTTCAAATTAGCTTACCAACAAATTAAATTTAAAAAAATCAGTTACTAATAACATCCTCCTGAATTACAAAAATCGAAATTTTAGGTTCCCTGTCCAATTGAGGGCAAAATACTTTAAAAGATATTGGAGGGAAATCCTAGTATGCCTGAAAATATTGGATGGTATCCCTTAGAGTCCTGAACAAAAGATAGCAAGGGTATCAGTAAGGGGTCCTAGAAGACATTTTAGAGTATCCGTAATGTACCTGACCAGAGTGGAGGGGATCCCTATAAGGAGCCTAAATATAGTGGAGGGAATCCCTAAGGGGCCTAAACATAATGGAGGGGATCCCTATAAGGAGTCTAAATAGAGTTGAGGGGATCCCTAAGGGGCCTAAACATAATGGAGGAATCCCTAAGGGACTTGACCAGAGTGGAGGGGATCCCTATAAGGAGCCTAAACATAGTGGAGGGAATCCTTAAGGGGCCTAAACATAATGAAGGGGAACCCTATAAGGAGCCTAAATATAGTTGAGGGGATCCCTAAGGGACCTGACCAGAGTGGAGGGGATCCATATAAGGAGCCTTAATATAATTGAGGGGATCCCTAAGGGACCTAAACATATTTGAGGGAGTCCCTAAGGGACTTGACCAGAGTGGAGGGGATCCCTAAGGAGCCTAAATATAGTGGAGGGGATCCCTTAGGGGCCTGACCAGAGTAGATGGGGTCCCTAAGGGACCTGACCAGAGTGGAAGGGGTCCCTAAGGGACCTGACCAGAGTGGAGGGGGTCCCTAAGGGGCCTAAACATAGTGGATGGGGTCCCTATGGGGCCTACACAGACAGTGGATGTTACCTACCTCTGTGGTTGCCTCGATGTTGGCACCAAACCTGAGGAGGAGCTCAACAACCTTGATCCTGTTCTTCTTACACGCGATGTGGAGAGGCGTAAATCCGTTCTGTAACAGTCACATAGAAATTCATACAGTTGTACTGAAGACACTTATTTAAACAAAGTTCATGTATCTCAAAAACTCAAGCTAGAAGAATTTAAAATGAGAATTTGAAAGATCAAATAGAGTGACACAATCTTATTATCAGCAAATGATTTTTTTAAAACAAGTTTCAGAGTTAGTGTTTTGAAACTTACGCTTAAAGAATTTGAAATAGGAAGTTTACAGCTGATGACTTAAAGAAGAGTCACTGCAGGATCTTGATTAGAATTCAAAAACATTTTTGTCATGGTTAAACCAATTTTATATAATAAGTTTCATATTAAAATGTAGGATATGTGTGCAAGGGGAAGAGAATACATAGACTACAATCCAAGATGGCCGAATCACAACTCACCAGAGCCCTAGTATTGGGGTCGCACTTCCTGTCCAGTAGAAGTTTGGCGGTCTTCACATTTCCACAGTGAGATGCCACATGCAGAGGTGTTAGGTAGTCCTGATAACACACAAAAACGTACATAGATTATAGGACTCAATATCACATTTATCAAACAGGACTCAAGTGAGTTAAATATATAGTATACAATGCATCAGTTCTCTAACGATGTATATATACGACTGCATCTGATATTAAGTATTAAAGCAAGTGCTGGTGAGCTAATGTTGACACTTCAGAAGAGTTTAACTCATTCACCCCTACATATCTATACTGGACTTGCCCAGTCATTGATTTGGTAAGGTTCAAATGTGACTTTAGGGGTGAATGGGTTAAAATCATCCAGTGGTAGCTTTGCAATTTATGACATCAGAGAAATTATCCTTATTTTGTCGTCACAATTACATTTAGGTAATAATATCAGACAAATTCTGCTTCTTCTTTTTTAGAGATTATCCATGCCAAATCCTTACAACACAAGATACAACATGAGAGATTTGATACTGACCACTGTGACATCATCAACAGGTGCCCTGTGGTACAGGAGGAGGCGGGCACAGTCCATGTGGTCACCCTGGGCTGCCATATGCAGAGGGGTCAGTCCATTCTGTGGTAAATATATTTGTATTAAATCTTGTAACAATCTATTTCATTGCTTAAAATTTAATTTAATCAATACATAACATACTTTTTAAAATTTTATTTTATATACCTTTAAACTTAGATGCATATAAATAATATTCCATTGGGTTGATAAATCTGTGTATCAACTCCATTTGAAGTCAATAACTGTATACTTGATGAAAATCATTGATTGGTTTGGTTTGTTTGTGTTTTACGTCCTATTAACAGCTATGGTCAGTTAAGGACAAGTCAGGTTTTGGTGGCAGAGGAAAGCCGAAGTACCCGGAGAAACCACCAATCTGCGGCAATAACCTGGCGACTGCCCCTGTGTAGGCCTCAAACCCACAACCAAGTGGTGGACGGCTAGTGATGGTAGACGGTCAGGTGCATTAACCACTACTCTGCCACCGCGGACCCCGAAATTATCATTGTAACAAAAGCCCAACATGGTAACAGGGTTAATCTCTTACCTTAGTTTTACTCGAGAAGGGCGCTCCCCTCTCCAGGAGAAGGTCCACCACATTCTCATGTCCACTTCTGGCCGCACAGTGGAGGGGAGTAAGTCCATCCTGGGGAAGAAAAACATGGACTCAAAATAGTAGTACAAAGAGTTATGATATCCAGGGCTCAGAAAGGACCAGGTATCAAATAAATTGAATATATTTTCTATGTGAAAATGTGAATGATAGAGAATCAGATAAATGAATATCTGTCTTTACATACAAAGATCAGGACAGTTGACATCTTTTGGAAATGGGCAGATTATAACCAAATAATTATGGAACTTTATGATATGTTGAAAATTCAAGAAGAAAAAACATACAGTATACCCATAATGTTTAAAAAAAACAAATTCTACTTTATTTCAGGTAAAGGACGAAAAAAAAATAGTCACCTTCAAAACAGAAATCGAAAGGGGAGACATATTTTTTTATCCAAACACACAAAACAAATGTTGACTGTGCAGCAAAGAAGGAGTAATTTATCTGGTACTCAGCTCAACTGTTTATTCGTTAAGACTGGTAGTATGATGATAAAACACTCACCCTGGTCTTTTCATCAATGGCAGCTTTGTTGTCCAGCAGTAAGACGACCATCTTGTCCTTGCCCCATCGGGATGACACATGGAGGGGGGTGATGTTGTTCTGAAGCAGGCGGTCAATACGGGTCAAACATAGGCGGTTAACAATGGTCAGAGGCAGTCGGTCAGAAATAGGCGTCCAAGAATTGGTCAGAGACAGGTGGTCAACAATGGTCAGAGACAGGCGTCAAAAATTCCTCTTACTTACAGTCACTTTACTTTACTTGAAGGTTTATTATTTAAACGAACAGCTTAAAAACATCTACAGACACTTGATGCACTGCAGGGGATACTGTAAGAGTCATTCAGGAGATCGTTTTTTAAAGGATTTAGTTCTAGTGGCCATGGCCGAAAGTGCTATGGTAAGGATAGAAAAAAATTGCTATTCATTTCATCAGTTGTATTTTATAGCAGAATATGTAAAATTGTTACTGCGAAAATAGCGAAATTAAAATCCCACGAAAAAACAGAGTTTATATTTCATTAACTTTCACTTCTTGTCACCTATTGAGATCAAGGGCATTGTGCCAGACAGAAAATAGACTACAAGCCCTCATGATAGAGTTTAGTTTCAAAATCATTATATATACAGCAAGTAAAGCTCAAATGAACCCTAAGACATTCCCTTTATCATTTATACATGTGTTCTGGTTATGGGTTATCCCTGCAGTGACTATTAAGCTACACGTAAATAAGAAACTGATATCTGTTTCTCCGTTAACTGGCTCCGAGAGGAAGTGAATATGTCTGGAATGATGTCAACAATACTCGCAGTTATCACAACATGTACACGAATGCCATATTGTGTGTCTACATCCATTTCCCTTGGTGGCGTAACTCTTTTGCTTTGGAGGAAAGTACAACACAGTGTTTCAGGATACAAGCATTGTCTTTTAAGATTCCAAGAATTTGGAGTTTCCCATAATAATGTTTTTTCATATCTACAGAACTTTCCCAGAGATGTGAAGGTCATGTTCATTTCTCAAGGTCAAAATTCAAGGTGAAGGTCACCTACCTTGGCTTTGTAGTTGACGTCTGCTCCTTTGGAGATGAGCAGTGAACCCACGTTTATGTTTCCATAGTGAGCAGCAATATGCAAGGGAGTGAATCCACTCTGTAAATAAAATACAAGAATTTATTCTTTAAATAATTTTTTTCATCTTTCCTTCATTTAGTTGATCTTATTAACTGTCAAAAATCCTCCCTCGTCACTCATCCCCGAAATGACTATACATTGACAAAACAATTAACTAGTTTATGCATTTGTGCTAGTTTGGGTTGGTTTTTTATTAATAGTTAGGCTGAGTGTCCAAACATGGAAACAAGTATTTTTGCATTTATCATACTTTTAATTTGGGTTTTAACTAATTCATCCCTGAAATTTCATAATGAACTATTCCCAACTTTGAATTGGAAGGGTTCAAATGTGTCTTCAGGGGTGAATGAGTTAAAGACTGAAAACATCTTTTTAATTTAGATGTTCACACTACATACATGAGTATACTCAAATACCTTGTAACTGATTACCTACAGTTATCATACTGGAACAGACTTTTTTTACAATTGATTGAGCCATAAATAGAAATTTCCTTACTGATTTAAATTATCTAATGGATATTATCTGCATGTAAATTTTTCAAAACAAAGAAATATTAGCAAGGGACCAAAATATCATAAATACAACACATATCAATCAAAACAGAAAAAACATTCACACATTCAAAAGAAAAAGGGGGAACTTAATGAATCTAGTATAACTCAGAGGATTCTTTACTATACAAAAAGACACTTCTTAAGCTCCTTAAAATCAAATTGTCAAAGTTTTGGCATTGTTTGAGATAAGAATTGATAAAAAGTAATATTTCTTTTTATGAAATATAAACTTGATTTATTTTACAACAATTGTGAAATAATTTTTTCAATTTATATTAATCCCTCTTGTTGGCTGGTATGTGAGCATGGGGGTGGGGGGTGGAGGTGGGGGGTGGTGGTCTTAATGTGGTAGAAAACCGGAGTATCCAGAGAAAACACACATGGTCGGGCAGGTGACCCCATACCTTTTCACATCTGATTGGGGAATCAAACCCCTTGGTGAAAAACGGGTGTGTTATCCACTCAACAATCTGACCACCCAAATATTTCTACTTATGTATTTATCTTTATTTAATCTCTCAGAAAACTTTAAGGGATTACTGGCAAACTTCAACAGTTTGAAGTAAAAATAAAGGGGGTGGGTTTTATACCAAATCATGGGCATTTTGAAAAAAATAAAAAAATGTCTGACCTTAAAAAATATGTGTGAATGTGAATTCTTACACAAAAATACGTACAAAATTATTGACATGGTATGTGAGTTGTGAAACATAAGTTCTTAACTAATCTAGAAATTGTTAAAAGTCTGTAATATATATATACATGTACAACCCTCTTCATGGTATAAAAACATCCTGCTCACACATACTGACATGTCTTACCAGATAGAAAACACTTAGTAGAACATTACCACCCCATCAACTATCTGAGGACCACTATTATAGCGGTATACATACTCTAATCTAACACCGGAACATCCCCGCTGGTGCCTATACACTATATTTAGATGGAATATCTCGGCCATAGACATCTGTCCCAAATGTAATCAAAATAAGCATATTTTAATGTTCACCATTTAAAAAATCTGTAGCACCATTTTGTCGGTGTAAGTTTTATACCATGTGTACTATGAGCTATTCGTACAAATATTTTTGGACTTAGGATTTTGGACCCTTAAATTTAGTGTTTTCAATCAGGGAATTTGTTTAACTGTTCCTATACTCTAAGATCTTATGATTTCATCTGAAAGAACAACTCCATATATATCATTTTAAAGGGTTATTTTGTCTCTAGTGGGTGTATACACACATTTTATTTATGCTTTAATTTTGAGAATGCAGAATCTCACCCATGGAAATTTCAAAAAGTTGGCAAGTATGAAATAACCTAAAATACAAAAACATTGTTGACATGTGGTGTGGATATTAACATGTAAACTAAGTGAAGTACAGTACTTGTCATGTCATCAAAGGATAGGAATTTTTAGATATTGGTAAATTTTCCCTTTGGGGCCCCACCCTAGCCTCTGGGGATGGCGCAGGAATCCCAATTTTACAATTTGAAAACAAATCTTCGTCCAAGGATAATTTTCACCAAGTAAGAATAATTTCCTGCAGAAAATTGTCAAAATATACCCAAAAGTGTTATTTCCCTATATAATCTATAGTAAACTTTACCCCCTCCCCAAGAGAGAACGGATGGCCCGGGAGTCCTGAAATTTACAATTTAAGTAATGCCCCTGATGATCTTTCCATCCATGCAGAGAAAATTACTGTAGTACCTCTGAGTGAGTCTTGAGAAGAAGATTTTTGAAATATTGGTTAATTTTCCCTTTGGGGCCCCACCCTGGCTACAATTTTGTAGCCTCATCTACCAAGGATGATTCTGATAAAGTTTGAGAAATGTCCATTCCCTGGTTCTTGAGAAAAAGTCGAAAGTGTAAAAAGTTTACACACGATGGACGACGGAAAGCGATCAGAATAGGTCACTTGAGCAAAGCTCAGATGACCTAAAAATGTAAGTCCCTGGTACCCACTGTCAACACTTAAACACTTAAGCCCTTGATAGCCCCTGTGTATGTGTCACATATAAACCTGTATGATGTCCTGTTCATTTTTAAGAAGTAAGTCCCTCTGAAAGGACCTACAAATGTGTATAGCATATGGGAACCTGGCAGGACCTGTAAATGTATAACATGCAAGTCCCTGTTACCTGCTATGAATTCCTAACCCCCTGACAGGCCCTGCCTAACATGTAAGTCCCCAACAGGCCCTGCACATGTATAGCATGTGGGACTCTGACAGGCCCTGTAAATGTTTAACATGCAAGTCCCTGTTTTCCACTGTCAATGCTTAAGCCCATGACAGCCATTGTATATCTGTCACATTTAAAGTTCTTATCATGCCTTGTTCATTGTTAAAATGTTTGTCCCCTCCAACAGGCCCTGCACATGTCTAATATATAAGTCCCCGACAGGCCCTGCACATGTCTAACATGTAAGTGGTTGACAGGCCCTACACATGTCTAACATGTAAGTCCCTGGCAGGCCCTGCACATGTCTAACATATAAGTCCCCCGACAGGCCCTACACATGTCTAACATGTAAGTCCCTGGCAGGCCCTGCACAAGTATAACATATAAGTCCCCCAACAAGCCCTGTGCATGTCTAACATGCAAGTCCCTGGCAGGCCCTGCGCATGTCTAACATGTAAGTCCCTTGACAGGCCCTGCACATGTCTAACATGCAAATCCCTGGCAGGGTCTGCACATGTTTAACATGTAAGTCCCCTGACAGACCCTGCACATGTATAACATGAAAGTCCCCCGACAGGCCCTGCACATGTATAACATGTAAGTACCTGCCAGGTCCCGACCCAAACATGAGATACTGTTGTACACCTATTGTTATCAGGGCCTGTTGTAATGCGAACATCCAGTTTCTCAGCTACCACGCATCAAAGACAATTATCCCATCTTATCCGCAGCAGCTGCAATAAGCATTTCACATTTCCCCGGGCTTAAGATTCTACCGAATACTCAATACCCTATCTTCATATACATGTGCACACTGTTGCGAGACCTTGTCTCTCGATCAACTACCCATCATCACAATTTACTTTTTTTTTCTCTTCTCAAAGTAAGATTTTGAGCACGGTTAGTGTTGCCACAATTTCTTCACGGAATTCAAATTCTATAGAGAAGTGTTAATTCAATGGTGAAGTTAAAACTTCACAGAGAGGTCTAATTTCTATAAAGCAAAAAAACTTTTATGCAGAATGAACAACAACAATTGATGATCAATTTTTTTCTTGAAATATCAATTTAACATGTTAATATTAATTTCAACTTGTTTGGGCTTAATCTGAACAATTTAAAAAAAAAATGTCTTAAAATTGCATAAATGTGAATTATAGGAATACATGTACCATCCCAATTTACACATACTTCAGTTCAGAACTTAATATATATATACAAAGTCATCAGTACTAGTGTGTAAATAACTCATGTCAGTTTCACAATAAGGCTCACACCCAAGAAGAAAAGTATGGACTTACAATAAAAAATACCTAATCAATTTTCCATCTTTTATACTGTCCTTGTAATTTTTAGAATGGAATTTCAAATTAATAGAAAATAACATTACATCTTGTGAGGGTATCACAACAGTTTTTTCGCCAACAGACATAGAAAATAGTTGTCACTCTGGTAAAATACTGGCGGCTTCCTACAGACTTGGCTAGGGAGAATTTCTCTTAAGCTCATTCGGTCGAGCGTCAGACAGTGAGACTAGTGAACCAGAGGTCCCAGGTTCGACTCCTAGCGGAGGCATTGAAAAGTAATGACCTCTCTTACATAGTGTCGATGTCTTTTTTTTCAAATTCTGAAGAAATGAACAGGTTTACCGGACAGTAATAATTTAGAAAAATGGTAAGTCCTTACTATCCTTTTCTACAAGAAATTTGAGCCAATAAAAAATAAGGTCATATGCAAGGTTTTTCTTGGTAACTTTCATGGTAGAGATTGATGTAGGTACTTATATAGGTAAAACAGTTCCCTTGAATCTTCTAAAGGTTAAGAAACCATTCTTCGAAAGGTCATTTGTATAAATGTATGACCAAAACTAATAATGACATATTTACATTATGTATCTAAAATATTGGATACATGTTTATAGCAAAATATAAATGAAATAACATGTTTTGTCAAATTATCATATTGCTTTGAACTGAACAAAATTTACATATTCATAATAGTAAGTGGTAAGTTGCAACTAATGGATTATGAAATAAATCTTTATAAAGCAAATAAAAGTATTGACTAAATACATCCGAAGAACACTTATAGAGAAAAAACGTATACAATATACTCTATAAGGTTTACAAAAGAGATGTGAGTATTGATATATGATAGAGAGAACGAGAAAATGAGAAAAATCTCTTTAAGTAAATGTGGAGGAAAAAAAAGTCAAAATCATACAAAACTTTGAAAAAAACATGTACATGAAACCACAAAAACTGAAATTAACACACAATAACATGGAAAAGTGAGGAGAGATAAAAAGGTTCAGCAAAACGTTTCTCTGTGATGGAGAATACAACTGAGAACTCAAACTTCAGACTAACAAAGACAAATTAGGATAGTTTCCATGGATACTAACCTTGGTTGTGTCGTTAACCAAACTCCCGCTCTGTTTAGCATGATTATAAGAATATGGACAAAGTTTCAATATGCTAAGGACAATATTCCTCAGGTTCTGGCTTTGGTTTATGAATATTTAAGCATTTATTTAAGCTAAGCACCATCAACATTTTTTCTCTCTCGAATTCAAGATAAGAACCACCAATGTTCCAAGAACTGAACACTTAGACAACCAAATATTTTAAATTAAGGAAGGTCCAAAAGCATTTGTCTAAACATATCAAGACATTTTTCAAGTTAAGAACGTGGCATAACATCTCGGCTTCCGTAGGAAATAAACAGCAAAAATGTCACCACCGAATAATTATCTTTAGATAAATTGCAGTAAAATTAACCTTAAGCAATTAATTGTTTTATTACATGCATGTTGATGGCTCTCAATATTTCTTTGTTACGTAAAACGCTTATCACATCGTTTTCTAAAGCTTCTTAGGTAACGAGAGATCTCATTGGATAAAACAAAAAGCCACATTGTTATTGTCAATTCCTCTGTTCACCCAAGTAATTTTTCACATCACACATTTCCATGATTTTGAAACGAACAAAATATACACAAACATCTTTTTTTCAGTTCAATTCTATGACTCATCCTATATTTTGAAATAAGGCTTTTAACAAGGTAATTTGAACTGTGGAAATAGCCAGATGTAATTTTCTCACGATTTTGGAGTAAAAACTGATCCTTGAATAATACCCTCAAATCAAAAATATTTTATTTTGAAATGATGGACTTGTAGGTGAACTTAGGACAGAATAATTGCTATGGCTTTCTGTCAATTATTTTTGACACATTATATTATTATTTATTAAAGGTAAAAACACAATAAGATTGTCGAAAAATACAAAACATGCATTTTAAAGACAACTTTATTAACACATAATGAATATGAATATGCCAGCGGGATTGTTCAGCCATAGCCTGGTCTATGTCTAATACGGTTGGGTGAAAAAGTAAAGAAAAGTAGAACAAAATTTTACCTTGGTTACGGAGTCCACATCGTTCTGTTCATTTTGCAGGAGAAGGGCTGCCGATTTGATGTCGTCCTTCTTTGCGGCGATGTGCAATGCTGGTAGACGGACACGTCCCTTTGTGTCGTGTTCTAGAAGACAGCTAACCACACGCTCGTGTCCCTGCTGAAGAGCTACAGCCAGGGGAGTGAATCCATCCTGCAAACAATTACCAAATATTAGAACACTTAATGATATTTGTGATCATTCATGTATGGACAAATACAATATGCAAACTTCAGAAAATGGAGGACAAAAGTTCAAGGCTGTAAGCAATTGCATAGAAAAATATTATTATTAATACAAGTTCAAAGCTGTTTCGGCTACCCAATTTTCTCACAACATGAAAAGTGAATAAATAAATTGCAACAATGCTTTTCTTAAAGTTTTGCAAAGAGTAAAAATTTCTGTTTGAATAATTTTCAGCTATTGAAAGACTTAATTAACCTGCCATCTATGAGCCATCAAACTTCCTTCAATCGACCCAATGCTTATGGTATTTCGTTTGTGATATTATGTGGCTGGTTTTTAGCATTGGTCAGTTGCAGATTGAACATTAGAACTTACAGCTGTGGCCAGACTCTGGTTAGCTCCGCTGGCCAGCAGATACTTGACCACCTCTGAGTGACCCTCTTGGGCTGCCATGTACAGAGGAGTGAAACCCATCTGTGGACACAAAAAAAGAGGTCAGATGTTATTCAGGCTTATTCATTATAAAATACAATTAATCACCCCAGAAATTTCACAATGAACTATTCCAACCTTTGAATTGGAAGAGTTCACATGTGTCTTCAGGGGTGAATGAGTTGCCAGAGTTTAAGACTGTTCAATAAAAGTAAAATGTCCTATATGCAGACAAGAAGTCAGAGGCTTTAGAAATGATATTACTGTTACGATAACCGTTTGTACCGAGGGCCTAGGACTGAGCCCTGAAATATGATGTTGGTTTGTTACTTTGTGTAAAACTTGACCTCTGACCTTAAAACCTTAGTTCATACCTGAGCTTGAACGTTGACTTTGGCCTCGCTGACAACGAGAAGCTTGACGATTTCCTCATGGCCCGCCAAGGATGAGATGTGAAGGGCTGTATTCCCTTTCTGTAAATGGTATGCAATTTTAAAACTTAGGTCTTATAGCGCAACTTTTCCAGAGTAATAATATTAAGCATCAACAGTGCAAAGACATCAGCAAATAAATATTACATTTTTAAGAGAGAAAAAAATTGTGTTGTTATTTCTTCAAATATGATATATAGAAAATGAAGATTTTAGAATTAGAATTTAACAACTTCACAGAAACACATCCGAGACATTTCGAAAACAAAAATAAAATTATGTTAACTTTTTTATTTCATTCGAAATCCGCCATTCCCAATAGAAAGTGATATGACTGGAGATTTTCCTCGATTTCAATATTGTTAAGGTGAGGACTGACCATTGATTTAATACCAGGAACGTTTTCCTATTACAGTGCACAGTGTCTTACCTTTGTGGCGGCTTCAACATTAGCTCCGCGCTTTAGGAGTTCTGTTACGATGTTGATGTGCCCCTCCTTGGACGCTAGATGTAGGGCGTTCAACCCATTCTGTAACAAAACAATACAATTTACGGGTCAAAGGTCAAGAACAAACTAAAATTCAACTTCATTGAACAAATCCGCTACAATTTGAATAGAAACGTCACAATTCACAAAGATGCGATTGTATCACAATAGTTTACATTTAAATCAATTCAGAATGTATATTTTTATGAATTTATGATATGCCATAATCGGACATTAATTGCTTGTCATTTAAGCTAAAGGTTCAGTGCAACACTCCCTTTGATTTGTTATCTCTGCTCTTATAAATCAGCGATAAGAAAATGATTTTCACAAACACTTATGGTGGACAGTCTACTTCCGTTGCTTTGGCAAACTTGGAATTGTGTGAAAAGTGTGAACACATTTTCAGTGCCGTGCTTAAATTCAGTTAATAAACCAGCAAAATGAAAATGTTCACGAACACTTACGACATCAGTCAATGACTGATGCTCTAGCAAGCTTAGAATCGAAAGTGTGAACACATTTTCAGTGACGTGTATCAATGCAGTTAATAAACCAGCAACGCTAAGAGGACAAAGTAAAGACAGAAATATCAGACGCACAAAGATAAGTGGACTACTAATATTTTGCAAATTCAGACTTTTTGAGACAGTGTGATGCCAACTTCATCAAGATATTGCAAGAGCCCTTGAGTCTTGAGTCACTTTAAAATTAAAAAGTTTGAAGCTAACATTTTTCATTTTATTTATATATGTTGTGTTACATGTATATATACGTGTTGTTATATCGAAACACAAGTGTAGTGTACCATGGCAGCTTAAATTTGAATGGAAAACATAAACTAAGAAATGTCTGCCAATGAATAAAACACCTGAGTTACCTTTATACCTGTTCAACATTTAATTGCCAAAAAACTACTCATCAAGACAAGTGGAACACACATCAGTGTCCACTTTTTAATGTATGTATATAATTTATCATAATAATTTTTTTTATCTTAAAATGAGCTGTAGATTGTGAAGAAAGATGAATTACACTGTTCAGAAAATTTTACTACAAGGCAGAACATCGTATCGTTTGTAGATTGTTGAAGGATCCCTGTCCCACTGCACTGGGTTTTATCTTCTAATTGCAGTAATTTAATCTCCCCTTAACTTCCATTTGGACATAACTGTAGACCGTACGGTCAGAACACTTCCATTGACCAGGTAGCTCAATCGGTTAGGCCATAGCAATCTGAGGTCCTGGGTTAGAATCCCGGTCTAGACCCACTTAGTTTTTTTATACAATTTCCAATGGGTAGTTAGTTTTTGTCAGTGGAACGGGAATCCTTAATGCAACATTTTTTTTTTAAATATCCGAAATTTGACATCAGAATGAATCACAACTACAACTATAATTGTAATATATTATTTTCTCTAGAGAAACAGCTATATATATATATATCCTAGCCATGATGTAATGTTTGATTTCACATGACCTTTCCTTATTTGCATAATTCATTATGCAACCATTCCACACACAATCCCACAATTGATCTGCCGATTGACATTTACTCAAGTACAATTCTGCCATGATTTATTTATTTGCATGCCTTGTCTCACAACAGGAAACATGAGCTCATTTGCATATTGTATCACTACTGTTTTGCATATGACCAAGCTCATTAGTGACATTGATGATGTCAATTTCGCTCTGCCTGATATTGATTGGTTTGTATTGATGTAATCCATTTTCCTATGTTGTAGAGGCCGAGTCATCAAACACACAAGTGACCCAGAGGTTTTCTAACATAGCTGGATCAATATATTGATTGGAGACTGGAACAGGCAGCTAGCAATGAAATCATCAGTGGAATTATGTAGGGATGCATGTGTTTGTGTGGTTGACCGACTCTATGCTGGCATTTTATCTCGGCTCATAGACATACACAAATACACACACAGGCTAAAACAACTGTTGAGATTATGTGCTAGCTTCAGTTACACTACAGGACTGACTTTTGACTTTTGGCTTGAACAACACTAGACAAATATACCACTGGCACAGGAAAAATTGCATTTTGGCCATCATTATTTGAATAAGGAATATAATTTACATACAGCAAAACCTTTTGAAATTTTAGGGGACAGAAAAGCTCTTTTTAAACAAAATTGTTTCAGAAATATTGCTGGAAACAAATTCAACTTCGCTGCATTTTACATATATATACCAAGGACCTGCTGAATATACATTTGTATGTCCTCATTTTCATTCAACAACATTGAATAAGAAAAATTCCGAATAAGAAAGCTGGTTGATAATTGGACAAGACTTTCCCACATCTGATGTTGAACAAGGCTAAGCAGGTACTTATAGATGGCAGATGTTGCGGACTTCTATTTATATCTACACCAACAGGGGGAAAAAAATCCTGTACAAACAATTTTCTGAGTTATAGATAGCAACAGTGGTGAAAGCCTCCGCTTACAATTCTATCCTGAAGGTTACCATCACAAACCCAGGACAAAGTTGTTTCAAAGCATTGTCAGCTTTCAAAATCAAAATCAAATTTTCAAAGATATTTTTTTCCTCAGAATAAAAAATTCTGTTAGTTTTAATTATCTTATTTTTTATCACCAGATACTTTAATATGATTGTTTTGTTGTTAATGATTCTGTTCTTACAAATGTATTTGACAGAAAAAGGTTTAAATGTGATGCAAAAATGATCAAGCTTTGTTTGTATGAAATCAAACATACATCAGGGACAATATCTTCCTAAGTATGGTTCGCTTTCAGACAACTTAACGTAAAATTTTCATCAACATATTTTTTTAAATTCTGAATTTCCTAACATCACTTTTTACTGATGAGGTTTCAAAATAATAATTCATGGACAGAACTATAAAAAAAAAAATTATCTTTATCTTAACACTTTTAATAAAATTATTTTATTTATAAAATTCCATTTCATTTCCTGGGAAGTACACAATGCCTGAATGAGAAATGTTTGTCATTATATACCTTACAGTATCACATACTGTACACACAACAACAAAAGCTGTAGGCGGAATAAACACTTAAGTTTCCCCCAACAGTACTCCCGAAAATCAGAAAGATTCCAGGCCCCAGATCAAACAGAGACGTAAGTATTACTCAATAAAACTAATGAGAACGGTACTTTGTTCTCTAAAGCTCTGCGGAATGAGGAGACGCAGACTATAACGATCCCAGCCTAACTGTGAACCACAATGCACATCAATAATTTGGACTAATTCGGGAAAATATTTGGCAGATTTTGTTTGTGATATCGCACATGTAGTGTTGTTTATTGAGGAGATCGCTGAGAAACCAATCCACAAAATGAATCTACTGTGTGTTATGCACAATGTGTGTGTGTGTTATGCACAATGTGTGTGTGTGTTATATTTGAATTCTATTTACTGGTTTCAGATTATGTAAAGTAGATTTGGTTTACATAATGCTGCAAACAAAAAGCTGAATACACCGAAAATCTAGCCACGGAAATTGTTATTTCTATAACCAAATCTTGTTCTCAAATCAACAGCCTGACACCTCAAATACATTTCAATTCTCTTTTATTTAGAAGTCAATTTCACTCTCACTGTAATTTTGTTCAAAGAACTGTGATTCATGAAGACTAGGAGAAGAGTTGATTTTGTTAGCTATATATAAATGTAGTAGGCTTAATAAGAATCAAATTAGTTGATGAGGCCCACTGTGTGATACGGAGACTGGAGAATGGATTTGGAACTTTTCAATCTTTACTGCTTATATAATTATGATTAGATTTTAATTAGATTATCATGAACATCTCTCCAAAGATCACAGGATAATATAGTTGTATGAAAAGTGACGCTACAATTATTATCATTAATGTTACAAGTTGTATGTTCTGTCTTTTTGGTTGTGTCTTAAAGATTAATTAGTTGTACATCTAGTTGTCAGTGGTAAATAATGCATAACTTGTGGTGTCTTAAGGATAATTAGTTGTACCTCCAGTTGTCAGTTGAACATACTGCATAACTAGTTGTATCCCTAGTGTTATTATTTATACCTACAACTAGTGGTCGTAAATACTGCATTATTGCTTGTATCTTTGTTAGCTGTACCTCCAGTTGTCAGTTGTAAATAATGCATAACTTGTGGTGTATTAAGGTTAATTAGTTGTACCTCCAGTCGTCAGTTGTAAATAATGCATAACTTGTGGTGTATTAAGGGTAACTAGTTGTACCTCCAGTTGTCAGTTGTAAATAAAGCATAACTTGTGGTGTATTAAGGGTAAATAGTTGTACCTCCAGTTGTCAGTTGTAAATAATGCATAACTTGTGGTGTATTAAAGGTAGTTAGTTGTAACTCCTGTTGTTAGTTGTACCTACAACTAGTAGTCGTAAATACTGCATTATTGGTTGTATCTTTGTTAGCTGTACCTCCAGTTGTCAGTTGTAAATAATGCATAACTTGTGGTGTCTTAAGGATAATTAGTTGTACCTCCAGTTGTCAGTTGTAAATAATGCATAACTTGTGGTGTATTTAGGGTAATTAGTTGTACCTCCAGTTGTCAGTTGTAAATAATGCATAACTTGTGGTGTATTAAAGGTAGTTAGTTGTACCTCCTGTTGTTAGTTGTACCTACAACTAGTGGTCGTAAATACTGCATTATTGGTTGTATCTTTGTTAGCTGTACCTCCAGTTGTCAGTTGTAAATAATGCATAACTTGTGGTGTATTAAAGGTAGTTAGTTGTACCTCCTGTTGTTAGTTGTACCTACAACTAGTGGTCGTAAATACTGCATTATTGGTTGTATCTTTGTTAGCTGTACCTCCAGTTGTCAGTTGTAAATAATGCATAACTTGTGGTGTATTAAGGATAATTAGTTGTACCTCCAGTTGTCAGTTGTAAATAATGCATAACTTGTGGTGTATTTAGGGTAATTAGTTGTACCTCCAGTTGTCAGTTGTAAATAATGCATAACTTGTGGTGTATTAAAGGTAGTTAGTTGTACCTCCAGTTGTCAGTTGTAAATAATGCATAACTTGTGGTGTATTAAAGGTAGTTATTGGTTGTACCTAAAGTTGTCAGTTGAACATACTGCATAACTAATTGTATCCCTAGTGTTATTAGTGTTACCTACAACTGGTGGTTGTAAACACTGCATTACTAGTTGTATCTTTAGAGTTTTTTGCTATACCAAAATCTGTACCACTAGTTTACTGGTTACTGTTTATATCTTTGAGAATAATGGTTGCACTTTTGGAATACAAAGTCAGTACCTTCAGAATGTTTTTTTTTCGTTCATGGTACATGCAATTTTACGCCGCCGTTTGTGTAACTTACCGGATTGCTGGTGTTGATGTCAGTGCTGCCCTTCAGGTATTCTAGTACATCCTGAAGATTTCCGTCCCTTGCTGCACGCAGAAAAACTGTGTTTCCGTCGCTCTGTAATTAAAATAGGAAAACTTTGGTCAAAACAAGTTAGCATATTATACAGGAAAGATTTTAAGGCTGTCAAACACCGGCATTCCTGTCTTGTCTGGACCAATTAAATAACTTAACTGAAAAAGAAATAAATTATACGAAAATCTTGTTTTTCTACTTGTACTGAAATTAAACTTAATGAACCTACGTACCCATATGTTACCAAACTCATTTTCCTATGAATTTGGGAAGATGACTTTTGAAAAATTACTTCACAAATATATAATGAAACTGACGTCATGCCGGATCATTGATTTGTGTTCAGGGTGAGAATGTCCACATTTCTTTAAGACATAAAAGTATTAAAAATGAATTGAATGTTACATTTTTGCCTACTAAAAATTAAACTCATTCACCCCTGAAATTCATAATGAACTATTCCAACCTTAGAATTGGAAGAGTTCAAATGTGTCTAAGGGGTGAATGAGTCAACCACTGAATCTCTATATGGTCAGCTTCATATGGTGGGAGATGAATTGAGTTGGTATTGAGGGAAATTCAACGTAAGTTTCTCAAGAACACCACCCTGGGATTTTAAGGAACGCCATTTATCAACAGATCACAAATCAGCACATCACGTATCCTTCATCAGTTATGTAAAAATTATCTATCATTTTACACTATTCAGAGCAGAAATGGGTTGTTTTTTTGCTTTTTTTTTTTTTTTCCACACAGCCAAATCCTTGTAATTCATACAGTTGTATAAACAAAATATTTGCTTAGCCTTGGTGGTTAAGTAACAGTACCCAGTAGTAAAATTGTAGATGGTTTTGCCTTTGGTTGAAGAACGTTTTTTTTAATCTATAGGGTTATCCCAATGAAATCACACATACATTTACAGGCTAATCAATGGAGCTTTGTTCATCAAGTCACATTTGTAGTCAGAAAAAGCGGTTGGATTATGACATGGCTAACTTACTGGGATATTTTGTTTGGAAAAAGGCCAATTTGTCCCCCAAAACACCGGCTCAAAGTGGGACAACTGGATTAGTGGGGCTTCATAATGGTTAAATCAGTTGGTTGGGGTTTTGCATGCTCCAAAAATCTAAGGTAATATGGAGACAACTGCATGATGCGACAACCAGTAAATTGGTGACTATACATAGTGGCATGGGACAACTGGATTAGTGGTGGCTGTATAGTGACATGAGACAACTGGATTAGTGGTGACTGCCTTATAGCATCAGACAACTGGATAAGTGGTGGCTGTTTAGTGGCATGAGACAACTGGATTAGTGGTGGCTGTATAGTGGCATGAGACAACTGGATTATTAGTGGCTGCATAGTGGCATGAGACAACTGGATTATTAGTGGCTGCATAGTGGCATGAGACAACTGAATTTGTTGTGGCTGTATAGTGGCATGGGACAACTGGATTATTGGTGACTGCATAGTGGCATGAGACAACTGGATTATTAGTGGCTGCATAGTGGCATGGGACAACTGGATTAGTGGTGGCTGCACATTGGCATTGGCATGGGATAACTGGATTCCTGGATTAGTGGTGGCTGCATATATAGTGGCATGGGACAACTGGATTAGTGGTGGCTGCACAGTCGGACAAATTGAATTCATGGGTCTAGATAATAGGATTATTGGGCCAAGATAGTGGGACAACTGGATAAATGTATGCTTGATAGTGGGTCCACAGAACCAGTGATGGCTGGATAGCTACTGCAGTAAAACTGGATTAATAGTGCTTAGATACTGTTAAATCCTTTATTTTCATTAGGCCCAAATTTCAGGGTTCCCCCCCAGAAAATTCACAATTTTGGTGTTCATTAATTTGTGGGTCATGAGTACCCCCTCAAACGGTGAACAGTTTTATAGTTTTACTATATGTATGACCTATGAACCTATGGACCTATGAATTCACAGTTCACAGATGAAGAGTACCTACGAAATCAACGAAATTAAAAACCCAGCGAAAAATTAGTGATTATCACAGTAAAGCGTTCTCGACTGTATATTAAGTAAAGGTTGGATAGTTAAGAAGGACAACTGGATTGGTCGGGGCTGTATATTGCAAAATATTGGCATTCCAAACAGTGTTATTTTAATTATATATTAATGAGGATGTACAATACTGGCTATACAAAGACATTATGTAACACTGACAGGACATTTTATTCCACCTTGCTCATTGAAATAATCAAAGAATAAACAACATCATCTGTGGAAATTCCCTAGATGTCTCAGAGTTATTTAAACTCATTCACCCCTGAAATTTCATAATGAACTATTTCAACCCCAGAATTGGAAGAGCTCAAATGTGTCTATAGGGGTGAATGAGTTGATTATTGCATTATCAATTAATTCTCTTTTGCCACAAATTCAAAGGATTTTTATCGTTTTATTGTTTTCATTTTTAGAGTCATGCTTTGGCTATTGCTTAAGAAATTTTATGTTATTGAAGTTACTAAATAAGACATTTTTAAAGCACCATGAAAATTCATGCTCGGTTTCTAAGGAAGCCATTGTTATAGAGGGCAATTACCGAAGAGTTCTCCTTGTTACCAAGGAGATTACCCATTCCACACAAACAGAACAGAATGTGATTATCCTATCTGTCTGCTCCGTCAATTCTCCAGGTAAACAAATAAACAACAGTTACTGGTCAGTGGTTAATCTGGTCAATTAGCCAGGCAATAACTGGACACCAGACATTCCCGAGACAAGTGTCCAAACCCCATCATCTCTTCAATAGGGCATTCCGTCCAAACCCACTGAAATCACTTTTTAAAATATTTTCTCAGTTTAATGGGAAGTTCTTATGATGTGTCTGGGATTTTAATCTTCAAAAAGTTTTTCAGAACTGTTTGTCTGGAAATACTGAAGATTTATTGAATCTGGTATAAAATGACTTAATCCATCTCATGAAGTGGTTTGATACCAAGGTAAGACAGTATAAACATCTGGACCCAGACTATTAGACATGGTCAGTATGCACGGTGCCTTTCAAGTTTCTTCAGTCCCTGAGGCAGTCTGATAAAAATTTGTAGCTGGACACATATGGAACACTGGACATTCCCCCATGTGGTTTCAAGGTCAGCCCTCTGTTGTCTGGTCAGCAGAAAGATTTTCTGTCCACTCAAAACAATCCCCAAAGGATATTAATCCCTTTTAAATCCAATTTAGGGGTCTCTGTCAGCTCCCTTATCAGATAACATCCCAGTAATCAGCTGCTGTGTGCCTCATCACATTACCATAGTTACAATGTTATATCAGCCAGCACTAAGTATCCACAAATGGGACCGGAACTCCTGGGATCTTCACTCCATATCCGTTTTCAATATCAAATATCTGCCAGAATTTTGTACAATCTCACCTCCTGACCCAGATAGATATATATATACACAAACAGTTTTTTTTAAAAGATGTCTATAATTTCATATATATCCAATGGTACAAGAAAACACCTGACAATCTGGATCAAGTACGTACATCAAGAACTGGCATGACATTTCCGCTGCATTGATCCTCACAGATTTGTAACAGTTCCACACTCAAGCGACATATGAAATTTTGTGAAAAATTATCCCACAACAAAATATACTACATAGCACATGATGAGTATCGGAGATTCTGCGAGATAATTAAATAAAATTCCTTTATCTTCTTTTTGAAATATCAAAAGAATTTCATTACTTCACATTTCCATTTCGAAAATTTCCTGTAATATTGTCAACCTCAAAAGCTTGTACAAAGATAGATGTGCCTATATTTATATCAACACATCATTATCCAAGATTCAGTGGCTGAGTGTTTGTGAGAATGCGTTGTTCAAACCCAATACACAATATCAAGTATATAGCTAAAAGTTTTTTCTTGAATCATACTTGAGGTTGAAAACCAGCGAGGGCCGTTATGGAACACAGCAGTTGCCTATCACGTAAAGTTGTATCCAATATATCGGAATCATTGAAAGATGCACATCCCTAACGGGCCAGGTGTCCCATGTATAATATCAGGTAGCAAAAACGTCTGTCTTAACACATGTACAGTACAAATCTACATGCTGCTGAACAAACCCAGATATTCATCAACGAAATTCTGTTTACAATCTGTATACCAACATTTAAACACAGGTATATATTTGTCGGAAGATCAGAATTAAAAATAGTTCGAGATATCTCCACTTCAAAAATAGAAAGTTATTCGGAAGAAGCTATTTCATACACGCTAACTTTTCATCCACAGCGCAGGTACGTTCATCAAAGTTTTTCCTATTTTGTACGACGAATGCTCATTTCAAACACCACTTGTTCCGCACACAGACGATTCCAAACGAACAGGCAGATATTCTCATCTAGTTCCGGATTCCATTTAAGTGAGTTAGAATAATGGACCCCCTGCTGTATGGTTTTCGGTGCACGGCTCATCAGAGACCATTAAATTTTACACACATATATACATCCTCTTGTATTCGTATGTTTTGTTGATAAAATACAACTTTCCTAAACGTTGATCCAGCTTGGTTCAGGTAACACCCCGAAAGTCATAATCACCAGATTCCCACAAATTTACTCCTTACAAAACTTTCCAAGAGGTTCAGACGATGAGGAAAAGATATACGTACTCCCGAGGAAACTGCCTCAGGTCTCCGGAATATTACTCACGGAAGATGTGCCAAACCTAAATCCCTAATGATTCTAGTGAGGATTTTTAAAGACTTGCAAAAAACCCGAGACGATACCTTTCTGAATACATAGACAGACAATTTGTGTATACGGACTATATCTCCGTCACTTGATGATTTTTGTGCAAATCTTTTTAACAATTTGCAAAAAAAACAGCCCACTAAAGATACGTTACTGCACACGCCTTTAGTTAGGTTTTGTATATTTCGGATATATATATAAATCCCTGATGGTTTGTGTGTGAATAATTCGGGTGAAAAGGTCCGAAGATAAATACAAGAATGTTTACGGAGCAAGTTTGAGATCGCGGTATACCAATGG